TCCAGAGTCTGAAGCTTGTTGATTTCCTCCTGGAAAACCTTCTGCACCTCCTCGGGGAACTTGAGCTTGGACGCGCGATCGTTGTACTTGGCAATCAGCTTGTCTCTTCCGTCGTCAATTCCGAGTTCTTTCTTGATCCACTTCAGCTGCTCCTGAAGATTGAACTCGCGGTGCCTCTTGGCCATTCTCTCCTCGAGGTCCCGCTCGATCTGTTTCTGCAGTTCCTTGTTCATCAGCTCCTTTCTTAGCAGATTCAAAGCTTTGTCCAGCCTGTCTGGGATGTTTGTGCAGTCCATCACGTCCTGCAGCTCTTGTGGAGTGGCAGCAGCAACAGCGGCAGCATAGTCCGCCAATCGTTCAGGATGGTGGTACACGTCGCCCTTCAATGAGCTGATAAAGTAGAGTAACTGGTCACTGAACGGCTTGTTGAGCTTGGTGATCTCTCTCAGCGTTTCAAGGGTAATAGCAGTCAACGAGTTCACTCTAGGGTCTCTGTCCGGATAGGGCTCGTCCTCAACATTCGAGACGTTAACCAAACTGATAGGGTATTTTTTCAGGAACGCAGTAGGATTGTATTCGTCGTCCTCGTCAATGACAACGTCCTCGTCGCTGGACTTGATAACCTCCGACGGAGACTTTGGCTCGTCGCCCTCCTTCTCGCCGGTTATTCCCTCGATTATCTGCTTGTCTGCCGACTCGTCCACTTCAGCGGTGGAAACCTTGACAAAACTGTGCTTGGTCTTGGAAACATTAGGCACAAATAGCTCGTCGATCTTGATCCGCTTGTGAGGGAACAGCACAGTCGTCAGCGTCTCCACGCCGGTCTCTGTGTCTCTGGTGTACACGTTGGACGTGATTTGCGCCAGCACACCGGTGCTGTACACCTCGTCCTTCGAATTGATGACGTCTCCCTCCATATTCTCGTCTTTGAACAGGAAACAGCCAATGAACGGATACTGCGTGGACGTGGCCTCCTTGACCGCCTTGATAACGTTCACGTCGGTGATGATCACGGACCTGTAGAAACCAGGAAACAGCGGTCTTCTCGAGATAGGCAGACCAATGATTGGCGGATAGATCTCTGGCAGTTCGACTGTGGCCGGACTGTTGACCGACGAATCCTCATCTGCAGGATCGTCGCCCGAGCCAGAGTCGCCCGGAGCTCCCGCGGACCCACTGGAGCCATTGGCACCGGCAGCAACGCCAGATCCGGCAGAGGGGGCAAGGGACCGAGATTTCGAAGGCCTAGGCGTCTTGGTGTCTGGCTTGTTCTTATCGTCGTCCTTCTTGTCTTTCTTTCGGGACTCGTCCTTCGGATCGGACTCGTTCGTCTTCGACTTTAGGTCAAACAGCCACCCGCCAGCCACAGAGGGCGGGCTCACCACAGGAGGCACAAAGTCTATCCCGTCCGCATTGACCCAAAGCGCGGCCTCCTTGCCTAGCAATGGTTTAGCATACTGGTTGTGGACCGTGCTCGCAAGCCGGGTACCTGCGCTGCGCACAAGACAGCCTCTGAAAACTCGTCCTGAGCAAGAAAACATGGATGAATTATTCCAGTGCGATTACTTTTTCTTTTGCCACTGTCCACGGGTCGATCGACGGGCGAATTTTGGTAGCTGATAAATATCAAAGAATATATAGCTAGACACCAGTGGCAGACCGCTAGTCCTTTGGTCCAATCATCTTCTCTGGTCTGACCCACTCGTCAAACTCCTCCTCGCTCAGCATGCCCAGCTCCAGAGCGCTCTGCTTCAGAGTGAGGCCCTTCTTGTGTGCGTTCTTGGCGGTCTTGGAGGCATTGTCGTAGCCGATCTTCGGGTTCAGAGCGGTGACAAGCATCAGCGACTCGTGCAGAGTCTTCTCGATCTTGTCTTTGTTGGCCACAATGCCGTCAACACAGTGGACTCTGAAGGAGTAGCAGGCGTCGCCAAGCAGTCTGACCGACGACAGCAGGTTGGAAATCATGACAGGCTTGAACACGTTCAACTCAAACTGGCCCGAGGCGCCGGCAAACGTGATACACGAGTGGTTTCCAAACACCTGTGTGCAAACCATGGTCATGGCCTCGTTCTGCGTAGGATTGACCTTTCCGGGCATGATGGACGAGCCTGGCTCGTTCTCAGGCAGCGAAAGCTCGCCGTAGCCGCACCTAGGACCGGAACCAAGGTATCTGATGTCGTTGGCGATCTTGTATAGCGAGACGGCCACCGTGTTCAAGGCGCCAGATGCCTCCACAACGGCGTCGTGCGCAGCAAGAGCCTCGAACTTGTTAGGCGCAGTGTAGAACTGCAGGCCGGTCAGTTTCGACACCTCGCTTGCCACCTTCTCGGCAAAACCTTTCTTCGTGTTCAAGCCGGTACCAACAGCAGTACCACCCTGCGCCAGGAATCTGAGACTCTCGAGGCTGTGCTCGACTCTGGCGATGCCGTTGGTCAATTGCTGCACATAGCCGCTGAACTCTTGTCCGAGAGTCAGCGGAGTGGCGTCCTGCAAGTGGGTTCTGCCGATTTTGATGATATCGGCGAACTCCTTGGCCTTCTTGTCTAGAGAGTCTCTCAAAGCTCTCATTTCTGGCAGAAGGTGGTTGGTGATCTCTGTGACGGCGGCAATGTGCATCACAGTCGGGAAGGTGTCGTTGGACGACTGCGACATGTTGACGTGATCGTTTGGATGCACAGGCTTCTTCGATCCCAGGGTTCCGCCCAAGATCTCAATGGCCCTGTTGCTGATCACCTCGTTCGCGTTCATGTTCGATTGAGTTCCCGAGCCAGTCTGGAAAACCACCAATGGGAAGTGGTCGACGAGTTTCCCTTCAGCGACCTCGGTGGCCGCCTGTTTGATGGCATCGGCGAGCTTCGGGTCCAGAACACCGAGCTCCTCGTTGACGGTGGCAGCGGCCTTCTTCAAGACACCAAACGCGTGCACGATCGGCTCCGGCATTCTCTCTCTGGCGCCGCCAATCTTGAAGTTCTGCAACGATCTCTGGGTCTGGGCTCCCCAGTACTTGTTGTCGGCGACCTCGATGTCTCCAAAGGCATCCTTCTCCGTTCTCATGGCTCTGGTGGTGGCCGAAAAAGCTCTTGATCCGATTCTCTTAGCACTCAGTCTCGCACTTAGCATGGTTTTCTTTTGGCAACAACAATTTCTCTTGTTACAGCCTGTAAGAAACACTCAAATTATATATTTCAGCGAATTTCTCGACCGGGCGACATCCCAAAATCGCCCGGTGTCCGATTCCGGAATCGAACGAAATAAATAAAGCTACAATATTACTGTCCATGCCTTTCATTGCATTTTCTAGATTATGTAGTAGCCCTCGTTCGAGGCATTGTAGTGCACGTCGAACGGCAGCTCTTCCTTCGATTCGGCGCTCACCACAGAAACAACGGCCACGTTGCCAATCTGCTCGCCGGCTTCCACCTGCTGCGAAACAGAAAAGACCACCTCCATCGGGAATAAGGCTTCCTCGTCATCGATTCCGCGACACAGAATTTCGAACGAGCCGGACGGATGTTCCACCAAGTCCGACAGTTTGACCAGCAGACCTTCCTCAATGTACTGCAACGCCACGTTGTTGTGGTCGCTCGACTCAATGGTGGCGTCGCCCGTCGGTATCAACAAACTGGCCTCGTCGAGCTTCTTCTCTGGATGCGCCTCGTACTCAAACGTGAGGTTCACGGTCCCGTCCTCGTTGTTGCTTACCCAGGTGGTCAACACCAACGGCAACAAATTGCTGGACTCGGCCGACGCGGAAGTCTTCGACACAGACCTCCATCTGAGCACGCCCAGGGGCTGGTCGTTCGAGGCAAACGGCTTGGACTGGTCCTTCATGCCAATGACAGACTCGGAATGGAACAGGTTCTTGTCCACCTTCGGATGGGTCTTATATTGAGTGTTGCGCTCTTGCGAAGAACCCAATTTGAGGTTCACGAGAGCGTATGCTAGCGACGGATCGTTTATTCTGAGCTGCAAGTCTCCCTGCACCTCCGCAGTCGAGATCGAGCCCTCTCTCGTGATCTGGCCGGTGAACTTCTCGTTGACAAGAATCAGAATGCCGTTGTTTGGGATCCGCTCCTTAGCTGGAGGCTCGTAGGAAGGCGTCGACTGGGTCGATGGCTGCGGAGTAGGTGTCGAGATGAGAAGGGGCTGGGCCTCGCCGCCCAGACTCGTCGTCTTCTTGCCCAGCTGCAAGCCGCCCTTTCTTGGAGGAGCCTTGGCAAACTGTTTCTCCGGCGCAGTGTACGATGGCTGTGTGAATTGGTGTTCGGGCTGCGCTGGAGGCTGGTACGACGGCTGGACAAAGTTCTGGGACTGCTGGAACTCGTAGGACTCCATATTTTTCTTCATCATCTCTCTTCTTTGTATTTCCTTGGCCTTTCTCTTTCTCTCCTCGGCGGCCTCCAGCTCTTTATTCCGTTCAATGATCTCCTGGATCTTTTCTTCGTGGGACTCCATTTCCAGGAAAGTGATGATCTGCGACAACGAAAGATTCTCCTTGTAGCCCAAGTTGACGATCTCGTCGAACGCGTTGAGGATCTCGAAACAGTTCTCGAAGATTTCTCTCTCGTCGACCGTTCTGAGGATCGATCTGATGGTCTGCGTGAACAAATGCAACGTGTCGATGTCTTGCAGGATATTTGAGTGCTTATTGGTGATCAACACCACGTAGAATTCCTCCAATGGCTGGTAAACGTATCTGACATTTTCACCTTGGACCGTGGTGTGCTGGGTCTTTGTCGTGTCCGGCAGCAGCGTCGGAAAAGCGGCCAGCAACGAGGTGACTCTGTCCTTCGACAGGTCTCTGAATTGTCTGGATATAATGGCTTTTCCGCCTCTTGTACAGATTGAAGCTGCTAGGACCACCATTAAGACTTTGTTTTTGTAATTCAATTTGACTATGTGTCCAAATTTACGATCTGGAAAATCGGGGCTCCCAACCCACCTGTGCACCACGGTGCCAAAAAATTGTGTGGTTTTAAACTGAAAAATGCCCTTGTTAAATGAAGACCGACTACTATGAGCTGTTGGGGGTCAGCATCGAGGCGTCTGATCTGGAAATCAAGAAGGCGTACCGGAAAAAGGCGCTCCAGCTTCATCCAGACAAGAACCCAGACGACGTCGAGGCCGCGAGTCGCAAGTTCAATGAGGTCAAGGTAGCGTACGATACCCTTAGCGATCCCCAGGAACGGGCCTGGTACGACTCCCACAAGTTTCAGATATTGATGGAGGACAGCGATCGGGACCTTGGAGACGACGCCTCCGCCGAGGTTTACTACGCAGGTCTGTCTGTGGACGACATTACGCGATATCTAAATCCAGATCTGTACACCCGGATGGACGACTCGATCAGCGGGTTCTATGCGGTTGCTGGCGTTGTGCTCGACCGCATTGCAAGCGAGGAGGTTTCCGCGGGCAAGAAGCAGAAGCTTCCTGGATTCCAGAGCTACAAGGACGACACGCCGTTTGCCAATGCGTGCGACCCAAAAGAGCTGCTCTACCCAAGGTTTGGCAACTCGCGGTCCGACTACGGCGAAGTTGTGCGGATATTCTACAAGGTGTGGGGCAATTTCGCGTCTGTCAAGAGTTTCAACTGGTTAGATGAGTACCGGTACTCGAGTGCGCCGGACAGACGCACTCGACGGCTGATGGAGAAGGAAAATAAAAAAATCAGAGACTCTGCGCGCAAGGAGTACAACGAGGCCGTGCGGCGGCTGATTGCGTTCTTGAAGAAACGCGACCCGCGCGTGAACGCGACCGCGCAGCGCGAGTACGAGCAGGAGCGGATCAGAAGGCAGCAGGACGAGGTGAAGCAGCAGGCGAAGCGAGACAAGGAGCAGCGGCAGCGCGACAAGACGGAGTTCAGCGAGCAGAGCTGGCAGATGCTGGACCCAGACGACCTTGCAGAGATCGAGCAGCAGCTCGACAAGATGTATATGGAAGAGCAGGAGGAGAGCGAGGACGAGGAGCTGTACGAGTGCATTATTTGCGACAAGCATTTCAGGCACGAAAAACAGTTTTTGGAGCACGAGAAGAGCAAGAAGCATATCAAGTTGCTGAGGCGGCTGCAGTGGCAGATGCGCAAGGAGGGGATTGAACTGGGGATTGACGAGGAGAGCTATGTGCGCAGCGAGGATGAGTACGAGAGCGCGGTCGAGGACCTTGAGCCTGAAGAGCCTGAGCCTCGATCTCCGGAGCCCGAGCTTGAAGCAGTCGAGCCTCAGCCTCAGCCTGCAGAGGTTCCGTCTCCAGGTTCGCAGACAGGCCCTGTAGCTGCCGTCGTGCAGCGAGGCTCTGTGTCTCCCGAAGTGGACGACGTGCTGGACGAGGACGAACGATTGGCCGAGCTGGAGCGGGTCCTAAACGGCGAGGAGAGCGACGACGACTGGTCGACGCGCAAAAAAGGCAAGAAGAAGAAGAAGCCGCGTTCCAAGGCTACGAAGCCTGCTTCGCAGCCAGAAAAAATGCCAGCTGGCGAGAAGTGCAGCGTGTGCAGGGAAACGTTCGCAAGCCGCAACAAGCTGTTCCAGCACATCAACGCTACGGGCCACGCGGCCGCGCCGAAGAAGAAGAGACGATGACCAGACGAATCGTGTCTGATACAGACGATCGACGTGTAATATTTTTCATCGTCGCGTGCCCGAAAAATATAAATACGCATGAGGGAGACCTCAGGAATATAGAGTAATGTGTTTTTTCGCCGGGAACGCCAAGCGCAAAAGTGCGTTCCGCTGGATAGCCAGGTGCCAGTCAACAGCCGCGAGGGCGGCCAATACGCGGACGCTCGTGCTGCGGATTCCTGAGCCCGAGCCCGGGAAGGAGCCCTTGCCAGGCACGCCAGACGAGCTGGCCGCCGGTGGCGCGGACAGCGGCCCGCACCAGGAGACGTGGGACGCCGTGGACTGGTTTCTGGGCGACGCGCATGCTGTCGAGCCGGCGCCGGTCCTCTACGACTCCAAGGTGGTGCTGCCGAGCAGCAAGCAGGACCAGCTCATGGCGAAACTGGCCGGCAAGTACGACGCGCAGTACCTGCCGCGCGACCATTTTGCGCCAGGCACGCCGCTGCAGCAGCTGGAGTCGCTCAGCGCGGGCAAACCGGGTCAGATCCGGCTGTCGGTGACAAAAATACTTACCGGAGCGTACTGCGAGCTACAGAGAATGTACCAGCTGTACATGGGGGTGACGGAGGTGCCGCAGACGCGGGAGATGCTGCGTGGGTCGCAGGAGCACGAGCAGATTGAATTAAAGACGCACCCGGTGGTGGAAGTGCGAGTCAACAACGAGAAGGTCAGGGTCGACCGGACGGTGCGGCTGAAGCCGTCTGTCGAGGCGGACGTCCCCGTGACGACGCCGTTGCCGGACGAGCTGGCGCAAATATATGGGCTCTTTGTGGACGAGGGCTTTGAGAAGTCGATCGCGCACCAGTGGTCGCGCAACGTGTTGCGGCTTGCGCAGCTGGTGGCATTTGGCTCTGCGCGCGAGATCCTCGTCCACGCGTACTACGACCAGCGGCAGCAGCAGCTTTACGTGGGGGGTGACCCGAGACTCGGAGAACAGGACAGTGTCCGGCCGGACCTGGTGCTCATCAGCGGAGTCATCGACCTGCTCTCTCTAGCAGGCGACGAAAAGGCATTTTCGCTGTACCAGCGCGAGCTCGAGACGCAGCTAGACAACCCGCTCGATCTCGCGCAGCTCGTGGCCGCGGTAGACTCCACGGCGGCCTCGTGGACCGACGTTCTCGAGCTGCACGTTGCCGACCTGAAAACCAGGTCCTACAGAAAACTGCCCCCGCCCGCCACACAGCAGCTCAATTTCGTCCAGGTGGCCATGTACGCGCGGTTCCTCGAGCTGCTGGCGCAGGACCCGGTCGAGACGTACCAGATGCTGCTGCTAAATTTACGCAAACGGAACATCGACCCAGCCACGGTGCTGGACCCGTCGCTGGTGGTATATTTGCTGCTGAACAACAACTATTTAATTGCAGATCTGCTTCGGCTGCAGCAGGGCCAGGACATCGGGTTTGCACCGTTCGACGCTGCGGCAGCCACCAGACCGGCGCAAAGCTACACCTTGTCCTGTTTAGAGCCAGTATTCCATAGCAGCACGGCCGATCCACGCCTGGAAACGCTGCAGCAAAATGTGCCTTCGCAGCTGGCACTCGAACAGTGGGCGCGCGTGCCCACGTTCGAGCTGATGGCCGCGCGGACGGCGCAGCTTCTCGGGACGCTGCGGCAGTTCAAAATCGCTCAAACGGCCGTTGACTACTCGCACCAGGGCGCGGTATTTTCCAGCACCGCCCGACCGTACAACAGGGAGTTTGCCGACCACTCGATCGCGACGGGCATGGACCTCTGGCTCGCGAAAAGACCGCCGCTCGGGCCCGCGTACAAGGGTCTGTGCCAGACCTGCGAGTTTGCCCCGCGGTGCGGCTATCTCCACGCGCTATCGTGAGTCGGCTGTGCTCGTGCCGGCCGACAAATGGGTCTGGGGCTCGGCAGGGGCCGCGCCAGAAACGACAAACTGCGGGTTTTGCAGCAGCAAGTACAGCGACCGGGACCCGTGCTTCCTGCGGATGGCGCCGCGCCGGCGGAGCGCGTCGGTGGCCGTCTTGTGCGGCTTTGCGATTTTCGACGCTGTTTTGGACGCGCGTTTGGGCTCGTGGTCTGCGTCGTACAGTCGGCCCATTGCGACTGTTTATTTATGTAATGTATGTATTTGCTGACTGTTTTCGCTATGCGCAGCCTGACGTAAGCAACACTCCACAAAAGCCCGGGTGAAAATTTTTGATCCTCGATACGAACGCAGCCTATTCACTGCACCGTCCAGCGTGGACGAGTGGAGGGGAAAAGGTTGCCAGATCAACGCAGCAACATCTCATAAACTGTCTTGCTTGCCATGCAGGGCGGGCTACTAAGTTTCTGCGACAGTTACGTATTTTTCCAGTCCTATAGTACACATAGCAGTCCGTAAACCATGGAGATCAGGCCGACCCCAATGTTGATCTTGCCGGCAGCGCCCTCGAAAATGGAGGCTGCCGGGGAGGAACTGTAGATGGCCGAGATGGCGGCGCTGGCCGTGCTGGACGTGAGCAGCGTGCTTTTGGTGACCGTCGAGTATGTCGTGAGCTCGACGGGGACTCTCGAGATGGTCGACGTGTACACGACGGGCGCCACGGACGGCTCTGTCTCGACGGGCACGGACACTGTCGACGGCTCGGCGAGGTCGACGGTCGACTGAGGCACGGAGCTGGTCACCGGAGAGCTCGAGGCGCTGCTCGAGGCGCTGCTCGAGGCACTGCTCGAGGCACTGCTCAAGGCTGCCGCGCTGCTTGAGGCAGCGCTGCTTTCCGGACAGTACGTGGTCAGCACGGTCGTGACTTCGCCGTCAACGGACGTGACGGTGACCACGCTGGCGGAGGATCCGAAGGAGGCTGTGCTCGAGGTCCTGGTGCTGGTGCTGGAGCTGGAGCTGGCCGAGGTCAGCGGGCAGATCGTCGTCACAACGGTCGGCGTGTTGTCGACCGTCGTCGTGTACGACGTCAGCTCGTACGCGGCGGCGCCGCCCTTGGAGCTCACGACCGCCTCCGACGAGACAGGACAGTGCGTCGTCACGACGGTCACGTGACCCGACACGGTGGTGGTGTACGACGACACGAGCTCTTTGGTGGTCCACGTGGAGCACTTGCCTGCGGAGCACGATGTCAGCGTGTCGGTGACGGTTTCGGGGCCGGTGACGGTTTCGGGGCCGGCGTTGCTCGAGTCGGAAGTGCCCGAGAGCGGGATCAGCGTCGTCACCACCGTCTCATGGCCCGAGATCGTGGTCGTGTACGAAGACACAATCTCTTGCGTCGTCCACGACGAGCACTTGCCCGCTGAGCACGAGACAACGGCGACTTCTGTCACTGCTGGCGTGGCCACCGGCGCCGACGTCGTGCCGGAAAGCGGGCACAGCTCGGTCACGACGGTCTCGTGGCCGGAGATGGTGGTGGTGTAGCTGGACACGATTTCGTCGGTGGTCCAGGTCGAACACCCGCCCGCGGAGCAAGAGGTGCGCGTCAGGACGGTGTGCTGCTCGTCAGCGGCCGTGCTGACGACGGGCGACGCCGTGGACGAGCCGGACAGGGTCTCGAAGCCCGTGACCACGGTCACGTGCCCTGATATGGTGGTGGTGTACGAGCTCACGAGCTCTGTGGCCGTGAGCGTGGAGCACTGGCCGCGGTAGTTGCAGTCGGTGTAGGTTGTTGTGATGGTGATGCAGTCGAGGTCAGTGACGCCAATGCTGTTTGTGTCCGTCACCGTCGGCGTGAACGTCGCGTCGGAGAGCTGGTTGGGGCCTGCTCCGCTGCTCAGCGTAATCACGCTTGTCTGGGTGACGGTGGAGTCTGTGGAGCAGGACGACACGGAGCTCGGGGCTGTGGTCGCAATGGACGAGTTCCAGTACCTCGGCTGGACCTTGAGGAAGTTGCCATAGGCAGAGGCCTGGCAGGCCCACAGAGAGGCCGCCAGGGAGGCTAGCAGCGTGCGATCTGGTCTCATCGAAAAAAGAGGCTAAATGCGGGTGTGGGCAACGATTGGGGCATGGTGGGTATTTATAAGTCGATCCGGGCAAATCAATGTCCATTGTTACAGGGGTGCCCGGTCTGCTATCGTGCTTAATTTTGGATGGCTGGTTTACGTATCAGCTGGATGTGAGGCGATTTCGTGACTTGATTGGGTGGGTGCACGACCAGACGGGGACCCGAGCAGGCGCGTGTGAGGGGGTCTGGAGGCCGCTGCTGCCTCCAGCATGTGCTGCGATGGGCAGCTGTGCTGGGACTGCGGGCCACTGGGCCGCCTGAGCTCTGTAGGCGTCCGCTGCGGCCCGGATCAGCCACCCTCTATTTTCCAGATCTGATGCTTAAATTTTTTGGCGCCGCACAGCCGCAACATGTTCCAGTCTCGCTACTTCCAAACCAGCCATCTCGAACTTCGGCTTTGACACAGCTAAGCTACTCCCTGATCTGCCGGATCGCGCCACGAGCCCGCCGTCTACGTTCTATCAAAAATGTCCTCATCGTACTCCTCCTCCTCGAAACTCTCGTCGTCGTAGTCGCTGCCGCCGCTGCCGTCCGAGTCGTCCTCCGACGACGTCTCCTCAATCGCGCCATACGAGCCCTCCTCGTCCTCGAGGTCCAGCTGCAAGTTCGTCAGCGTCTCTCCCTTTAGACTCACCTTGCGCCCAACCGCGTACGACCCTTCGACGTTGCAGTTGACCAGCCTGGTGCCGGCGCCGATCTGAGTGTTGGTGCCGATGATGCAGTTCTCCAGCTGGATGTCGTCCTCCAGCACTACGCCGTCCAGCAGCACGCACGCCGTGATACGACACTTGTTGCCTATTTTGCACCTGTTCCCAATCACAGACCGTTTGACGCTGGTTCTCTCGCCCAGCACGGTATCGTCGCCCACTTTCGAGTCGGCGCCCACGGTCGCTGTGTTTTTGGGCTTTTCTGCCTTCGGTCTCGGCACAGACGTGTTGTCTCTCGCCTGCAGTTTCAAGATGTACCGGTTGGCCTCCATGTAGACGGGCAGGTTGTTGCACCGGGCAAAGGTGGACTTGGCAGGCAGTATGAACAGGCCCATTGTCTCTTTTTCCACGGAATGTCGCCACGACCGTCTCGCAAGGTCCCGTCGGATTTTGATGGCCGGCTTGTTCGCCGTGAGTCCGCCAGCATGCTCGTCCAGCAATTTAAATAGTCGAGCGTCGCCGAAAAAAATAAACGAGTCCAGCAGGTTGGTCGAGACCTGTGTGTTTGGGTATCGCCAGAGCAGATGCGTTCTGATCTTCAGAAACTTCGACAGGGCTACCGAGCTCTGCGAATACAGGTCCAAAAGCACCGACTGCCCGTTCTGAGACGAGTACATCGTGTAGTTACCCTCGAGCACCTTGTTTGTGTCAATGTTCTCGAAGCTGTTGTTGTAGCACACCGAGAGCCCGATATTGTTGCTGTCCTGGCCGCGGTACACCTCCACAAGCACCTGCGGCGGCACGTCTGTAATGAAGTCGCAGGGCAGAAGCACAAAGTTCTGGGTGTGCTTGAGGATGTGGTCCTTGTGCTGCGACAAGATCAGGCCCGTTGTCGACGCGTCGGCGCCAATGCATTCGATAGGGCTCGTCCTGGCCAAATCTGGGTCCCGCAGCTCCTTGTACGTATCGACAAACTTGGAGATCTTGCCCAATGTGCTGGTTTCTGCGAAGATGGTGATCTGACGGAAGGGAGCCCTGTCGCACCACTCGAGAACGTACTGGATCATTGGCCGGTTCGCCACGGGCAAGAGCGCCTTCGGCAGGCCTGTTTCCTTCACGGCAGAGATCGGGGACAGGCCAGAACCCTTCCCGCAAAATATAACAGCATGACACTCCATTGCACTGAATTAAGTTGAAATAAATAATTATTTTTTATTTTCCTTTACCCGGCTTTTTTTCTTCAACTTTTTGCCACTGGTTTATTTGCAGCAATGAGCGAAGAACACGATCCACTGCTCGCGGCGCTCAATGAGGACGGCCAGGGCTCCAACTCCGGAGGCGAGACGGCCTCGCAGCCGCAGGAGTCGTCAGAAGAGTCGATGCGCAAATCGGCGCTCACTGGGTTGAAAAACAAACTGATAGAACACAGTCAATGGGAGAGTCGGCTAAAAGAGGCTCGTTTGGGAATACGAGACCTCGAGAAAAAGTTCAACAAGACAGAGGATGACATCAAGGCATTGCAATCTATCGGCCAGATCATTGGCGAAGTGCTCAAACAGCTGGACGAGGAGAGATTCATAGTGAAGGCTTCTTCAGGACCACGGTACATAGTGGGTTGCCGGTCGACCATCAAGCGGGAGAAACTGAAGAAGGGGGTGCGTGTGGCACTAGACATGACCACATTGACCATCATGCGCATTTTGCCGCGAGAGGTGGACCCATTGGTGTACAATATGACGACGTTCGAGCCGGGCGAAATCTCGTTCAGCGGAATTGGAGGTTTGACGGAACAGGTTCGAGAGCTGAGAGAGGTGATCGAATTGCCGCTCAAGAACCCAGAGTTATTCATCAGAGTGGGTATCAAGCCCCCTAAAGGTGTGCTGTTGTACGGTCCGCCAGGAACGGGGAAAACGCTGCTGGCCAAGGCTGTGGCGGCGACGATCGGCGCAAACTTCATTTTCTCGCCTGCGTCGGCCATCGTGGACAAGTACATCGGAGAGTCGGCCAGACTGGTGAGAGAAATGTTCAGCTACGCAAAAGAACACGAGCCATGTATCATCTTCATGGACGAAATCGACGCCATTGGAGGCCGCAGATTTTCCGAGGGAACGTCCGCAGACAGAGAGATCCAGAGAACGCTGATGGAGCTGCTCAATCAGATGGACGGTTTCGACTATCTTGGACAAACAAAGGTGATCATGGCCACCAATAGACCCGACACTCTAGATCCTGCGTTGCTCAGAGCCGGAAGACTGGACAGGAAAATCGAGATCCCGTTACCGAACGAGAGCGGCAGACTGGAGATCTTCAAGATTCACACCTCGAAGATCAAGAAGCAGGGCGAGTTCGATTTCGAGGCGCTGGTCAAGATGAGTGACGGCTTCAACGGTGCAGACATCCGTAACGTTGTTACGGAGGCGGGATTTTTTGCCATCAGAGAGGATAGAGACTACATCATTCAAGGCGACCTGATGAAGGCCGTGAGAAAGATGGTCGACAACAAGAAATTGGAAGGCAAGCTCGAGTATGAAAAATTATAGGAAATGGTTAATGTTAATCGTTTATATATACATGTTGCTACGAAGCGTTGGCTCTTTTAGCTCGTCTGTTGCGTTTCTCGGCCTCTTTTATTTGCAGATCCCGAAACTGTTTCTCCTGCTCTCTTCTTGCAAGTTTCCGCTCTCTGTATTGTCCGGACACTTTCTCCACGTAATGTTTGAAGTTTGGATCGGTCACATTGTTGAGATGCTCAGCAACTCTCGAACCGATGAACTCCATCACTTCGGCAGACATCTCAGTGATTTGAGACTCTCTGATCTGTTTTCTTTCCTCGAACATGGCCTTCTGAGTCTCGCTGTATGGCATTCCCGGAGCTGTTAGCTTGGTGATGTCTCCCTTTTTCAGCACCTGTTTGTCCCATTTGTACGGTCTCTTCATGACAGGGTCTCTGAGCGACTCGATGGTGAAGTCTGCCGGCTGTTCGAACTTGAGAATCGAGTTTTCGCTATGTGTTCTCTCTTCAGCCACCTCTGGTGGAGTCGAAAATGCGCAGTCTTCTGCCGGATCTGGTCTGGGCCATGGAATGATTATGTGTTCATGGTATTTCACTCTCCGGATAGGCATCATTTTCTTGTAGTCCTCATCGAAATACTTGCCCTTGAAAATGACCTCCTCGGCCACTATATCGTACTCGGTGCCGTCCTCTTTCACAAGAGTCGCCACCACTTTCACATCGTCGGGAGAAACCGTCTTTGGGAAGTCGATGAGATAACCGTTCTGGCCGTCCTGCCAGAGCTGTTTAGGGATAACAAGCGGCTTGGTCTCCGCAATGTCCGTGTAAATCGTGTTGGAGGACGGATGCAGTCCAAGCACTTTACCAAATTTTCCCTTGTTTGGGCCTTTCGCAAACATCACCCGGTCTCCTTCAAGCACTTTCCACTGCTCGGGCCTGGTGTAACGTTGTTCCTCGAGGACAACCTTCCCATTAGTGCGTAACGCAGGGATCTGTGATTGATCGATTCTACTAATGAGTAAGTCCCGGAAGTGCTTCGGGAGCCTCTCGAGCATCCGTGTGATATCGTTCGCCATGACAAGAAGTTTTATTTCGAATAAAAATTGGAATCTGATTTTTATTTCCTGTCGGTTACCCGGTACAACCCGCTTTTTGTCGCTTTACCCGCCCTCGCTGCCTTTAAATCACATGCAAGTAGAGATCTCACGTAAGATGGTAGCAATTTAAGCAATATAGCCCGCAACACAGGCGTTTGTGTCTAGGGCAACAATAAGAAGCAGCAATAGATATCTGCTGGGGGCACTATCTTATAGCCGGTTCTGGTACGCATCACCTCAACCTTAAGACAATTTGATCGTGCTTCCACACCCCCAGCTACCGCCCTTATCTAAATTGACAGAAAAATGCTTGTTCCTATAAAAGGGCTTTCTTTTGTGCATCTGCCTTTCAAACGTTTTTTGAAGCCCACTAGGTTTTTTTGCTCACCACTGTGCTCTTTGTGTCTAATTTAATCAGCAATCTCTTACTCGTGCCATGAGCTCCTCCGAGACAGCCAAAAATAGCAAAATCACCACCAACACTTACTCCCATGTGTTCAAGTACCCACTAGTGGCGGAGGTCAGCGCGTTAGCAGAGAAGTCGTCCACCGTGAGGGTTGTCGAGTCGTACGCGCACTCGTTGCTCAGCAGAGTGCTCTCCGTGCTCTCCAGCGTGTCCATTCTCGTCTTGCTCCTAAACGCTATCGATCAGACGACGGATGCCACACTATCGTACTTGGACCGCACTTTCCCCTTTTTGACCACCATCTCCACAGAAACCATCTCAAAAGCGTTAAATGGCTACTACGACAGATGGGTCCGCGGCGCGGTGAAGAACACCAGGGCGACGTTTGCAAACACCGCCAGCTCTGTGCGCTCGCGGCTGAGTGCTGTGGTGAAGCGGTTCAACGACTACTACGAGTCTGCCTTGGACAGGCTGTTACCGCTGAAGAATCAGGCTGAAGCCAAGGGCCAGGAGGTGACCGACATCGCGCAGAGCGAGCTGACGCGGTCCAGAAAGCTGCTCAGATCTACCTACGAGAGGGCTCTTCCGTACGTCCACCAGGTGTCCGGCCTGCCGCAGTACGTGACCGAGGTGTACAATAGCGAGAAGTCCTCGTCGTCGGCCCCTGCAGCCATTGCGAAGACGTCGAGAAGACTCTCGAACGAGGCGTATGTGAACGCGATCAAGCCTACCTACGATGCGACTCTGAAACCGACCGTTGACCGCATCATTGGCAGCCAGTCTTTGCACACTAACGGCGCGGTTGACACGGTGGCTGAGCCGCTCAACGGCTCGCTCTAGGCGGGGAGTCCTTCTTTTTCTGGACAGCTCTACGGGCGTGTTTTGTTAGGTTGTATTTGAAACGATGCTATAAAAAATCAGCCGTTCAGTAGACCTGCGAAACGAGCACTGTACCTGCCGCCGTAGACTTGACACTCCTGCACAGCCCTGTTCAGCTCCTCGAACTCCTCGCGACTCAGCTTGATGTGAGTGTTGTTCTCATGGTTTCTCTCGGGCGTCGAGGCCGAAGGAATAGGAATCACCGTGGCGTACTTTTCCGGGTACTCGTTGAACGTTCTGACCCACGAGAGCGCGATCTGGGCCATGGTGCATCCCTTTTTGCGGGCCAGCTTTCCAATCCGCTCCAAAAGGTGTTTGTTGGCGTCGATGGCTTCCTGCGACGCAAACCTGTCAAACATACGGCGAAGATCGTTTGGTGGAAGATCGTCGATGGTGTTGATCTTGCCCGTCAGGTAGCCTCTTCCCAGCGGCGAATATGCCACGATCGGGATTTTCAGCTCCCTGCAAGTGTCCATAATTCCATTTTTCAGAATATCGGTGCTCCACAGAGAGAGTTCCACTTCGACACAGGAAATAGGATAGACGGCAGCAGCACGTCTGATGGTGTTTGCATTCACCTCAGACAGACTGATGCCCTTGATAACGCCTTTCTCGATGAACGGGATGCACGCCTTGACGAACTCCTCGACGGGTGTCTTTGCGTCCATGCGGCCGGCCTCAAACAGCTCGAACTTGTTGCCAGGGAAAAACGAGGCAATGTTCTCGATCGATCTCTTGACAGCTTCCGGGGAGCAATCGGGGCCGGTCGGGGTGACACATCCTTTGATGCAAACAGACACCTTGGACCGGTTTTCTGGGTACTTGGCGAAGTACGCCTGGAGCAGCTTGAGGTTTTCGAACGGCCGCTTTTCCACTGTTGGGTCCGGGTTGAAGAAGTTCGGACCGTAGAACTCGCCGCCGTTGAGCAGCGAGACGCCGTCCTTGATGGCGTTGTTGATAGCAGCAAAGGCCTGCTCACGTGGAACAGGCTCTGGACGAGCAGTCAGGGACATAAGGCCGTAGCCGGTGGGGCCAGAAATGGGGAAAGCAGACATGGGAAAAGCGGGAGCGCTGGAGGGCTTTTTATAGTGCGTCGGCGCTCTGGGGTCTGAGCAAGCCCGTGGCGTGAGAGCTCAGGCCCGTTGCGAACGCGGTCGTTGCGAGTGCTCCCTGGAGTTAGCTCCATATATTTGAGTCGCGCACGACGTTGGCGTGGGGGGGATTAGGACTAATTCCGTTTATAAGATGGAGACGTTTCGGCAAAAAAATTGCTGGTGCCAAAGATGTGCGCGTTGTTCCGAGGTGGAGTAGTCGAGCCCCTCGCGGTGGGCGACCACAGTCCAGCATATTACATCATCGGCCAGAGTGGGCCCGGTTCCTGAAACCGGCAATGCATTGTCTGGACCTGAGGCCGGCCGCAAAAGAAACGGAGATGGAAATTTAGACCATGCACAGGAAACTTCCTGCAACTTCACTGGAGGCGACTAATGCTGTGTTGATGCGGGGGAAAAGCCTGCATGGCCGTTTGGGGAAGGAAGCAAGCTTCCACTGCCTCGCTAGACAATAGGTTTTGCGCGTTCTGCAATGCACAGAAGAAGAAACTTTACAATATGCATGGAAACGCGGACGAATTATAAATCGTAGACTTTTCCCAACCTAAATCACCACCCGTCGGGACCTCGATCCGCCTCCCTCCCGCACACGGCACGATGTTGATGATGTCCGCCAACAGCACCCCGCCGAATGCGCTCAGCACGACCACAGCGGCCTACGGGCGACAGCCTGTCCTGGCCAAAACGCCGGACGACCGCTCCCAGAAAGTCCGGCTGCCCAGCATCAACAAACTGTTCCCGCGCCCGGACCAGCCAGCGGACCCCTTGTTCCAACCCGCACAGCACTACGTCCACAGCCCGCTCGTGCCTGCCGTGTACACGGGGCAGACGATGTTCCCGCTGCCGCAGCCCGCTGGGCCGGCGGCCGTGGCCATGAGTCTGTCCGATTCGCAGGAGTCGGTGCTTTCGCCCGCGAGACGCAAGTCGCTCTCGCGCGACAGCCGTTTCAAATGCGACCAGTGCCCCAAGTCGTACACAAGAAAACACAACCTGGTGTTCCACAAATTGAGTGTGCATGAGAAGGAGAAACTGTTTGGCTGCACAGAATGCCAGGTCAAATTCAGCCGCTCGTCAGACCTCTCGCGCCACACGAAGGAGCAGCACTCGTCGATCGTCAAGCCGTTTGTGTGTGGCGGTGTGAACCCGGACGGCACGGCGTGGGGGTGCGGCAAGCGATTCTACCGCAAGGACCAGCTGAAAAGCCATCTCAACACCACCAAGGCCGGGTTCAAGTGTCTGCAGCGCAACTTCGCTGTCATGATGGTGCCGGGCGGGCCCGACCCGGACCTGTGCGGGCTGTAGATAGGTTTAGATATACGAGTAACGAGAGCAACGCCCACGAATTTCAGTTCGCGAAAATACTTTCCCTCCTTATTTATGATCGACCCGAGCGTGCGATTGCGCTCCGCCATCGTCGACGGCCAGCTCCCGATCGTCGCCCGCCTGCTCAACCGCTACCCGGACCTGCTCGACAACATCGACCCGGCCAACGGGTGGTCGAACCTGCACTACGCCGCGTACCACGACCGGCTCGAGATATGCGACCTGCTGTTGCGCCGGATCGCGGACCGCGCGCGCGGGCCCACCGCCGGCGTGTACAGGGCTGCGCGGCACACCCCGCCGCCGCGCTCGTACGCCCAGATCACCAGCGAGGACGAGATAAAGCTCACGTTCCAGCACGACACCGTGATCCACACCGCCTGCTCCAACAACGCGCACCGCAGCCTCGAGCTGCTGCTGGCGTATTTCAGCGTGTGCATCGACCAGCGCGGCCACCACGGCTACACCGCGTCGCACGTGTGCTGCGTGGCGAACTTTGCGCTGTGTCTGGGCGTGCTGCTGGAGAACGGCGCATACCCGAACATCCAGGACGACGACGGCAACAGCCCGCTGCACCTGGCGCTGGAGTACGGCGCGCTCGACTGCGTCGACCTGCTTGTCGCGTACAAGGCGGACGGACAGCTGGTGAACAACGCGGGCTGGAAACCGGAGGACCTGGCGTACGATTTCGAGGTCCTGTCGCGGTACAAGGCGATGCAGACGCGCCCGCCCGCGCTGGCGTCGTTGCCTTCGCTCGCGAGCCAGCCGAGCGACGCGCCGGGGCCGCTCAACGCGAAGGTCTCGCTGCCGTCGATCCAGCACCGCAAGTTCTCGCTCTCGTCGCACGCCTCGTCCGACAGCGACACAGACGACCAGTACGTGGGCGACAGCAACTCTGTGTCGACGTCGTCGTCGCTCCGGCTCACCAGAGACCCGTCGCCCGTGAGCGACGCGGCTCAGGGCCCGTCAAGCTCGAACAGCCTGGCCAGCGTGCACGAGCACCGGCCAGGGCTCGCGCGCAAGGCGCCGCCGACGCCGCCCAGAAAGCTCTCCATCCCGGCTCCCGCGTCGGTGACGTCGTCGCTCAGCACGCAGTCGCCCGCCTCGAAACGGTCCTCGATGAGCATGCGCAATTTCCGGTCGAACTCGCAGACGTCGGAGTCGTCGCCGATGAAGCCGCAGAACCGGCTGTTCTCGCGGCCGCACGCGCAGAGCTCGCCCGTCGTGCCCGAGAACGAGCCCGTCCCCGTGCCGGCGTCGAAACTGAGCAACTTCCGGCTGCAGAACGAGAACCGTGTCAAGCTCGGACTGAAGCTGGACAGCATGATGCGGTCGCAGGAGAGCCTGGCGCAGGAGGCGGCCAGCGAGCCCGGCGTGCCGCGCGTGATGCGCTCGAATACAGAGCCCGCCGCAGACCACGCGCAGAAACGGTCGCGCATCCTGTCGATCCCGATCGCAAGTCTACGCTCTCGGAAAAATTAGCACTACATAGCATTAACCTTGCGTCGCGACGCATTGATCCAGTCCTTGAACGCGTCGCCGATGGTCGAGTAGCTCTCGAAGTTGTTGATCACGCGCACAAAATTGTCCACGTAGTCGTCCTCCGAGTCCGAGTCCTCGATGTTGGCGCTGCCCGTCAGCTGCGCGCCAGGCCGCTCGAGCCTGTCGTCGAACTGGAAGTTGTCGTTGAGCGAGTGTGTGATGAGCAGCTTCTCGTCTGTGGCGGTGTCGGCGCCGTCGTCCGCCGCGTCCTTGTCCGACTTGAGCAGCTGCAGCTGCATCGTGTTGTAGCTCTGGCAGTGGTCGCACTTGAGCCCCAGGTAGTGGTACGGCACGCGCGACTTGCCGCCGCAGTCGACGCACTTGACCACGCTCGTCCACGCGGCCATGCCGTCGGGCATCTTCGTTGCGCCGATCTCCTTGTCCAGCACGCGGAACTGCCGCTCCATGTTGACGATCGTGCGCGAGCAGATAGGACACTTGTACGAGTGCTTCGTGAACTCGTCGTAGCAGCTCTGGTGGATCGGGTGGCCGCACAGCATGAACACCACCTTCTTGGTGGAGCTGAACATGAACTCGTCGCAGATCGGGCAGTTGGAGTGCGTCGAGTTCTCGATGCACTTGTGGTTCTCCTGCAGCTCGATCGAGATGCACGTGTTGCAGTTTTTGCAGTGGAAATAGTCCTGGTTGATGCCGAGCCCGAGACGACAGATCCCGCAGTCGTCGCAGTGGTAGATGTTCTTCAGCTGGTCGTTGTCGAACAGCTTGCACGTGTCGCAGTAGTACTCGCTCAGCTTGCGGTTGCAGCCGACGCAGAAGTGCTGTGCCAGCTGCGGCGTGTTGCAGAACATGCACAGCACGTGCTTGATCCGGCTCCGCACCAGCTGGTGCGACTGCACCTCCTGGTCGTGGCAGAAGCGGCAGGTGTACCATCGGCGGCACGTCGGACACTCCACCTTGCAGTTGCGCTGGTAGTGCGCGCACCCGAGCATGTTTTCCTCGGCGTTGTAGTACGTCGGCTCGAGATCGCGCGGGCCGAGCACCACCTCGTCTCCGCTGGCCTCGCTCTCGGCGTCGTCGGCCTCTGCGCGCTTGTACCGCTGTTTTTCGAAGTACGAGCGCGACATCAGCTTCTGGATCAGAAACCGCTGGTCCAGCGGCAGCAGGTCCAGGCTCAGGATCTCCCTGATGCGCCGCCGCAGAAACGCCTGGTCGTTGAACTGCTCGAACGTCAGGTACGTGAGGTGGTCGTAGCTGGCCAGCCGGTCCTTCACAAGCGACACCGTCGCCTCGGGCTCCTGCAACACCTCGACTCCCCCCGGGTCGTGGAGGTCCTCGACGGGGTAGTCCAGGTTGGCGTTGACCACGTCGGTGAGCGACTCGCTCAGCTGGGCGTATATTCGCGCGAGCTCGTCCTTTTTCGTGTTGAGCCCGGCCAGCTTGCGCCCCAGCGACGTGGTGTTGTAGTCTCGCGTGAGGGCTGCGAGCTTGGGCAAGGTTGGCAAATGGGGGGTGATCGAGAAGGTGGGGAACGCGAGCCTGCCGACCTGCTCGAGCGTCTCTGTGAGGGAGTCCGCGTCGGACTGGGAGTCGGAGTCGGCCGGAGGGCTGCTGGGCTGCTCTGGGCGTAAACGCATTTGCGCAATCTGAGATTAATATTCGACTACTTGTCTATTATTTGACAGTGTGCACAGCCCATGGAAAAAACAATAATTAACTTGTTAGCTGTTTATTCGCAACATGGCTTTTACAGACTACATCAAAATTAGCGGATTCGCTCAGGACATGAAGTCCATGAACTTCAGGTAAGTGCTCTTCCCCGGTGCCTAACAGCAGTCTCTACGGCCAATGGATCGGCATTGTGCTGGTATTTCTGTGCATCGCCCTGGGCATCGCCAACATCTTCCACTTCAACATTGTGATCGTGTTTGCGATCCTGGCGATCATCCAGGGCATCATTCTGGCGTTTGTGGAGGTGCCGTTCCTGCTCAAGATCTTTCGGGTGCCTGATTGGTTCATCCGCGGCGTCCAGATGCTGGACCGGAACATGTACAGAGTGCTGTTCTACGTCGTAATGGCGGTGATCCAGTGGCTGAGCCTCACGTGCCAGTCGACGTCGCTGATCGCGCTGGCGGTGCTCATGACGATCGCGGCGCTCTGCTACGCGGTGGCGGGCGTGATGAAACAGGAGTTCCACAAGTCCAACGTCGTGGCCAGCGTCGACGTGAGCGAGATGCCGATCGACGCGCAGATCAGACAGGCGTTGTGATATGCCTGCGGGTCGCCCGCTTTCGCGTGTATTGTCCTATACATTCTATTTCAGATGGCCAGATGGTGGATCTTGCGCAGATGCTGCTTGAGGTTATCGTTTCTATTGAAACGCTTGCCGCACTTCTCCTGCGGACACACGAACGGCTTTTCGGACGAGTGCGACCGCATGTGCCGCTTGACGTGCTCGGGCCGCTGGAACCGCGAGTGGCACAACGGACACTCGTGGGTTTTCTTCTTCTCCTGCTCGGAGTTCTTGGAGCGGGACTTGGACCGCGACGACTGCAGCGGCCGGTCCAGCCGCTCCGGCTCCTTGAGCCCGGAGCCGAGCGCAAGCTTCTTTTTGTACTCTTCGGCTTTATTGTCGCCTCCCAGGAACGAGCTGACGCCGGATGTGGATGACGATGACGAGTTTGGCGGAGTTAGGTATTGGAACCGTGAATACTGTCTGACCTGGGTATGTGAGTAGGGAGTGTCGTAGTGGTAGGGCGCCGACGCTGGGGCCGCCGCCTGCGCGTGTTCCGGCTCGGGCACCTCCGAGATGGAGAAATTCAGATCGTCCATGAACGAGCTGGCAGAGCGCAGCGCGGCCGTCTTCGCCTCCTTGTACGACGCGATCTCGCTCAAGTTCATCGTCGAGCGCGACCGCGTCAGCCGGCCCGGCTTGGGCTGCGGCGGAGGTAGCGTCGTGGCGCGCAGCAGCGGCGGATGCATGAGTTTCTGCTGGTCGAGCGCCTCGACGTTGTCGTCGTCGATCAGCAGCGGGATGTCCTGCACTTTCTGTAAAAACTCTGGGTTGATGAAGTCGCCCGACGCGGCCAGATGGTCCATGTGGTACACCTCGTGCGTCTCGTGTCTGAGCGTGTGCAGGTCCGACAGCTTGCCGCCAAACTTCTTTTTCATCAGTACGGACGGCGACACAAAGTACGACTCGCAGGGCTCGCCGGCGCTGTCGCGTGGCTCCTCGCCGTCGTCCTCCTCGTTCTCGTCCACCGCTGGCCGTCCGGGAGTGCGCAATGGCGTGTGCAACGGCGAGCCGTGCTGGTTGTGCTGCATCTGCAACTGTAGGTCTGTGTCCAGGTGCGACAGCGAAACAGACGTCGTGAGCGACCGCTGTTTCCTGTGTTTAGTGATCTTGGGCGACAGAAACGCCGGCGGTGTGTAAAACGGGTTGCCCGTGCCGGGCGACTTGTCCGTGGCTCTGCCCGCGTTTGCGGGGCGCCGTGGCGTGATCAGCGAGTTCGACCGCCTGATGGGCGTGCGGTGCACGTTCGAAAGCGACCCGTTGCTCACGCTCGACGGAATCGGGTTCTCGGTGTGCACGCTGGACACCGTCGAGCTCGAGTACGACTCTGTCAGCGGATGCATGTACGCCGGGTACTGCAGCGCCGGGTCCTCCTGACTGGAGATCGGTACAAAATCCAGCAGGCCCTCGTGCACGGCAGACGGCGCGGACGCGGACGCGGGCTGCTCGTGGCCAAACTCCTGGTCCGAGCCCATGTGCGGCCGATGCAAAAAGCTGTACTCGTGGACGCTCTGTAGAGTCAGCGTCTCGTCAAGCAGCGGCGACGACGAGACCGTCACGTTGTGATCCTTGAAAGGAGTCTGGTTGGCTGGCGGCGGAGATGAGGACATCATTCTATCTCACAGCAATCTCGCTGGCCAAGCACGAAAAGTGGGACAAAGGGTAAGTTGGGAAGAATGCTCGCAAAACGGCCGGAAAACAGACTGTGTTTGTGAGAAACGGCAGGGCAGGTCGCTGGTGCAGTTCTTGTTGCCTCTGGATGGCCGTGACAAGAAATAAAAAGGGAGACAGGTTTTTCTTGGATAATTAACCCGATTTACTTAAATGCGGTACCTCTGATTTTTGAAAAATTCTCAAATCTCAGTTGCAGAGGGTGGAGTTTTCGCAGAAGAGCCGCCTTTACATAAAATGTGCGCGAACCGGGCCCGGAATGTGGGTTCTGTCTGCTCCAGCTGCCAGACACAGCTGCACGGCTGCCGGGCGTCGCAATGTGTGCCCATGTCGTGCTTCCTAAAATACCACACACCCGTACACCAGCAATGAGCCCCGACCGAGGACAGCGGCCGGCACGAGCTGACGGCGGCCGTTCGTCTAGGTTGTGTGGCCTACATGCTACGGCAAAGAGGGGCGCTTGGGCCAGTATCGCGCCCGAAGGTACGTCCTGGGCTGTTCTTGGTCCCCGTTTATCGGCTTGGACGTTTTACCCCATTGGGTAAAATGTCAGTTTCGCGTCGTCGGCTCGATTTGTTTACTCTTGCATGGCTCACGCGTCACTAGCCCTGCTCCGCCACGGGCCTGTTGGGAGCGCATCCGTGCACCAGACACCAAGCGGAAAAAATAAAGCGCCGTCGAATTCGAGCTCCTTGTGTTACCCGGCCCTCTCGTGCCCGGCTAATTTTCTGCGATCGACGCCGTGTAATCGCGGAGGTAGCCGTAGGGTGAGCGGAAACATGGCACGATACTCGCGATGACAGCTGGCCCTGTATGGGCCAGCTGGTGGCTCAATTGTTTGTGTCGTGGGTGCCACACACGCTGGCGCCCTCCTGCATCCGCACAACCCGGCAACCCTCGTCCGACCTCGACTCCGGGCATCCTTCTGGAGTCATATTTTTTTTCACCACGGCCAATAATAACCGGCCTGAGTCGCACCCCACACCCAATTTTCTACTTGTCCACCAATATTTTACTCGTCTTTTCTTCCTCTTCTTCTCGGTGAATCATGTTTGCTAAAATCGCTACTAGACAGTTCTCCTCCACTGCGTCCTCCGCCTACAAGGTGTCCATTCTGGGTGCTGCCGGTGGTATTGGACAGCCATTGTCTCTGCTGATGAAACTCAACCACAAGGTCACCAACCTCTCCTTGTACGACCTGAGACTGGGTGCCGGTGTTGCCACCGATATCTCTCATATCCCAACCAACTCCGTGGTCAAGGGATACGGTCCAGAGGACGATGGGCTGTCGAAGGCATTGCAAGACGCCGACGTGGTCCTGATCCCTGCCGGTGTTCCTAGGAAGCCGGGCATGACCAGAGACGACCTGTTCAACACCAATGCCTCCATTGTCAGAGACCTTGCCAAGGCCTGTGCTGACCACTGTCCAAAGGCTGCCATCTGTGTGATCTCGAATCCTGTCAACTCGACTGTTCCTATTGTTGCCGAGGTGCTCAAGTCCAAGAACGTCTACAACCCAAAGAAGCTGTTTGGTGTCACCACTCTGGACGTGCTGAGAGCCTCTAGATTTTTGTCGGAAGTCGCCGGAACCAACCCTGTCCACGAGCACGTTACCGTGGTTGGCGGCCACTCCGGAATCACCATTGTTCCGCTGATCTCCCAGACCAACCACAAGAACCTGCCAAAGGAGACCTACGACGCTCTGGTGCACAGAATCCAGTTTGGCGGTGACGAGGTCGTCCAGGCCAAGGGTGGTGCTGGTTCTGCTACCTTGTCTATGGCCCAGGCCGGTGCTAGATTTGCCTCTGCCGTGCTGGACGGTCTTGCCGGCGAGAAGGACGTTGTCGAGCCTGCCTTCGTCGACTCTCCGCTGTTCAAGGACGAGGGTGTCGACTTCTTCTCGTCCAAGGTCACTCTGGGCGTTGACGGTATCAAGCACATCCACGATCTTGGCCTGCTCACTAACGCCGAGCAGGAGATGATCAACACCGCCAAGGAGACGCTGGTCAAGAACATCGAGAAGGGTGTCAACTTCGTCAAGCAAAACCCATAACTTATTTATACGAAACCACCATATTCGTGATAAAACTGAAATAAAAAATATCTTCTATGTTACAGCTTTAAACGTTGTTGGTGAACGCGTTCAGCACCAGCTCCTTGCCGCGCGTCCGCTGCGACCTCGCAGGCAGCGCCTTGAGATACTCTTCGTTGATGTGCGGCAAAACCTGTGTGATGTAGTAGAACCCGCCTTTCGACGTCCAGCTCACGTCGTTCTCCGCGTACGTGTATCTTGTGCACCTCATCCGGCTCAAGATCGATTCCGGATGGCCCCACGAGATTGTGTACCCTGGAGGCACAATCGGCTTGAGACTGATGATCTGCGTGCCTGCTCTGAGATTTGAAAACAGATCGACCACTCTCTTCGAGAGCTCCGAGTCGAAAAGATAGTTATTCACCAGAATCACGTCGCTGCGGTCGATAATCTGCTGGACAGGCGCGTTGTCCACAAACGACTCGCCAAGGAAAAACTTCATTGCCCCGTGCTTCACTCCCCAGATGGCGCATCTTTTCTCAAACTCCTCGGTCTGAAGCCTGCACAGTCGCGATGCGTGGTCCATGATCTCGACGCCGTAGCTCTCACATCCATGCTCCAATGCTGCCTGGATGGTGCAATTGCCGACTCCGGAACCCAGATCAATGAAAACCTTGGTGTGCGACAGATTGCACTGCTTGAACGCTCTGCTCAGAAACGTCGGCATCAGTTCGCCGTATACGTAGTTAGAAAACGCCTTGTAGCTCCTAAGCTTCCTGTAGTCAGGAAGAACTCCCCGCAAATAGCACTGGTTCATGATCTCGTGCACAAGCAGTTGCGGGAACGTTTTGCGCTGTCGAATGTGTTGGATCATCTCGCCGGAATTCCTGAGCTCCATCACCAGCGAGTTATACTCCCCAACGAGTCGGACTAGCTGGTCGCCGTCGTGCCGGCTCACAGCATCGTCCCATCGCCTGATTAAACAGTTTTGCGGATTATCGAAGTCAATCACTAGCTTTCGAGCCTTTTCCGGCATGTACACCATGGCGGTCAATTCCATCACTCGAGCAATATCTGCAATGGGGTTGAACCAGGCATTGAGCTTGCATTCTGCCAGGAGGTATTTCTCTTGATAGTCAAAAAGCGGGTACAAAAGATGCACCTCGCGGGGCCTGATGCGCGGATTCTTCATAACATATCGGTCCAGCCGATCATTCACCAACGTGTATGCGCTGGTGAGCTCGAGCTCCTTGCGTTTGTTACTTGCCTCTGGGTCAAAAAAGCTCCACGTAATATTCACGTCGTCGGACGTCTCGTGGTTCAAGAACCAGGGACTACCACCGCTCTGCTCCGCGCTCTCGATCTGCTGTTTCGGTTCGCTCTGCTCCTCGATCTGCTTTTCTCGCTCGGTGGACTTTCTATTCGATATCTTTTTCGCGCTCGTTTGTGGTTTAGCAGTCTGCTTGCGTTTGCCGGTGGACGGCTCTTCTGGATCTTCCTTCTTTACCAGTTGCCTCCTTCGTCTGCGATCGCCAACACCCCCAACAAAGTACTCCGTAGCGTTCAGCAACTGTTGAAGAGTGTTCCCTTTGTAGTAATTCGCATACCTTTTCGTGCTTTTTCCTCCCACGCAAGACACACCTGCCTTTTCTCTAGGGACACCCTTCCAAGAAATATCTTGCCCGCCGCCATTGCCAATGGCCGCGTGCTTAACGATATCCCCAACAGTTTCTGGGGGGCTTGTTGCCGAGGATGTTGGCGGAGTGTCCTCTCCCCGTACTGGTGAGCGGTCAGGTTCAAGCCCTAGCAGTGCCATCAGAGGTTTCTTTGACAGCAACTAGATACAGCTATTAAAGCCAGTCAAAAACAAAACAAATTCTTTGACTTGGCCTGTGTTTCGATCAGGGAAATTTACTAGTAGTGTATGATGCAATTATACTAGAGGTTTTTGCGCGACACCAGTTCGTTAACCTGGTACTCCTTGAGCCATCTGAAGGGCAAGGAATAAACCTCAGAGATGCTCTGGCACTTGAGCACGGAGATAATCTCCTGGGTTTTGCCAAAATGTGCATTGTCGCGCAGCAACCCAAGCGATTGGTAGAACTCGTTGTAATCTGCTTCCAGTTGCAGAGCACCACCCACACTGAACTTGTTGCAATATATGACGTTTTTCTCAAAGTAGCTCGTTACGGCGTCCGAGAGAACAAGCTGAATTTTGAGAAAATCGCTGTAGGACACCACTGTGCGTAAATACGTCAAGTCGTTCTTCAAAGCTGCAAGAGTCACGTCCAGCTCGCGGGAAGGACCTGGCTCCATTTCGGAGATTGTGGCCCACGAGCTGTGGCTTATAAAGTACGACTTCATCGTCTTGTTCAGCTCCCGCTCAAAGTAGGCGTGGATCTTGCGCGGAAGCTGTGTCATCAGCTCCTTGTTGTATCCCTTGATAACGGAGTCGAAAAACGTTGTGTCCAGTCGGGAGTTGCCATTTATTGAGCTCCACAGCTCAAGAAAAACAATTGATTCTCCCCAGGTGGCCATCGTCTCGATGATATACTTGGACGAACACCAGATGCGGCAGATGCGCCCCAGAGCAGACACCTCGTCGTTGATCTTGCCATGAATTATAGTGTCTAGGGCATTGAATCCTTGCTTCAAATTGGCAAAATACAGATTTAGTAGTCTCAGCTGCACTTCGCTCAGAAACTTCACCTGGAACTTCGTTGGCAACATCGCGTAGTTATCGCTAATGCCTTCGAGCAAGCTTTTCAAATTGATTGCCGACCTAGTAGGCTTTGTCTTGCCGTTCTCCACAAAATCCTTATCAATTGCAAAAGCGTCCTTCTTGCTAATAATCTCTTCGTATCTGTGATTTACAAAGTTTTTCTCGTTATTGAGCCACAAGTTGAACACATCCTCGTTTGATAGAATGAGAGAAGAGGTCAGCAGTCGCGTATATTCTGGCTCTACTGGCGTGAAGTTGTATGTTTTGCTCAAGTTCTGGTCGAATTTTTGTAGCTCCAAAATCAAGTGACTAAGAAGACCCTCGTGCTTGGAGACTGAGTCCATTTCCCTGTCAAATTTCTGCTTCACTGGGCTGAGGAGGGAGATAATAAAATTCTTCTTTAGGCTCTTGTCAGGGAAATATTGTTTGAATGTGCTACCAAAAAGTTTCTCCACCGCGGGTACGCTCTTCTTTAAATAAGCTTGAAGGTAATTCAAGGCGTATTCCGGCTTGTTAAGTCTATTGGTCTCGCTCGAGCCTTCAAAATGGAACACGAACTTCACCTTGAAGTTGGAGGCCAAACAGTCGAGTGCCCAGAAAGTGTCTATCTGGTCTCCTAGATTGTAGATGGATTGCAAGCGAACGAGTTGTCCAAAGCTCCTTCTCATGGAAGCGATGTCCTTTGTCCTTATCTTCTGTTCGTCGTCCCATTCGCGTATGAGAGATTTAAACTCGGACGTAAGTCTTTCTTTCAACTCGCCTCCCGCAACCGACTGAAACTTTGACTGGAGAAGATCGACATACTCGGTGTGACTTGCAGCCGAGCTTGGATCATCAGTCTCTGTCTTCTCGTAAGCTTCCACCTCTGTGCGTAACTCCTCCAGATGGCCAATTGCGTCGTCTATTTTCAGTCTGGGCAGCTCCAAAAGCTCGAAATCGTTCAGTTTATCAGTTAGATCAAGATACTTATCGTAGAGCGTCTTTATATTTTTCAAAATGAGCTTCTTGCTCAATTCTTGTTTTGCGCTCGTCAATAGCTCTATTTTTCCGTATTTTTGAATAAGTTCATCAATGGCTGCGACGTCGTCTTGGTCTACTATGGTCTCAAGCTGTTGAATCAGAGACCCGGCTAGGTCCCATTGGTTTTGCTTGCCTTCGGGGCTCGCCTGCTCCTTCAGCCAAAGCCTTTCGCCCTCTATGCGTTTTATAACCTGATCAATGGACGCCAGATCCTCGATCGTGGTAAAATTCTGGTTGAGAAACGACTTCAACATAACGAATAACGAACAAGATACAAATAAGTAAATATTTCAAGTCAGATCGGTGCAGAGATGTAGGCAGCGTGCAGAAAACAAAATTCCATGCAGCTCGCGGGCCTATAGAAGCTGGAAGCAAGAATACAGGAAGTCGAGAGCAAGGTTGAAAGCAAGCTAAATTAGGCTACTGGTTAGCATAAAAAGATCTGAGTAGTCGTTAGCAAGGATCTTCGGCTTTATTGAGAAGTTAGGACGCTAATATATACATACTCAAAACTGGTCTTCCTCGATCCCCAGAAAAAAAGAGGCTGATTATTACTGCCAAACAGAATATTCGAGTGCCAAACTGTTTTGCTATTTTGTCCTAGCATAGCATCACCACATAAATGACATCAGCTGTAAGTATAATGAGCCGACTCATTGAGCTGGCGTCTTGTCAATTTCGTCACTAACCGTCCAGTCCAAAGAATATAGGCTTGTTGTTGTCGGCCCACCAGTGGTGGGAAAGTCTGCATTGACGATAAGACTGACACAATCGGAGTTTGCGAACGAATATGACCCCACAATTGAGGATTCCTACAGACATTACTGCGAAATCAACGGCGTGCCTTCTTCCCTGGATATCCTGGACACTGCAGGGCAGGAGGAGTACTCTTCGATGAGAGACTTGTACATGAAAACGGGCGAAGGGTTTCTTTTGGTGTTTAGTTTGACAGACCGCAAGACTTTCGAAGAAATCAGCTCATTCTATAACCAAATAATGAGAGTCAAGGGCGAGCAGGTGGCATTTCCTCCTTTGATTTTGGTAGGAAACAAATCCGACCTCGTGGACGAACGACAGGTGTCAAAGGACGAGGCAGTCGCGCTTGCTTCGAGAATGGGCTGTGCGTATATTGAGACCTCTGCCAAGACGGGATTAAATGTGACAGAAGCATTCCATAATTTGGTCAAAATTATCATAAATAATGGCTACAAACACGCTGGCCTGGTGGGCACGACATTTCCCGATCCCGCGGAGGAAGCCAAGGAAAGACAGAAGCAGACCACAGGAAGTAAAAAGGGCAAGAAAGAAGCTCGTGCGGCGACTTCTGAAAACCTTGCCACAGGCATGGGAACTGGAGTCAATGGATCCACCGTCCAGGCCACCGGAGCTAAAGGCTCTTCTCATGTCTCCGGTGCTGGCACTGGTGGTGAGTCGAAGAATAAAAAGGACGGTTCTGGGGGCTGTTGTACTATCATGTGAGGTGTACCAAGTAAAAGTATGAATTTAAAGTGACATTTTTAATGAGAGGTGTAATTCAATTACAAAAGCAAATCCTCAACGAGAGCAGAGACAATTGTGGACAGCTTGCAGACAGATTGCTCAATTCTCTTACAAAGCAGCCTCTGCTTGCTTCTTCACGTCGGCCAATGGGTTGGTGATGGCATCGTCACCAGTCTCGGTGGGGGCGGAAGGAGCAGCAGAAGGGATGGATGGAGCCGATTCGGCTGTAGAAGCCGTGCTGTTTGCAGCCGGGGTCTCGCCAACAGTAGATCCAGCAGTTCTGACTGGAACCTTGGATCTGATGAAGCTGCCGACTGGACCCAGCTTCTTTTCGGCGTTCTCCAGTGCTGGACCGGTCTTCTCCTTGATCAATTGAAGCAGCTCGGCCACCTTGTCCTTGACAACCTTTGTGTACGTGACAATAGCATCGTCGATCTGTTTTTGGTTCTTCAAGTAAAGAGGAGGAACGGAGAATGCCGTCAGAGTAGCCGTGAAGAGCAGAGTCCAGAGGGTGAACCAGGAGCTCAGCTTGTAGAGGATGTAGGCGACGCCGGCCACCTTCAGGGTGGACTCAATGTCCTTTGCGTAGAGTAGCTCCTGCAGTTTGAGCTCGGCAGTCTTGATGAGGTTGGCTGCATGGCTGGCGTATTCCTCAGCGTACTGGCCAATGACGTTCTTGTATGCCGGTCTGAATCTGGTGACAAATCCTTGGCCGGTGGCCAGCTTACCGGCGTACTCGCCCAATGCAGAAACTAGATGGGTTAGTATTATTGGTCGTGTGACTTGGCTGGGAGATATCCAAACTAGTCAGCGTCGAACTTACCTGCCAGAACAAAAGCGGAAATATAAAACACGATGCTGAGCAGATTGACCGACTTCAGCAAAAGCAGGGATCCCACCAAAGATCCAAACACTTTGCCGGAAACAGATGGGTCTTTCCAAGTCAGCAAATCATAGCCTGACTTGCTCACGCAGGCACCGCCACAACAGGTTTTAGCTTCAGACATTTCCAACGGATGATGAATACGGGGTTATTTGTTAGTTACGTGCAATTGTATCAGATACTATAACTCAGCACCAAACTAATTAAATCAATTGAATTTTGAAAGTTTCCCTTTAGATCAATTTTGATGATAAAGCAAATTGAACAAATAAATCACCACAGAGAAAAAATTGTAGCTTCGTGACCGCAACGGAATTTGGCAGCCACACTATTTCTGGTTGCAAAAAGCAGGAATAGTTAACGAGGTCATACAAGAGAATAATTTATTAGGTCATAAAGGTATTTAGTCGTGATTGTGTCAGTACTGCCCCTCAACAACTTGCTCTTTAAATTGTTTCAGTTTGTTGAGCGCCCGCTTGTAGCCCTTGGCGCCGCTTCGTTTGTAGTAAGATATGGCAGATTGGACATTCTTTTGCACACCGAAACCTTGCTCAAAACACAAACCAATCATAAACTCGGCTTCGGCCAGCTGGCCCTCGTCGGCAGCCTTGCGACCCCACAAAAACGCCTGTTGGTCGTCTTTTTTCAACACTCCTGGAGCCCCAGACCCGTACCATTTAGCCAGTCCAAGCGCAGAGTATGGATGGTTATCGGCTGCAGCTTTCGAGAACCAGTAGATTGACCGTCTGGCGTCTTTAGCAGCAGGAACGCCGCCCGTAGACTCTTTATCGGACCTGAAATGAGCCGTGGGGAAATATCCTTGAGCATAGTAGAACCCTAGAGACGCTTGCGACTCGCGGTGCTCCAGCTTGGCAGCTTCCAAAAAATAGTTGAGAGTCTTGGAGGAGTTTCTAAAGATCCCTGCTTTCATCATCTGACTCACCGAAGCTTTCGTTTTTGGTGTATCTTTATCGAGACAGAGAATGTTGAGGTCTGTCTGGTGCAGTTTGGCCAGCGTATAAAGAGCACCGCGCGAGTCGCTGAATGATCTTGCCGAGACAAGAGGATCCGAGCCCATGATATCTGGGTTTTTGAGCGCCTTGTAGGCCATTTCGTGCCAGTAAACAGATTTGCTAATGTCTAGCGGAAAGCCGTTCACTCCAGCAAAATACAGCATTCCAAGTTGGCACATTGACGAAGGATCGCCCAGCCGGGCCCCCTTCTCAAAGAAGCGGCAGCTCTGCTCAACGTTTTTGGTGCAGCCGACTCCCGACTCCAAACAGCAGGCCACTCTGTAGCAAGCCACTGGATCGTCCTGTTTCGTAGCAGCGTCATAGAAGAGCTTGTATCCTTTGGCCTCGTTTCTGGGCAGCACGCCAGGATGGATACCTCCAGAATAAATGTCGCCCAGATAGAGACGAGCTCTGGTCGAGTTGGGGGATATCTGAATGATTTTTTCCAGCACCTTCACTGCTGTGTTGAGGAATTGTTCTCTTTGGGGAGCCAGTGATTTGAGCGGGATAGGCGACTTTCTCACCCTGCCGTCGATGGCCATTTTTGAAATCAAATCTGAGCGAGCAATGGCCTCAAGAAGCGTAATCGCCCACTCAAACTGGATAGACGGCGTGAAGCTCTTGTAGTCTTTGAATGCCTTTTCTCTGATTAATCCAAAACCGTTGATGAGACTGTCAAGGGAGTCGGCTGATTTTGACGGTAGTATGGGCTCGATGACTCCACTTGCGTGTCTTTTGAACGAGCTCGGCTTGATATATCTAATGGTTTTCTCCAGGAATTCAGACTCCCCGGTGTCGGGATCTGGCAGGGGAGGAGCTCTTTCATTGGGGTTCGGCAAGTCGCCAGTTTCTGGTGTCCGGTCACTGTACACGCTCGAGCTCACGCTGGATTCGCTAACTAACCGGTTCGGTGGTTCTGGTAATGTAGACGAGCTCAGAAGACTCTCTTTCTGCCCTTCCAGCATCTTCTCGACCGACTCTGACACCGGAGGAGGTAGTTTCCGCTTGTATTTCAGAGTTGGCGACGAACGGCCCATTTGCGGTGGTCTGGAAACGGGACGCTTGATTGCTGGAGTTTCCATGTGATCCATGTGGAAGCCCGCCTTTTCGAACCCTGTACGGTAGATAGACTGCGAGTACGTCAGAGTTCCTGACTTTTCGAGTTCCTCGTACGAAGGAGGAAGATCATCATCAGCGTCGTTGGTCCCCGGAGAGTCCAGAAACTCTTTCACGAGCTCTTTTTCGCCAGAGGTCAAAGAGGTAGCACTGTCCCTGGCTTCACTTTTATCGTCCAATCCAGACGACAGGAAAACGTTTGCGACCGGACTGTTAGCAATGGATCTTTGTTCTGCTGGCGGCGGAGGCGGCAAAGGAGGAGCGCTCGTAAAGTCCGTCCTTTGCGAGCTCTGGGACGCGTTCCTGACAGACTTGTCTGAGGTCGGCAGACTTATTCTACTGGCCCCCATACTCGGTGTCGTGAAATTGAAATCATCCTTGCCATTGATACTGCTCGAGTCGCTGGACACAGACGTGAGCGAGTCATTTTTCGAGGTGAGATCTTGAAGAACCAGCATTTTCTCCAACTGCATTATTTTGTCCTCGAGCTGGTTTATTCTGTCATTGTCCACTGTCTGTGCTATCGCTTTGGAAGGCGGCTGCGCGTCCGGCACAGGAAACTGTAAAGCGTCCGGCAGCGACGCCAGTCTCAAAGGCTCAGTCTGCGCAGATTTCGGGTACTCGTTTCCTCGGGGCTCGGGCTCGGCAGAACCATACTGTCTGTTTGCATAATCGTCACTGTATGAAGTTGATCTCATTCGGGGCTGTGGTCGTTGATTCTGGTGCTCTGGTGGGTATGGAAGAGACTGGTGCTGGTTGTGGCTGCAAGGACGCTGAGGATTCTGAGGGTATCCGTGTTGTTCATTGTAGTGAGTCGGTTGTGGTCTGGGACCCTGGATATGAGGTTTTGAGTTGGTTCGAGGCTGCAGGTGTGAATACTGAGCCAGCTGGGCATGGTAAGCAGGCTCGACGGGTTGAACGTGTGGTACGGGCAGAACAGGATGCTGTGTAGCATCGTACGGATTCTGCTGCAAGGGATGCGCAACAAACGTCGCTGGCTGTTGAACATACGGCTGCTGCTGAACATACTGCCTCGGAGGATGCGGGACAGGTCTTGGCTGTTGATATCGCGGCTGCGCACGCGGCTGCTGCTCGAACGAGTACGGATTATCGTTCAAAAGATGGGCACGTATCTGTGCTCGGCTGCTGTATGGATGGCTCATGGCAAATTTAAGCTGGGCTCAGAATGCTGTGCGAGTTCAGAAAGTGTGGAAAAGGGATATATTTATCAATCATATACAGCCTTCAACAATAGTTCCGGTTCCAAACTACGTTAAAACGCGTGTGATGAATTTATGCTTTATTTAGAGCCCCGACGTAAACAGGGCGCAGTCGTGGCGTCGATCGACGCGGTTCAGCCCCAAGCATGCGGTTGTCTGGCCCATGGTTATTGCCGAATAGAGCCCTGTTCCCTGAAAACTATCGGCATTCATGACTAGTACATGACCACTTACAGTATCGGTCTTTGTGTATGCGGCCTAGAGCATCATGAAATAAATGTCTAAAAATAGAATTTCTAAAAGCCTGTTGTCGCTGCTACAAAGTTGGACAATAGGCCTTTGCAGGTGCGAGCACAGTAGTATCACAGCGGTCCAACTCTCTTCTCATTATCAATGACTTATCATCCATGGCGAAGCACAATAAGCCGAACCTACTTTTGTCATTCACCTCCGCATTGATATGTAGAGGATCGCAGTCGTCTAACTGTCGTCCCAGTGTCCGAGTGGTTAAGGAGCCGCCCTGCTAAGGCGGTGTGCTTTGCACGCGCAGGTTCGAATCCTGTCTGTGACGTTGTGTTTTTTTTATAGATCTAAATCTTTTGATCTGGCAGTGCCACATTTTTGCCAATTTATTACTCGCCATGCCGGGCTGCAGCTGCCATGAGATTGACTTCGGAATTGACGTGAGTGTCAATAATAACCATCTTATCGCCTCCAGAGATCCTGCGCATCCCGCAAACATGATCTGCGAGCTCTGTCGTCTATTTTATACCAACGGGTGGTGCACTGGTACTGGCGGAGGAGTCTCTATAAGAGACGCTAACAAAGCATACATTGCCCCAAGTGGCGTTCATAAAGAAAGAATGGTTCCTTCAGACATGTTTGTGATGGATCTAGAATCAAAGGAGTATCTTAGAAAGCCTGCAAAGTATAAGGCATCTGCTTGCACGCCACTGTTTTTGGATATTTACAATATCAGAGACTCGGGAGCATGTATCCACACGCATTCTCAAAATGCGGTAATGGTAACATTGCTATTTGACAAGTATTTTGAGATCTCGTGTATTGAGCAGATCAAAGCTCTTCCAAAGCTCACGGAGGCTGGCAACCTTTGGTATTCGGATAAATTAACTATCCCAATCTTGGAAAACACAGAAAGAGAGGAAGATTTATCTGAAACTCTTCAACAATGCATCATAGACCATCCTGGGACGACTGCTGTTCTGGTCAGAAGGCATGGAATATTTGTCTGGGGGGAAAATATCTGGAAGGCCAAGGTTTACAATGAAGCATTGGACTATTTGATGGAAATTGCTATCAAAATGAAACAATTTGGAATTCCAACTGTGAGGGAATAATAGACGCGTTCCTTTGTTTGTGTCGTTTGATTAATTCTAGTGTACAAATATGCTATCTAAGTGCATTTTTCGTGTCTTTGAGTTGAAAGCCGTGTATCTTGTCGTAATCCGTCTGCGATTCTTCTTCGTCGTCCAACACCCCAACAATAACAATCTGCTCTCCTCGTATGAGATAAGACCCTAGCTCTAAGTCCTTGGTAGGTTCGGTGGGAGAGAAGATGCGCTCGAAACTTTTCGAAAGAACAATATTTGAGGACTGATCAAATCCTTCAAGAACTCCAATAAACAATCTTCCGTCTGAAGTGATCACTTTGACTTTTTCTGTACTTGTTAGTTATACATACATGCTTGCTGACTTACCTTCGAGAAAAGATTTCAGAGCAGACATCTCGATTGCTGAGAAATTGGCCTGCAAGATCAACCTGCTTGATAAAACACACTATATAAGTCAATTTTTTGGTGTTTATCTTCTACTGATTATGTAATTCCCGGAAACTTGAATTGAAAAAGGGCTTACCCCGATTGAAGGATTCTTAAACAAAAACTAAAAGCGATCAATGGACACCAGCTCAAACTCAGAAGGTACTTCCACACTCAGAAGTAAAGTATCATATTCACTGGAAAACCAAACCCAGCTGACTGATATTGCAAGCACACAATTGAGATCACAGGGCTATAAAGTGGGATCAGCAAAATCGTTGCAACTTTATAGAAACCAAATTACCTGCGGCGATCAATCAGCGACTGAAGAATCAGAGGAGGATAAAGACCAGGTTTCTGGAGATGACTTCAGACTTGTATCAGAATCTAGCGACTACGGAAAGGACCAGAAAGACTTAGTTATGTGGGCTAATAAACTGGAGCTAGAAAGTGCCGACCTCAGGGAAACCTCCAAAAAATTGATTAAGGACCTACGTTCAATGACAGAAGACATCAAGCGAAGCATCAAACAATTTCAGGCTCTCGCTACACAGTCCAAAAACGTCATGAAAGAAATGGATACTCGTTTGAAGCTCTTTGGATACAGGGAAGAGTCCGTTGATGAGAGTACCAACGACGATATCAAATCTGACACTAGAATAATACTTGACAATCAAGTCCAGCTTTTCAGGATGATGGAAAGACAGGAAAAGTTCAACCAAAAGCTCACGGAGATGCTGAATAAAAACCTCTGGAGTGATAGTCGACCCCTTGACGACAGGTGTCAATCGCAAGTCCCAAAGAGTGCAAACAGATGCTCTTCTAAATCCATCGGCACAGATCAGGATGGTCCCACTAGCAAGAAGCAAACCTCTAGTGCGCCCTATTCCCGAACACGTTCTGCTAAAAGCTCTATACATTTTGGCTAGCTCAAGAGATTAGTTTGTCATGTTTCGATGGATATCAATGTCAAAGTGAGCGCTGAATTTTGCTAGTTTCTCCATCTCAGGAAGCCTCTCATAATATAGATAGTACGCCGGCATGTATCTGTCCACAAATTCTTCCACCTCTTCCTCAGTCATGCCTGTTCCCTTGTCCTCTATCAATGATTGCTCCTGTTCGCGTCTCCAAACATACACATTGGCCAGGTTAGAAGTTGTTATGTACAAAAAGCAGTCGAATTTTGCCCATATTTGTTCGTAATGGCTCAAATCGTGGTCAAGCTTCAAGATGTGATCAAATTTAATGGAGTCAAATTTTGGCTCATGTTGTTTTCTGATTTCCTCCCACTTCCGCCTCAGAACGATCTCATTATTGTATGCGCGGTAACCAGTAAACCAACCTTCAAAAAGAACTACGTCGACTTTGCGGCCTTGTAAATGGGTCCATTTCTTCTCAGGGGCACGATCCCCTTTACCTTTGTGCAATGATTTGTCATAAAAAGGAATTGTAACATCATCGCTGCCGTTCTCGATCTGCCCAAAACATTCCAATAACAGTTGGAGGTCATGGGTGCCTGGTAGTCCGCGTCCTTGCAGTAATATGTTGTCTCTGTTCAGCTCGCCTACCTTCTTCTGCTCCTCAAAAGTGAGGTAGAAGTCGTCCAGCGAACATCGTATTATGTTGAGTTTATGGAATTTTATTGACAGTTTCTTCACTAGTTTAGTAGAAACATACGTCTTGCCGGAACCTTGGGGTCCCTCTAGTCCAATGAATAAGGGCTTGCTATAGTCCCAACCTCTTATTATTGGTTCCACAAATTCTAATGCACGGATCAAAACAGACATTAAAAGTAGCTGAAAAGAATTTATGAGGGGGAACTCTAAAATGAATTTCTAGTAACTATTAATGTTTTTCATTGAGGACTAGCCTCAACGTGAGGACGGTTATTCAAATAGCCTTCAGCTCCTTTAACTTGGAAATCAATTCGTCAACAGAGCCAACTTTAGCACCACCTTGTCTCACTGGAGGGTCTTCAAGCTTGATCGTCTCCAACCTATTCTCAAGAGTGATGCCTAACTCATCAACCTTCAAAATCTCCAGTGGTTTCTTCTTGGCCTTCATCATCTTTGGAAGGGTAACAAATTTTGGCTCATTAAGTCTCAGATCTGTAGTGATAATTATTGGCAAGGAAGCCTTCACGACTTCCACACCTCCATCAATTTCTCTCTCAACTTCCACGGTGTTGTCTGCGTTAATTTTAACCTTGGATGCATTGGTCGCTTGAGGCCAGTTCAAAAGGCCGGCAAGCATTTGCCCTGTTTGGTTGGAATCGTCGTCGATGGCTTGTTTACCAAGAATGATAAGGTTCGAGTTGTGCTTTTCTTGCAGCTTTTTGAGGATCTTGGAAACCTGAAGCGGTTCGACGTCTTGGTCTTTCACGTCCACTAATGTCGACGTATCGGCCCCTTTCGCTAGAGCAATTCTTAAGATATCTTGTGCTTTATTTGGACCAATGGAGACAGCATGGATGGATTCAACTCTGTCCTTGTGGGCGTTTCTAATCTTTATGGCTTCCTCAACGGCGATATCGTCAAAAGGATTGATACTGAACTTAACTCCAGCAGACTCGACTCCTGTTTGTGCCTTATTGATTCTGGGTTTGAGTGCAGCATCAATCACCCTTTTCACAGGAAGTAGGATTCTGATCTTAGACGACATTGGCAAGAGAACTGTGGAACCTGATTACTCTGCAAATTAGCTAGTCAAGAAATTAAATTATATTTTCAAGTCTTCAGAAATTGGTATTCCTTCTTTTTTCGGCGAACTCGCTTTGAAAATTAGCGACATCAAAATAGGGGTGGGTATTAAATAAACTATTTCACGACATAAGACAAAAAATCACAAAGCGTACCTCTATAATTGATTGAACGTTCTAGATTTGGATTTCATCATCTCAATTCTTGCCTTCAGCTGGTTGGTGACTTCAGCAGCTTTCCTCCAGCTGTCATCGTTCGAGTCCACATCGTATAGACCTGAGCTGAACTTGCTCCTCGTACTGGTGGTTCCTCCAGTGTTGGATCCAAAGTAGTTCTCTTTTTCCATGCCATTGTGGATACTCAAGTCGGAGATCCTTCTGTTCAGATCGGATTTCGAGTCCAGTGTCTCTAATTTTTGAAGAGAGAAATTGAAGTTATCATTTGGTTCCTCTTTCACTGCAACCTTTTCTGATAATGCCTGCTGCAATTGGTATTGCAATTCTCTTATTTTAGATTCACTTTGATCGAGGTCGCTTTGAAGCCGAGAAAGCTGTATATCCTTCGATTTAACGGCCATAGTCGCTTCGGTCAGTCTCGCCTGTTGGTCATCTAACTTTTTATTCAAGCGAGCAATTTCCTCTGTCTTCGTGTCTAACTGACTCTGGATTTCTTTTCTTTTTTGATTCCACTCTAGTTTTTCTGCCTTCAGCGACTCAAAAAGCTCTCGTTCCGAAGAGTTGAGCGAGGGAGTTGTACACTGAGCTCGATTCAGGGACTGCGAATTGGTAGGCTTGAGTGTTCTTGAAGTCAGATTCATCTTGCCGGTAGCCGTTGATGACTTTAGAGGAGATGAAGGTCCGCGCTTGGATGGTATAGTCGTCGATGTACTTGCTAGCTTCCGGGATGTTAGAGAAGGTTCAGAAGTTTTGCTCATGTTCGGAGTTGCTGAAAGGCTCTGCCCTGCAGGCATAGCGGAATCAAGCAGACCATTTCTGTCGAAAGTAGCCGGTGCCGAAACTTTTTGAAGGTAGGCGCCTCCGGATTTTTGCTTCGTTCCAATTGTTTTCACTTCACAGGAGCTTGAGTATTCGTCAATTTTCTTTGTTTTCCTTGAATCTATTCCTTCCAAATATGACCTGAGTTGTCGTTCACCAGCAATCTTCACAAGCGTCGCCGTAATCTCACAGGCAAGATCTCTTACAGGAGCCAAAGAATCTGACATTAGTCGTAGAGAAACTTGCATAATTGAGTCAATCTCTTGCTTCTTGGGTATCGTTTCTGTTTGCTTGAGACATCTGATCAAGTATCTGGAGCTCTCGATCTTAATTTGGGGCGTTTTGTGAGACATATACTGCAGGGTCGGCTCAAGAAGTTCACTGATAGATGAGAATTTAAAGCACACATCCAGCGCTGCTGAAATGGCGTCCAACACTGACTGCTTTTTTTCTTTTGTTCTTTCAAGCAGCGGTGAGATCAAGATTGAAACATAACGATGGAAGTCTTGTTGTAGACCACTTCCTAATTTTTCGATAATTTTAGAGGCCAGTGTTACTACCTGTATGTTGGCATCTTTGAGACATTTGCTCAAAACCCTTATCAAATCCATGTAGTCATCGTTTTTCAATTTGGGATATTTGAATTCAGTCAGGACCTCTTCCAAGACCTCAACTCTATCTTTCCATTTAGAAGATTCAATTCTTGATTTAAAATCACTTGGTATCTTTGAAAGAACTTCGACAGGATCAATCAAGTCAAAAGCGTCCAATTGGTCACTAGAAACCTCTTGCGCATCAATCATTGATACATCCTCTAAGCCTGTTTTAGTTTCAGCTATTTGAACTTGGTGCGATCTCAGGAAACGCTTTGGCGTCGGCGTACCCTCAATCTTTTCAAATGCTTTTGCCAGATCCTTCTGCTGAATTGGCTTCAATTTCTCAAAGATGATTGTGTCAAACGCAGTGCCCATATAAGACCTCAAGGTTATCGATAAAATTGTTGTTTCAGCCCGGACATTTTTATCGGCGTGAGCAAATAATTGGGGAATCACATCAAGAACAAGTTTTGGAGGACAAACTTTGCAACCGAAGTTACTGTATATCTCGTTCAAAGCGGCAACTACACCAGCCACAAGCTTTGGTAATTTTGCTGACAATGCTGGTAGTAGGGACTCAATAACGGGATCGGGAACATCCAATTCAATGTACCATAAAAGTGCATTTATCGATTTCTGTTTGGTACCAGGTCTAGTGGATCCCAGCCCTTTCTCTGCAATTGCACTTATAATTTGGCTTCGAGTTTTAGTACAGGCGTTAGACCCTCCGAATTCCAAAAAAGAGCAAATAGCACTGATTCCTGCTTCTTGCGCGACAACATTATTATCCATAACCATTTTTCGGAGCAAATCAGGGCTTTTGAGAAATCGACCAAAGCATTCATCGTTGTCGCTGCTGGAATTTTGAAATAGCTTGTTCACCTCTTCGTAAGCTTCCAAACGAACTTTCCAAACCTTAACGTTAGAAACGCGTGGTAAAAAATCAATAACATACCTTGTGTTGCAAACGTTCCTCAAGTGGCAATGACCTATAGTCAGCATCATCCCCTCCATCCATGTTGTCGTTATAAAAAGTTAGAAGCTGATTTGCAGATGGTTAAGCAAGGCTAAACTGTTTCCCATCCAGTTGATAATGGAACAAAAAGTAAACAAACAAAAAAAAAACGAAAACGTTTACATAAAGGGTCTACCTACGTCGATCGACCGCCTCATTGGTTCATACCAAGAATAATGAATGATACCGTACACAAAAACATAGCAATTCTCACACTTCTCTACACTGTGGGCCCGGGATATCATTTGTAAGGTAGTGATTTGCGATCAATTTTATCGCCAATAAACCACATATTTCTGTGTTCCAGGTTAAAGCAAAGACTTAATTTACCGATACGTAACTGGGAAATGTTTCAACTTGATATGAATTATGAATATCCGATCGTTTTGCGCTAGTGGTCTGTAGTGGAGAAGCCTCCCATATGATGGTGGCGTGTAAATAACTGGAATCTAGAACAAGCGATTTATTTAGTAAAGTTTGGCGGTGCTACATTGATCTTGAAGATTAATAATTATTGAGGTAATGTCTCGATCGGTAGAATTAAATATATATAAAAGCAAGTCAGACTCGTCAAACTAAAATTATAATTCAATGTCCGTGCAAAGCAGCTCAATTCAAAAAATCGAATACTTGCCTTTAGACCAAATAATCAGACCGATTCCTCCCGTACTCGACTATTCAAAGATCGATACAATGGTTTCAACATTAAATGGACAGCCAATGGCTTCTCCTACCTGCAATATCGAAGACATCACTCCAGGTGAGCTGCCTCCCATTGATGTTCTTACTGTTTCTGAAAGTGGCAAAAAGAAATACTTTGCATTTGGAGGATGTCACAGATTTCAGGCTTACGAAAAGAGCCGTAAACAGTTAGTAAAATGCAAGATTCTTCCTTGTACGAAAAAACAGCTTAGACTATATTTGGGCTCCTCCGTTGACAGTTATTTCAAAGAATGATGGCGATAGTTATAGATTAGATAATATGTCGATGTATAGTTTTAACGAATGTCACGTTGCAAATTAACTTTTGGATGTCCTTTCAAACTCTTTCTTGCGTTTTTCTGCTTTATTTTCTCTATAGTCTCGTTGATATTCTTTTTCTTTCTGCGCGGCTTCAGGTTCTGGAGATCGCTATAGCCACACGATTCCAATATTCCATACCTGATTTCGTTCATTCCTGTGCGTTGTTTTAGATCACTTTCAATCGAGTTCACAAAGTACATGCGTGGTCTGATTTTAAGGTCATTGAGTATACTTCCGGAAATCAATTCTTCGAAGTGTTGAATTCTAAAGTCACTTTTGACTTTATCAATTTTGTTGAATATAATGTCAAATTGGACTCCCATTTCAACCAATGCTTCAAGTATCATCTCGTCATAATAATTCAGCCCAACATCACCATTTAGAATCAAGAAACAGTTTCTTAATTCTCTCCTTTCAGCAAGATATTGCATTGTGAGCTCTCCTTGCCATGCTTTTCCCTTCACACCATACCCTGGACTATCTACAAGTCTGAACAAGCCTCCCACGTTGTAAAAATTCAAGCATGGCGTGTAACCAGCGCTTTGTTTGACCCTGGCGTATGAAGTTGCAGATTGCTTATTGTTGCTCATAAGAGCATTCACCAAAGATGATTTTCCGACGTTACATCTTCCCAAAAGTATAACCTCTGGCAAAAGCTCGCCCTTATTTTCGTGACGTATTACCGGTTCTTCGATTCGCATTTCGACAGCTGCTCTTTTATCTTCGCCTGGCAATTTATTTAGGTCATATATGCTCCAATCAAGACTAATTTCTGAGTCGTTTATGATTCTGGATACATTACCTCGATCCACGCTTGTTAACACCGGGACTGAAAGATCACTTTTGTGTGCAAAATGCCTGTTTAGAAGTGGGCCGTCTACAGGCGGCGAAGGCGTATTGACTTTTGATTTCTGGCGTACTGGAGAATGCACTTTCTCTAGATGATCGTTTGAGTTGGCAAGCAACGATCGAATTTTATTAGGATCTAGACCTCTGCTAACATGTGAGTTTGTCGCTGTTCTCGCTGCATGCCGAAAAAAAAGACACTTTTTCATGTATCACAGTCAGTAACCTTATATATTTTTATATATATTCAATAATTAATTATTTTGATAGCATTTACTAATTTCGTAGCTAGATCGGAAGTCGAGTAAGATATGTCTGATAATTAATATTCATTTATCGGCCCGAGTAGTCCTTTTCAAATCACCTAAAAGCGGAGTTTGAAATGCCAAATCTGTGTTGTGCATTCTCATTTTCACGCATAGGATTGAAGGAATTATACACCATTATGTAAGCTGTGTTATATGAGTTACAGAGGAGTCCTGTAGAGCCGTGAAATATAAAAAACGGAGATAGTTGTTTTACTTGGCATCCAGCTTTAAAAATCCTCTCACGTCTTTAGTATTCATGCATACTTATCATTCTTCAGATATCGTGACTATATGGGCTCTTATCAACCTGGAGTGCCGTAGATTGAAATTACCTTGATTGCCTTAAAAACGAATCCCTCCATTAAGGGATCCCCATTCATCTCTTTTTAGCCGTTTTTTTTCTCGGTTTTTTAATTAAAAAAAAGAAAGTACGTGCGCGTCTCAGACGTTGGTTGATTATGCCGAAGCTTAGCCCAACTTAAGCCCGGTTTTGCAATTTGCTGCGACAACCTGCTTCAAAAGAACATTGGCTAGGATACTTTGCAACGTTTTGCTAAAGTATGGATAGAGAAGAATCAGACCTTGGAAGTGTTGCCTCAGACGCAATAGAAAATGAAAGGCCTCCCCAAAATCTACAAGACACAAGAGAAGATAAATCACTAGTTCAACAGACTAATTCGAAGGCCACTGCCGATTATAATGATCCCGAACAGCGCCCGCCTATTTTCAAGTCTACCGTCCACGAGATCTTAAGTTGCGCGTGTTTGACATTTGCTCCTTGCGCGGCGTCTATGTCTTCAGCAGCTTACCAGACCAGCTTAACCGCGACCTCCGAACACTTCAGTATTTCAGGAGGAAAGCTGACATGGTGCGTCTCGGGGGTCATGTTGGCGAATGGTAGCTGCTTACTTTTGATGGGAAATATTGCAGATGCCTTTGGTCGCAAAAAAGCGTTGTTATTCGGTTACATTTCGTTTGCAATTTTCGCTCTGATCGGAGGCTTCATGAATAACTTTATTTTGCTCTGTGTCTTCAGAGCATTACAAGGTGCAGCAGTTGCTTGTGGAACACCGGCAGCTGCAGGATTTCTTGGTGCGTCGTACAAGGATTCACGGCGGAAAAACTTGGTTTTAAGTTGTTTCAGTATTGGAGCACCCATAGGAGGTGCATCAGGATATTTCATTGCAGGAGTTTGTGTTTCTCTTTTGAACTGGCGCTCAGTTCATTATTTTCTTGCAATACTCTACTGTATAACTAGTGTGGGAGTGTTCTTGTTCTTGCCTAATGACAAGATAATCGATTGGAAGCATGCTAAGAAGATCTTCAGGGGTCTGGATTACGTAGGTGCTTTCATGTCTTTATCAGGATTCACTTTGATTTGTTTCTCATTGACACAGGTGGATGCGACTGAACGAAGATGGCGAACTCCCTATATCATCGCCCTGTTAGTTGTTGGACTTGTCCTCGTGGTAGGATTTGGTTTCTACGAGACGTATGTGCCAAAGAATCCACTTATTCCGATGAAGATGTTCAGGAGCAAGAATTTTGTTTTGTGCATTTGCATTGCAAGTCTGAGTTGGATGATATTCTTTGGCCTTTTCAACTATAACGCTGTTCTATATTTTGAACAGATACGAAAGTACTCGGTCATTATCACAGCTTGCTGTTTCCTTCCACAGCCAATAGCTGGCTCTTTAGTCAGTTTGTTTGCTGGCTTCACCATGCATATCATTCCAGGAAAATATTTGGTTACAATAGGATGTGGTGGTTTCATTGTTTCCAGTATTATTTGGGCTACTAACAGTATTCATAGGAATTATTTTCTGGGGCCTTTTTGGTCATTTTGTGTCACAGTGTTGGGCGTGGATTTTGTGTACAATGTTGCAAACCGCTGCTCCCTATCCTCAGTTGAGCGCACACTACAAAGCCAAGCAGCCGGTACTTTTAATACTGTGATCCAATTGAGCTCTTCCGTGGGGTTGGGAATTTCCACCACTATTTTGGCTTCCAAGGATCCGTACTATGGGCAAGCCAGCCAGGCTGAGCACCTTGAAGAACTTTTCAATGGAATGAAATACTGCTACTACGTGGGGATTGCCTTTTCAGGCTTGGCGTTTATTTTGAGTTTATTCCTCAATATCGGAGTTGTGGGAAGTGTCAAACGATAAAAGCCGCTAGATCTATAGTATGCATTTACATAAAACTAGTAATCATTGTCCTACTTTTATACCGATCTCTTGGTCCACAAGGCAACTGCAATTTAGAATTGGACGCCCGATTTCTTGACATAATGCCTGGTGCTTCTTAAACTTTGCTTCGTCATCAAAACTTTTCATACAGCATTCGCACTTGAATTTTCTCGTATGAGTCTTCATGTGTTTGTTGAGATTCGATGACTCCCTAAACTTTTTACCGCATATCTGACACTTTAAGGGCTTTTCACCCGTATGTATTCTTTGATGTATTGTGAAAGATGACGAGGTTTTGAACTCTTTACCACAAACATTACATTTGAACGGGGTTTCTCCAGTATGGGTCCTTAAATGCTGCTCAAGCATCAATTCCAAAGAAAAGCTTTTCATACAGTAATGACACACAAATGGTTTGTGTTTGGTATGGGTATTCAAGTGCCTGATGATTTTCTGACGTTGCATGAAAGGCTTTAATTCTCTAGTGCAGTCTTTCCAGCGACATGTGTATTCAGACTTCTTGGATTGAACGTGAACATCTATAACATGATTCGTTAGATCTGTTGTGGTCATGAACTGTTCATTGCAGGTCGAGCCATCATCCAAAACCCAGAGGCATGTATGCTCCGCATGTGAAGCGGGATGGTTAGATGCAGGTTTCTCATTAGCCGAGATATCTGTCAAAGTCTCAATCGGCACTGGGGATTCGCCCAAATGTAATCCGGCATGCAGCAGAAGATCGTCAAGGTTATCTGCTGAAAAAAAACACTCTTTCCATTCACAGTCGAACGTATCTGACTTGGCTTTGATATGAGAGTCGAGTATATGCTGGTTAAAAGAGGAGCTGTCTAGTTCATCGTTGCAGCCATTCCATTTGCATGATATGAAATTTGAAGGCTCTCCATGGGCCAGTTTCACTCTTTTGTGCTTGTGATTCTCCTCTTCCTTGATAGCAGCATGTGTTGGATTTAGCTGGTGATGCTGGTGATGATGGTGATGGTGATGGTGATTCAGAGCAGCAGGCTGCACCTGTTCGTGGTCAACGTAATGACGGTTGCTGTGGCTATGCAAATGAGTATGAATGTTCGAAGGAATGATAATATCATGTCGCACAACATTCCCATTGTATTGGTCCTCAAAATGCATGTGATGATGATGTGACTGTGACAAGTTCTTGTCTTCTTGTCTCAGGTCATTCACTTTAGCTTGTGGGAAAGCTTTGGATGGACTAGCAGCACAGGGGAGCATACTGGCGAGCAAATCCATTGTCCCGAGCTTATCTTCATTATTGCCAGGCAGTTGATTGTACGAAAGATTAGATCGCCCATCCCGATTCAAATACGCAGAATAGGAGTTAGAGGTTTCGAGCTTGATCTGTCTGTCCGGTGACGTAGCATCAGACAATGTCTCCTGAATCGACTTTTCGTGATCGGGAACATCAACACAATTATCAAAGCAGCAATAGTCAAAGCAGCAGTCCGACTGGTCATCATCTTCATCATCATGACAGTTTTCCTGGTTTAAAAGATGAGAAGGGTCATAGCAGCATTTCAGAAGCTCGTTCATAGGCTCAGTTTCCGAGTATAGGTAGCATTGCAGCTCGTCATATCGATCCTGAGAATCTTTCACGGCACAAGGTGACATGGTCAGAGTAGCGAGATATTGAAAAATTGACACTTTGATTCATAAACAACCAACGAAATTATGATTTTTGAAGTGTGGCCGATTTAACAAATCTATATCAATTAGTGAATTGTACCTTGATGGTTACATACCTGAGTAAGATATATTTTTTTTCTAATGCGACGATCGTCCCGACTAAATTGTCAAGCGGTAAGAGTTCGATTTAGCGACATTTTTGATAAGCTTTAAAGCGCGAGTTTTATCGTATCCTCCGCCCGCTTTCAATCTCTCGTTAATCCTGACATCAAGCGACTTGGGTATTTTGAATCCTCGTCTGTTCCGAAGATAGTGATAATAAAGCAATAAAGGTTCTGTCATCCGTTGGTCAGGAAACGAAGACCAGTTCGTTGTCATTCCCATAAGAGTATGCAGTAGATGGTACTTCACACGAAGTCCTAGATTTCTTTCAATGAAAAAGAAGACATTGAAGAGTTCCTTGTATCTCTTTCTTGGAACGAAAAACTCCACAAAGACTTCAACGGTCGAGTTATCCAGTTTGGGTGACCTTGGACCAAAAACATATCTTTTGTTGAAATAGTCCACAGCTAGATTCGGGCTAACATCCAACAAAAATGCCAAAATAAATCTGGAGCTTTCCTCGTCAAAGACGTTGGCATTTTCGAGTAAATACTGATGTCCAATTTTTCTGCTCAACAGATCCTCTTTGGCTAATGTCTGATGTATTGAATCTAATTCAGAATTCAATCTGGACTTTTGAATGTGGCCGATCAAACGTCTACGAGCACTTGAAGACTTCATATTGTGAAGCGCAATCATAAAAGTGGAATATGTGGATTTGAAGGAATACCAGTGGAGTATTGTGACAAGTGAAATGAGCGTTTCAGTAATGAATAGATGATTAGTATTGGCTAGCCGAGCAAGTTCCCCATACATGAACAAATTGAAAACATGGCTCCTGACACTCTCATCCAAGAACCCTTGTCCTTGACAAGCAAATTTGAATAATTCATAGGCCTTTTCCCTCTCTTCGGGACTCAGGAATACATCAGATAAATCTGTCTGAGGGTCCCACGCAACCGCAGACATACCACTCGCAGCAAATGCTCTATAGTTCTCATCCATATCAATTCGTGACAAGATCTTCGGTTTGTAACTCTTTGGATGTTGAACCGCGCCTGAGTTTGTAGTCGGAGATTCTCCTTTGAAACCAACTTCCAATCGATTTCGCACATCGTTCCACTCTTGCAACTCGCCATGAGTTCTGCTTAATTGTGAACTGAGAAGCATCTTGGCTAAGAGATCTTCTCGTGCATCAACGCTTGAATCGGCAGGTTTGAGGACTTCTGAGGTTTTGAAGGGGCGGAGATTGTTTTCGAGCAATGCGCGTATGCTGACCCCACTTTCAGTAGAGAAAGCTGCATGGCGAGACGGTACACTTGAACACTCCCTTCCCTTCACTGCTAGGTTGCGGTACGCACATAGTGCTTGCCTAGCAAAATGCCGAATCATATATAGTTGGTTATTTAACCAGGATTTTGATTTATAAATTATTCATTCAACCAGAGCCTATATAAGCTGCGAAGAAAAATTCACAGCTCAAAAATAACCTGTCACTATATTCTTGATATGACCAAACTAGTGTACTGCTATTGTTTCCGATCACAGCTGGGGAAACCGTTAACATCATTTTCTATTATACATATTTCGCTCTCTTGAATGGCCTCAAAACATCACTGAGAAGGTAACTATCTAGCTTCGAACTGAACCATCCGTTTGGTTCTGGCTTTGTAAAGAACTCTGTGGCCACATTCCTTGCATCTTACTGGTTCTTTCGGAGAGAGAGAAAAGTTGACCGCGCATTGCGCACAAATGTATTTCACTCCATAATCCTTCAAACTTTGGATTCCAGATGCCGCATTTCCCAAGTTTGCCGCTGTTGGGGGGACAAATCCTTCTCTACTCATTGCTCTTGACTATTTATATCAGGGGTGACGAGGTGAAAGCAAGTTAAGTTCGAACCAGAATTCAAACTTAAAAAAAAATCTTAGTTTAGAATTCTGCGCAGGCGAAATTCTCAGCGCTCTTCAATTATTACCTCCAGATCCTCAAAAAAAAAAAATTACAAAATGAAAAAATACTTGACTAAAATCCCTCCTTAACATAACGATTTCGATCTCACAGCCGCAGCATTATAATAGAAAAAGATGGCCATAATATGACATTGTTCTTGATTGCAAGGAATATAACCCAGGCGTACCGGCTTATGCGACCGTCGTATGGAACTCGAGAAAGGGCCGGCCTCCTATCATCTATCAGCATTGCCTACTCTTCGAAGAACAGACTGTACTCGGATCAAGGCGACAACAATAGAATGATAACAAAGAATCTACATGAGTTGAAGAGTGACTTTCGGCATCAGAGGAACGATTTTGAAGCCATTTGCTACACATCGCAGCGAATATTTGGTTTGCTTATGGATCTAACCACCGATTTTTCGAAACTTTCGTACAGGAAAAGTTCATTCCATAGAGTCTTCAGAGTTTTTTGGATTAAAAGCCAATTCCCCAAATTGCCTCCAAAGCCGCGGACGGAAAAGCAACTTCGTGAGTTCGTTCATAAACTTACAACATTTAAATTTCTTAACAATTCCCACAAAGCTGCAACTATTTTACGAAAACTCTTTGCAAACGACAATCTTGGTTTTATTCACTCTGTCAAGTATAGCAACAAGCTGATTGACTTCTTTTTGGACAAGAATGATGAAATCATGATCAAAAGAATATTTCGCCGTATGGAAAAAGAGAACAAAAAGCCCAATGCAATGACATTCAATCTTTTGGGAAAACATTATCTGAAAGACACAAACGTTGTACTTGAGCGACTAGCAATCTGGGAAGCTATTTTACTGCGAATGAAGTCATTGGACGTCAAGACGGATCTTTGTACATACTACATATCCTTGAGCCTCATGCCTACAGAAGTACCTGCTAAGCAAGAACTGAAACAGCTAATTCTTTCCCATGGTCTGCACCGAGCTGCAAGTCAATTTCAAGATATACATATTGCTGACATGCTGAACAGCGGTTGCTCTCTTTTCGAAATATTGAACTACTATTATAACACCGACGGGAGACTTGATGTCAATTGTATGAATAGCGTAATTTTCAAATTCCTTCAAACTGGAAATGATTTTGAAGGAGCGTGGAAATTTATGATTCAAGAACACAAACTTCGGGGAATCAAACCAAAAAGTTCCACCATGACTATCTTTATGAAGCATGCTCGCGAGTGCAAAAGATTGAGAACCATGATCCAGATTCTGAATTCATTTGCAGAACTTTACAGGCTCGAGAGTTCGCCTGCTTTAAGAACAATGATGCAGTCCCTTTTAACCGACAACATTACTTTGCAAAAACATTGGATTCCCCCTATTTTGACCTTTGTCTACATTCGCCATTTCCGATCTTCAATCAATAATTTTCAGCGAAAAGATGTTCTACTGAAGCAATTAGCTCATAAATTCAACGTTGAATTTGACGACAGTCTCTTATATGAGAATTTGAACAATTTTGACAAGCGAATATTTGATGCCTTGAACAGCGTAGTGATACGTGATCCACGAATTGACTTTGATGAGCTGGATGAAAACGAATGGATGGAAAAAATTACGGAAGAATGCAAAAATGCTCTGTGCTAGATGTACTAGATATCGAGCATTTGAAAAATAAATCAAATTTACGAGTAGGGAAGTACGCAAAAAAAGTAACTGGCTGTGCAATATTTATACTGGCAACATGTATATGTTTTTCGAGACGCGTTTCTGAACAACTTAGATCATCTTGCTGATCAGAACAGCAGAAACAGATTTATTTACTGATTGCTGAGAAAAAAGATAAGTGACTTATGAGCTACTATGATATAGATGATATACTGGCAGACAGTCAGGTAAGTTCTTTTCTTTTCGTATAATGAACTAACATTAAAGAAACTGCCCTGCAAGTTCTCGATCACAATCCCAGGACTGGGTTATTTGAATGGTGAACCTGGTTTTCCAATAAAAGAGAATGTCAGACTTGAACTTCCCGTATGGCTGGCGGAAATCTTAGCAATTTGCTCTGTATCCAACTCTTCCGATTACGAAGAAAATGACGAAGATAGAGAAACTACATTCTTGAAACTTTTAGAGCCGGAATTCTTCTCCCCCGTTTTCCTCAACTTTATAAAGTCTGATGCTTTAAGGCTCAATTTAAGTCCATACATGTTCTACTATCGCATAGTCACCAAGTGGTCGCACATGTTCGGAGACGCAGAATTGGTGGGGCTTATAAGTAAAGCATTGGTTGACAGAGCAAGTGAGTTAAACGATTTAAGCTTCAAATTGAGTGATCACTTTAGAGGCGCTAATTTAGAATTCTTGAATAATCTCGATAGCTATGAGAAACAGTTGTTCAAAAGCAGCCATAAATCTTACAAAGATCTGAAGATCTGGTGGCTCAAAAAGCCCAACTCATGACGCTTACCCTATCTATTTGAATGTTACGTATCATCTGTTCACTTTTGCTGCATCAAGCAGAACTCTCCCTATTCATTGTGCGAGCAATCGCTAGAAATCGAAGTCTCTGAAGAAACGGAAAATGTGTGAATATTTTCAATTACTTAGCTAAATGTCAAAAAGATACATGAATTGAGATTAGTGTAAAATTTCTCAGCCTATCGAACCAAGAAAACCGATTCACTGCTATTACAATGCATTCCATCACTGTAGTACATTTGTAAGAAGGTCAAATGAAGCTTGCACCATAGTGAAAATAATGAGACACTCGATTTTGTGATGAATAGAAGTTTCTTTGGAGTCTTGATTGATATCTGTGTAGTTCTTCATGTAGCTGTTATGTAACTACGATGAAAGCAATTTGTCACAACTCAGTGGGTAGATGTTAGCGCAATATTTGCCGTAAGAGAACTCTGTTACAACAGCGCAGAAAAGAGGATTACTGTTATCCCCCCGTAAAGTAACTGAACTTAAACTTCGGATATCATGTGATTAATACTGGCGTTGTCAGCTAATTCAAGTGAGCAAATACTCTAGTATATCAGGTCAACAAAAGGACAACGTAAATCTATATTGCTCACACAACTGACCTCGATTGTTACAAACAAGCCTGACATAGTATACTCTTTCTTATTTACGTGAATCGAACGGTATTGTATACTTCTCTAAATTGGCCTTAAGATTGGAAACAAGTGAACGCAAATCAGGCACGACAAAGTAGAAGAAGACTGGTATTTGCTTTACATTCTGTCCTCTTCGGTCTGTCTCGGACATGAAAAACTTCGCTGCTCATTAAATCCTGCGCAACATCAGAAGTTATGGCTACCTAGCGTACTTTTACTCTACGCGATCGAATAGATAAGAAATACCACTATTATCTAATAACTATATTCTCATGATGAAACAATTTTCATTCCAGTCGTTTCAAAAAAAAACGAAAAACTAGATTTAAAAATTAATTTAATTTCAGGAATGGCTCTTCCATCCATCTTGGTTTTAATTTCAGGAAATGGGTCAAACCTACAGGCGCTTATTGATAATTGCAATATTGGTAAAATTCCAGGGAAGATTATACATGTGATTTCATCGTCCTCCAAAGCTCATGGTCTCGAAAGAGCATCTCAAGCAGGTATACCGACTACAATCCATGAACTCAAAACATACTATAAAGGAATCCCTAAGGAGAATGAGGCTGCAAGAAATGAAGCCAGAGCCAAGTTCAACAAAGACTTAGCGAATATCATAATTGAAAGGCTCAAACCAGATGTTATTGTGTGTGCTGGCTGGATGCTCATATTGTCCTCCGACTTCCTCAAGCCTCTCCATCAAGCCAAGATTCCAATTATCAATCTTCATCCTGCTCTTCCTGGTCAGTTCGAAGGAACGAACGCGATCGCGCGCTCCTGGAAAGCTGGTCAAGATGGACTAATTAGTAAAGGTGGTTGTATGATTCACTACGTTATCGAGGAGGTCGACAAAGGGACTCCTCTTATTGTGAAAGAAATTGATGTTAGGAAAGAATCGCTCGAAGAGTGGGAAGCCAGAATCCATGTTCTTGAACATGAAGCAATTGTTGAAGGAACTATTGAAGTTTTAAAGCAACTCGATGCCAAATAATTTATGTAATCTACCTTCATGTCATTTAAGCGTCAACCTCCATTGCATCCCTTGTTGTCGCGCCAACTTCCTCGACTTCACAAAAATTGTAAATGCTTTCCTTTAAGATAGCCGTAGTTCCTCTCTCAAATTTATAGTTTCTTGCTTTTGCTTCTCGGATATTAGGCGTCAAGTAGTTTCTGTATAGTTGTGCATCCTTGCCGACTTCCATCACACATAAATCGATGTTGGATCCCGAACCCAGATCGTTCCAAATACCCGCTTCAATAGCATCTGCGCAGAGTTTCATGGCTTCCTCTCTGGACAAATCTTCTTTCCAATCACGTTCTAGAACCGCCATAGCAGCAAGCGATCCCGAGCCTAAAGATTGATAGAAACCAATATCTGTAGAACCATGGGCATGAATTGAAAACAAATGAGCTCCTTTGGGATCTACTCCTGCCACAATCAAATATGCTCCAATGTGTCCCTGATACTTGAAGAGGTGTTGCTTCAACATTTGTAATGCTGAAGAAACTCTCGGCTCTCTATTCAGAGACATCGAGTGTAATTCTAAATTAGATTGAATTAACTGCGTAACCATCTCTGTATCAGCTGCTGTTCCTGCGCCTGCACACCAAATTCTAGGAGCTAGACGATGCAGTTTCTCACAGTTTTTGTCCGCCACTATAGGTCCAGCCGTGGCCCTGGTATCTGCTGCAATCACTACACCACCTTTGAACTTGCATCCCACGATAGTGGTACCAGTAGAAATTGCCTGTGGGGTCTGTACGCCATTCTTTGACAAGAACTGGTTTCTTTGAAAGTTGTCGAAGCTTAGCCCTGCCATTTGAAGTAATCTGTCAGCTATTAAAAAACCGGAGGCCTAAATGTTTTAAACTCGTGAAGTGCTTCAATTCAGAATTCGCCACTAAACATCGATGATCTGAATTCTCTGACATCCTAACACCGTTCTAATTTCATCAGTCAACTCATAATTCAATTCCTTGTTCTAATGGGTATTTGTCTATCCTGCCTTCATCCACCAGCTGATGATGAATTCGATGAGTCTGCGCCTCTTCTTGGGGAGAACATTTCCTCATCAGCTGTGCAACAACAATATGAGGAACAAATTTTAGAACAAAGAAATAAAGAACTGAATAGCATACTGAACTCGACAAACGACCATCTCATAGACTTGACAAATTTCCTACATTTTCAATCGCAGTTCATGCTTAAGGAACCAGTTTCGCCTTCCCTACACAATCAAGCTTCCTTGAAAACGGTAGATGCACCGATGGCAACATCACTAGCCTCTTTCGATCAAAACTCTACGCCCCAGTTGCAGGCAATTGGAGCATACGATTCTGTTGGTGCACGTGGCTTGACTCAAATCGAGGTACTGGACAGCAGTGAAGTTTGCCAGGAAATGGAGAAAGAGCTTGCCATTTTGGAAGAGAAAATGGATGTCCCTTTTGACCGATGCCTTCGCTTTGACCTCAGCAATATTGGTGCCCTGAAGGTACAGTTCGACTAAGCGATGAAATATGTGTCATAATCTACATAGATATTTATTGAGAAACGTTTATCCATATCTTGATTCTTTGGACATCGTAATTCTTGTCATCCGCATTGATTGTTGCATTCATAGGATTTAAAGCAGCAGCCCGGCGACGAAATTTTGATTCCTCTTCAGCGAACGTCTCTCCTTTAGCAACATCTTTGAGTTCCGGTACTTTGAGAATAAATTCGACCAGATTAATTCCGTAGCCTGCTTTCATCTCATATTTTGCAGCCAAAAAATCATCGTCACCTCTAGCATCGTAAGATATTGAGATTGGAAATGGCTTTACCGTTTCATTGTTCACTTTCAATTCAGACAGATAGCGCTCATTTATGATGGAGTTTGAAAGCGACACGAAAACCACGAAAGGTTGTCCCACAATGTCAGAGGGGAGTGATATTGCATTCATCGTATCTGGATTCAAGAAGGTGATTTCATAGAGTCTGTCCGAGTTTGTTTGTGATGAATTTTTAGTGCTTGACGAGATTGTGATCTGTTTCACATGAGAATTGGCTTGTGCCTTTTTGTCGTGACCTTGTATGAAAGCAGCTTCCGCTGAAACGCGTTCTCGCTCTACCGGATACTTAACATCGTTTTCCTGTATATCGGTACCCTTTGCACTTCCCTCGTTTTCATCATCTTCAGATATTGACTCATCATCTTCAAAGTCTTGTCCGGCTTCTTCATTCTCTTCATCATCCTCTTCTGCGTAGTGGATCGTTCTCTTTCTTGATTTGGGTAACTTCTTTTTCTGATTTTCCTCTCTATTGATACTTACTTTTGCCCGTTTGGATTTCGGTAGAGTTTTCATGTCATATTCATCAAGAGAGAAATCTTCTTGCTCTAATGATGATGAGATTGATGATTCCAGTTTTTTTAGTTTTTCCTTCGCAAGCTTTTGAAGGATCACTGCATCTTGGTAAAGGAGGCTTTCCTCATGATTGTAAGTCTGAGCATTGGTGAAGATAAGGTTAACGTCATGTTTGAAGTTAACAACTCCATCTATATCATTGGAATATTCGCCATCTTCAAGCTTCTGCTTAACCAAGTTGAACGACATTCCCTTTTTGATGATCTTATAGTAATCCGGATACATGTCTCCATCTACAAGGTCCATGAATGGTGTCGACAACTTACCTCTAGAAGGGACTTTATAGTTTATGATTGATTTTAAAATGCTTTTGAGGTCCACAGTATAATCCTGGTCACTTTCATTGCCTTCCACATCTTTTTGCTTCGCTGCTTTGAGTTTTTTCTTCGTTTTCGATGTTTCTGAGCCCTTGAATTGTGAAATTGTATCCGCTATTTTAGATTCAACAAATTCATATATCTTATTCGCGTTCTTAGCAATGTAGCTTTGAGGGTCATTATAAGTATTGGCATTATCTGCCATTAATTTGAAATCCTTCAAGAATTCTTGAACTGGATAGCGGTCCGACTTTCTCACTTTCGCTTTTATCTCATTTAAGGATATTGGAAACTCAATTAACTGATAATAATCAGGATACAATTTTTTGGAAGGCAGCTTTATGAAATCTCCAACAATTGCTACACCATAGTCTTCATCAACAAGATCATTGATGGAGTCAATGATGTTCAAATAACTTTCTTTACTCAGACTCTCAGATGTGTCAACTTCATCAATCACAGTTGTTTTTTTGCTGTTCAATGTGAGAACAATTCCAGGTCTCCTTTTTGCAACCATTACAATAATAACTTTTGTTTCTCAAAATTTTAGCGCTTACTAGGGATAAGCCGTCACCAAATAAATCCTATTTGAATCGGAACGCGTCTATATTCGTTTGCCCAGAATGCCTGCCCTTCGACGAGGAGCAAAATTTTGCGCAACTTTTTTGATTACCTAAATTATTATCAAACGATGTGACGGAAGGTCTTTAAATATGTTCCCCACTTTAATAGAGTTAGCCCTCATACTTTTTTATTCTATGTCTAGACAAACGTTTGAGGTAGGTCGCAGCAGCTAGCATACTCTGGGAATGTTTGTTATCTAACCTTCTAGCTGATTGACCAAGATCCGGAATTCACCAAAGTTGTGCGGTACTTCAGATTGTCTGATTATGCTGCGTGGGCCACAGGCACTCTTTTTTTACCTTTGGGCTTGTTTGGGCTAGAGAAGTACGAGCCATCATCAGGCAGTAAAATGAGAAGACCTCAAGCAGTTCATTTGAGAGCTGCGGCTGTATTAGGCTTCATTGGTGGGTTCCTAATTGCGTACAAAAGATCTGTGCTGCGATTCAAAGGGCAAACTGAAAATGGGAGGGAAGTGAGGAAAGATAGATATGAAGTGAAAAAACTCTTGAGTCAAAACTTGAATCCATATGGTGCCTCATCTCTTTCACCTTATCTACAAGACGTGGCTTCCAGAAATTCTAAAGATAGCCATATGATGCTTGGTCTTATTCCTTGGTTCAACTTCGTGAATCATCAAAATCATGGTATCGACTTGAAGAAATACTATGAGGTCAGAGAAGGTGAAGAAAAATGGGGTTTCATTCTTTCGCCTCCGAAAATCGGGGATGGTAATTCAATCGATTAGTGAATCAAAGATTAGTTTGTTCCCGCTTATTTATTTTATTTATTTACCGAATTGGTAGTTAGTCTGAAGCATTTGAAATCTATGTTAGCATTCGTGGTCTATATTAGTCAAGCTCAGAGAAGTCAATTAGACGTGGACTACGCTCTACTAATCGCGATAAGAAGTTCATCAACGTAAATCATTACTATATATCTATAAACATTATTCAAACATCGTAAGAACATAACTAAGTCGTTAGACGCTGAAGGCCATCGGATCAGTAAACTCGTCAAAGAGCATTGAATAAATATCATTCAAAAGCTCCTTCTTGTGAGAACGCTCTACCTTATCCTTGTGCTCTGTACTAATGTCCAGGTCGATATTATCAACAGTAGCAGTGGAATTGGAAAGTGAAGTTGTATGTCCCGTGTTGAAAAGCGATGTGGTGGACGAATTAAAAGGTATTGAGTTTTCTGCAACGGATAGATTCCTTTTTTCGTCAAAGTCAAACATTGCAGACTCAGGGGTATTATCTGCATCGAGATTCAAATAAGTGTCCAAGGACACGAAAGATTCCATGTTTTGGGCACTGATATCTTCACTCACGTTATTCAGGAAGGTTTTTGCAGGTTTAGCTAGTTTGGAAAGCTTTGGTCCGTTAAGTGACATTGTTGTCGGGTAACTTTGATTGACGAGACAATTTGATGGCTGACTGTAGAGCGAGTCGTTTAGAGATGTACTGTTGTTGGTTTTCTTAACTGGGTCGCTACCAAATTGTCTTTCACCGAGTGCTGTTTGCTTCGAATTTGTTGAGGCAGGTTTTTGGCCCAGAAGTTTGTTCACAACCTTGATCAGTTTAGACCCCATTGAGTTATATTTTGACATGACTAACAGGGCATTTTTAGCGCGATTAATATCATCCATCCATGAAGTAGAATGTGAGGATGATGAGTCAGAACATAGACAAGCTATTGGGATCAAAACCGCCTGGAACAAGAAGTATGTTGCATACCACACGGCAATGATGGAAAGATGAGATTCATTACCTTTGACAAATTTATCAATTGATTTGATCGTTTCCGAAGCTGCCTTGAGACAAATTCTTCTTCCTTGTTTAGCTTCCTCAGTTTTGCAGCTTTCCATCACTTCAGGGTTGGAGATGCCAACTATTCTTTGCCAAATAAAAGGCCTGAACAGAATAATTTGCATGTTTCTATATCTCCAAATAAGTCTATTCCTTGAAAGCAAAAACCATTCGGGTAGATGCGATTCATTCGTCGATTGACGAAGACCTGCTGGTAAGTACTTGAAGAATTCTCGTTTTGCAATGGATTCATCTTCATGGAAATAGCCTGGTAATTCACTAATGAATTTTTCTAAAGTTACATTCATGTTAAAACACTCTTGTAATGTGGGAGCCGGCTTGGAGATGAGTTTTGAGTAAAATGGCGTAGTGAGGAAGGTCAATTTCGTTTGGGCGATCAAGGCCGAGTATAGCGTGGGATAAGGTTTGTTGAGCATTTCATCTGTGACAGTATTGCACCCATCCATATTCTCAATGATCTGTGAAAGCTCATCATCATTGATGTTGCTTACCATCTTAACATCAACGACTTCCGGAGGCGGCAGATTAATCGGTCTTCCAAATGTTATGGATGCTCCAGCGTCGAATATGTACAAACCCCACCAAAGACGTCTTTTGATTTCAAGATTCAACAAGTCTTCTTTACGAGTTTCCGGAGCATTTGATTGCTCATTAAACTCCTTGTGCATTCCCAAGGATATTGCCATCCTCACTGCTAAGCCCAAGAAATTCCATCCAGTATTTGGTTTATTCCGCTTTTGCGAGTAATTGCTCAATAGAATCAAGGCGCTCAGTAGCATAATATTACCACATTCAAATACATTGGCACCTGTGTTCAGTGCTTTCTTAGCACGATGGTAATATGCAAGATCAATAGTAGTATGATCCCCGTGTAGACACCAACAGCCTAAGGCAAGAACTGTGTTCAATAAAACAAGCCAATGAGCCTCATTTTTCACAGGCAACTGTTTTCTGTAATGTTTCATAAATGTGTCCTTATGAATAAAGGGATAAGAAGTATGGTAATATCTGAAATAGCTTTGCAAAAATTCTTCTTGTGTTGATCTCATATTCAAAAACTGATCAAGCTCCTCGCCCATTTTATTCTGTTCCATGTTGTCAAGACCCCTCTTCAACCCTTCCACTATCTGTTTCTTGATCTGAGGATTCATGGTCACGCTCGGTGGTGATTTCAATGGCTTTTTTGTTTCAGTAAGGTTGTTGCATGATGTCAAATCGAAATCATCCATTACAAAGTCCGTATCCGTAGCGCCAGAGTTCACTGCAGTATCTTCTTCATCAATCTTGTCTATCTTCATGACCCTCAAAAATGAAGACGACGATCCTACGCCCAAAAATCCTGATTTGGTGGTTGGGTTGACTCCCATCCCATCCGTAGAAAAGGAAGGAGCAATTGCTCTAAGATATGGTGACGTACAAAGAGACGAATTGTTGGTCTTTGTGCTGATAGTTGACGACTGAGTTTGGCTTGTATGAAGCTGGTCAAGCGAGTTGAAAGAAATCACCGAATTTTTCGGTTCGTGTAGAGATGTTATTGACGACGGGGATGACGGGGAACCGTTCAGCATCAAACCTTTCTCTCTCTCTTCATCATCTTCAGACCAATCGAAGTTGGTGTTATTCGATAGATCGGTAGCCATAATTTCATCTGGAAGTCTTGATAAAATTTGTTGTGGAGTCTCTTTTTTGAAGTTCGAAGCTGAAGAAGCGTCTAATGAGAAATCCTGGATTGTTTGCATGCTGCTTGATTTATCGCATTGCTGTTTATTTTGTGAGACAAATGAGTATCCACTCATGTTTGGAGAATTGCTTGAAGACTGTATGCTTGAGCTGGTTCTTGAAAATCCTCCTAGCATTTGCTCTAAATCTTCACCAGGAAAAGCTTTTAAAAGAAAAGTTTCCAGCTGTTTCACCCTATTTTCAACCTTAGTCAAATACGCTCTGGTAAGCGGCGATCGAACAGCTCGAGGTGAATAGACACACTCCCATCCATGATCCATACATTTCGAGCATTTGGGTAACTCCTTTGTACAACGCAGTTTCCTTCTTCGACAAGAGTCGCACGCTTGTTCGATCAACGGTTTGTTACGTGAGTGACTTCTGTTTTCGAAACCCTCTGCTTCTTCAATGGCGTCATCTTCAAGTGAATCAGAGTGTTCCTTTTTTATCGCCCTTTGGGGGAAAACACTGTTGTTATGATGATGATGAGCTAAATGGCGTGATCCATGTCCGTGTGATGGTGTATGTTGTCGATGGACATATGATGATCCAGAGGACGTATTCCTTGATATGGTAGGTATGACAGAGTGACCATTGGAGAGGTTAGAATTTTGAGGAGGCGATGGAGAGTTGGTCAAGTTAGTTGAACTGGCAGACTCACTGAGCCGAGACTCTAAAACAAAAAGATCTTCATCAGACAACTCCCTCTTCACAACACTCTCATTTTTCTCTTCGAAGCCAACTGGTTTGCTGATGCCTTCCATTGTAAGGAAATAAGATCAGCGCTGTTCGTAATACAAGATTCAGCAATCAAATGCGCAAATCTTCACTGCAATTTGGTGAAAAGCAGCTTCGATATAAAGTTAAGAATTAAACAGCGCAGCTTCTCGAGCTATTAGGTGATTCAAATAACCGTGTAACGGAGATGGTGGTTAGTGCATCGTTTTTTTTTTCTGCATCTGTTTCCGTTTTAATTTTCGCCTATTATTGTTAACAATATGCTATTATCCCGTGCAGATATCTGGTGATCACATAAGGTGCGATTTTTTTCGAAGTCCGAAATTTGGCTACTTGTGCTCCTAAAGTTACGGAAAAGCACACCATTCTGGCTTGCCATGTTCCTTCTTCATACAAACTACTCTATTGCCAGTACCATTTAAGACGGTTTCTTGGTACTGACCACCTTAACATACTTAAATCATATCAATTTGAGAAGGATTCTGGAAATTTAGATCGTCTGCTGACACAACTTCTTGAGCCGAAATGATTCTCCTCACCTGTTTTTCTTTTTTGTTGAGATCAAGAACCTGCGTCAGCCTCTTATTGAAAATTCGTTCCTTACGTAATTTTCGAGTAAAATTATAATTTATGTTGAGCTCAACTCGGGCGGGGGAAGCTCCCAAGCATTCTATAGAGCGGGGAATCTTGCCTGCATCTTTTTTCCGCTGAAAGGATCTGACTATCGGCTTCAGTAATAAAGCTTAAGGCGCAGCGGGAGCTATATGCTACAAGATATTGCAAAAATGTACCGGAAAAACTTAACTCAAGCCCACGTTGTGTTCTCGGATTTTTCTCGTGTTGCTTAAATCCGGTATCTAGAATGCACGAATTTTAGTTGACAGACATTTTTAACTCAAAGCCCCCACCTGACCTGCAATCCCGCTCGTTGCTTCTGAAGTAACCCCACTTACCGAATATAGAGCAAGTCTTATTTCAAATCTCATGAACAGTTGAATACAACTGCCATCTATTTTCCAATGACAATAAACACATGCTCGTAATGACAATCGTGCCTCTTAGCATCACAACAGGTGGCTAAATACTCCTTCGAGAAGCCATTCTAAGAAACGAATGCACATATTAGTTTCCCACCGTTTTATTAAGTAGAGATCGATCATTGTCAAATGACTATATTTTATGACTTGGCCTGTGATCCTGTTGTACTATATCTCACCAATATTTGTCATTGAATTTCACTTTTCAGCCAGTTAATCTTCTTGGCTATGAGTGCAAAAAGTTCATGAAGAATTGCTTCGATAGGTTTTTTTGTCATACATAGGGGGACGTGTTTAAGAACAATCGACCAACATGTATAAAAATTTTAGAAAAAAAAAAATTGGTGGCAATAGTTCATTCACATACTTTTACATCAAATACTGCAGCCAAATAATGTTTACATCTAGGCTTCAATATACTTGCAACACATGCTCTCTTGCTTTTTCAAGGCCTGAAGATCAACGATCTCACATGAAAACTGACTGGCATAGATATAATCTTAAAAGACGAGTCTCGCAGTTGCCTCCAATAACTGAGAAGCTTTTCAATGAGAAAGTAGGAAATATAACCAAAACCAGTGAAGGACATGAAATACGTGAGGTCTCTGCAGGGGTAAGTGGCAAACAACTGGCAAAAAAAGAGCGAAGGAGATTGGAAAAGGAGGCTTTGTTAGAAAAGAAAAAGCAGCTTCTAGACATTGCTAGGCGACAAATCATGTCGTCCAGTGACGAGATACCAGTTTATGATCAAACCAGGGCTGAGGGAAGTGACGTAGAGAGCTTACTCAATGATCGAAAGGAAAGCCCGGTTCTATTAGATAATACATCTCATGATGAAACTAGGGACGTTTATGATTGGAAGACCGAACAGCTCATTGACCAGAAAATCAAAAATAAAGTTGAAATACCCTTGGACATGTGTATGTTTTGTAGCCACGTGTCTTCCGATCTAGACGAAAACATAGATCACATGTTCAAAAGTCATGGATTGTTTATTCCAGAAATGAACTATTTGGTTGACAAAGCCGGATTAATATCGTACCTATCTGAGAAAGTTGGGTTGGGGAATATGTGTTTATCATGCAATTTCCAGGGTCGAAATATTGAGAGCGTGAGACAACATATGCATGCAAAAGGGCATTGCAGAATTCCTTATGAAACTTTAGATGAAAAGCTGGAAATCTCAGAATTTTACAATTTTGAATCCAGTTATTCGAACAACACGGAAGCTGATATTAAAGATGATAGTGAAGAGTGGGAAGATTTATCAGACAATGAAGTTCATGAAAATTCTGGGGATGAAATATCCACGGATGATCTATACACTAACGGATACGAGCTCTATCTTCCGAGCGGTCATGTTGCCGGTCATAGATCTTTAATGAGATACTACAAGCAAAATTTGAAGCCCGATAGAGAGCTTACAGAAGGTCAGGGAACACTAGTCGCAGCAGAAACCAGACACTTCGTCCAACCTATTGATCGCAAGGAGCTCCAGGCCAGGAAGAGAGTCTGGACTAGACAGGAAAAATTAAAGGATGTTAATGATAGAAGATCAGCAAAGTTCATTAATCATCAAGCTCATTACAGAGATCAATTATTACAATGAACCATCACACTTTCTTGATGTGGTTTCAATGGGAGCAGGAAAAAACAATGTATTCAAATAGTCGTCGGTTTTCATTTTAAAAAGATATGCCGTTTCTGCTGCAGGGATATTCGGGAACAGTCTCCTCTCCTCGTACAGAAATCAAATCTTCAGATTTTTAGATTAATCCCTATATTTTGTCAAATTTTCTGTCTTGACCATCGTAACTATGAGGCGCCGGTTCAACCTGCACAGCCACGTCATTTGAAGAAAACAGACACTAAAAATAAAACTTTAAAGCATCGTTTCAGTAAGAGTTTTTTAAGCTACAAATCTCTACATTAACACCGTCTTGCTACCTCTTAGCAAAACCATGAATCAGGTAAGTTAAATTTCAGTATTTGCCTCAGATGGTATGAGCTGAATGACTCTATCCCCAACAGGAAAGATGTTTCTACGGGCTAGGATATCAACATTCAATAAAGTTCGCATATTCTTACTTTTAGCTCCGGGAACTTTAGTTTACTAATAACCCAGGGATACTATCAACAAGGTGGATACCCTCCTCAACAAGGTGGATACCCCCCTCAACAAGGTGGATACCAACAACCTCCACAAGGCTACTACCAGCCTCAACAACAACCTATGTACGTGCAGCAACAGCCCCCAAATCATAGTGACAGCGGATGTGGCTGTTACGGAGGTTGCCTGGCTGCTTTACTGGCTTGTTTCTGTCTCGAAGAATGTTGCGGTGGTCCATGATAATGGTTGAACCATTCATTGGTTATGTAGAGTTAGTTTAGAAGCTTCTGTACATTACTAAATGTATTTTCCATATCATATATGTTTGTTTTGTTTACGAGAGTTTATCGTCGTTGCGATCTTCGACATTCACATAAGTGGGACCGCTTTCGTCTCCTTCGCTGCCTTGTAGCTCGGCTAATTTTCCTTTCGATGAAGAGGTAGAAGCGCTGGCTGCTAGAGAGTCATTTCTCGTGTTTGATGAACGCTGGGCTGAGGATGAACGATAATGAGAGTTTGAAAGGAATTTGCTGCTTACTCCATTCAGGTCAAAGTTGGAATCCGAAGATGATATATTGAGTAACGGTTCAAGAGGTGATGAAGATCGTGATTGTAGAGAGCGTATTTCTGGCGAGTGGTAAATTGTGTCTGAATCCGATTCAGAGTCCAGTATTGGTGAGAGAGAAGAGCTATTGTTTGTAACAGACGATATTGAATTTATATGCTCTGCAGGAATCCTCGATATCTGGCCGACACCATATCCAAAAAAAGATAATATTTTGTTTTTTAACCATTGATAAGAAGAAGTTGCTCCTTGATGATCGGCGTCATTATTGCTCTCGAATGGATCAGTTGGTTTTAATATCAAGGTGCACCTATCTAATTGGAGCTGGTCGAGCATTAACTCTTCGTGGTCTTGGGAATAAGTAAGCCTCTCAGTAGTTTTGAAGAACTGAAACGGGATTTGTTGGTATTCTTTGTAACTTTTTAATATGAATTCACGTACAGTCGACAACTTATCAAACTTCGAAAACTTCATACGCTTCGTTACCCCGTCCACTAACTTCACCTGGATAAAGCATTCATCCGTAGAAGGCTTTGATTCTTGACTTTCTTCTGGCTGAGTGCAGTTCATAAACCTCTCCCTCTCGAACTCCACTTCTAGGTGTTTCTGCGTCCTATCTAATTTTGTCAGTTTCAGTTTTCTTTTGTCCTCCTCCTCTACCTGACTGTACTGCTTTCTTGCTAAACGTCTGTTACAACTTTTGGAATTCGAGCACAGAGTATCTTGATGCAAGCTGAAACCTTCTTGGGAGTCGGAATTCGAATCTCCTCCTTTAATTTTGAAGCGATCTTCCCTAGGCCCTCTTTGATGACAATTATCATGTTTCTCGTGCACACGTACCTGCTTCGTTTTCTCGTGTACGTCAGTAAGAAAGTCTCCTATTCTAGATGAAATAATACCGCCTTTCATGGAATGAATGATACGTCCCCGATATATGGCGATAAGAGAAGGAGGGGCTAAAAGCTGAACTTGAGGAAATATTTGTGATAATAAATCTAAGTCAGAAGATGGCTTTTGAATGGTTAATCCAACAAATTCTTTCTCCAAGAGCCGGTAGTGCTGATGCGGTATAGCGAAGTTTGACTCACTGCGCCTATGATTTTTAGTAGCCTGACAACATTCCTCCACCAAAATCACAAGAGGCTTATCATCAACGATAGCGCACTGAGTTGCAATATTCACATCTGAAATAAACGCTTCCCTCAAGCTCCGGTCTTCGGTAACACTTTCACGCATCTTATCAAGAATGAAAATAGTCGTAAGCTCGTTTCGTTTGCGGACAGCGGAATTTATGGCTAACTAATTTTTGCTATTGTGTGATAAATTATAGGCGTTATCCTCAAGTGTTTTTCGCAAGCCTTTTATTAAAACAAGTGGAATGTTCACTACTCAAATTAAGACACATGAGGTTATGTGCCTCTTAATAGAATGACATAGGGACTATTGCACTTTGCTTGCAGGGGTGCTAATATGGCGAATTACCATTATACGCATGTGTGTGTATCACCCAAAAAAATTGATACAAAACAATCTATAAACAAGACTAGAAAATCAATCATAACGCGTTATCATTCTTCTATCTACCATATTGTTCATTGAACTTTTTGGTCTGTATTTGACACTCTGAGATGAAGATAGAGGAGCTTGTACTGGATGGTTTCAAATCTTATGCCGTGAGAACTGTGATCTCGTCTTGGGATCCACAGTTCAATGCGGTAACAGGATTAAATGGGTCTGGGAAATCTAACATCTTGGACGCAATTTGCTTTGTTTTGGGGATATCCAGTATGTCAACGATCAGGGCAGCAAACTTACAGGACTTGATTTACAAAAGAGGTCAGGCAGGAGTTACGAAAGCTTCGGTCACTATCACCTTCGATAACAGCGACAAATCTAAATCTCCAATTGGTTTCGAACAATATCCTAAAATAAGTATATCACGTCAAGTTATGCTTGGAGGGGCTTCCAAATATCTTATCAATGGCCATAAGGTTCAACAATCACAAATACTCAATCTTTTTCAGTCAGTGCAACTTAATATCAACAATCCTAACTTTTTGATCATGCAAGGGAAAATCACGAAAATGTTGAATATGAAACCAACTGAGATCCTTGGACTAGTTGAGGAAGCTGCGGGGACGAAGATGTACGAGGGACAGCGAGAAAAGGCGCAGCGAGTGATGGCTAAAAAGAATATAAAGCTAGAAACTACCGAGAATCTTCTTAGAGAAGAAGTGGAACCCAAGCTTAGACATCTGCGGGAACAAAAACGTACCGTGATGGAATTTCAAGATATTATTATCGAGCTGGAAACCCTTTCCAAAGCAGTTGCGGCCCACGACTATCAAATCTTTCTTAGAAAATTAGCATCTCAAGAAGAAGTTGTTGAAAGAGAGAGAAGACAATTGCAGCAACTAGAATGTAGAGCTCAAACTCTAGAAAGCGAAATCAGAACGTTGGAAGAGGATCTGAAAGATATGCGTGCACGAAAGGAAATCGAGATACGTAAGGGAACGACCTTAAAGGAGCTTGAAACGAAGGAAACCGAGCTGACAAATTTAATGACTAGAACGTTGACAGCGAAAGACTTAAAATTACAGATTCTGGAGGAGGAAAACACCAAGTTCAAGAATTTATGTTTGAAGATGGACAACCAAAAAGAAATACAAAACAGTACCGAAGAAGCGTACAAGATCGCTGAAGTGGAATTTAATAGTCGAAAAACCAACTTGGAGAATCTCATTGAGCAAATGAAGCAAAGAGAGGAGCTCCTATCCACGCTCTCGACCGGTCTATCTTCAAAAGGTTCAACCGATGGAGGATTTCTGGCTCAGCTGCAGAAGAGTAAACAGAAGTTGTCCAGGATCACTGTGGAGAAAGAGAAAACACGTTATAGAATTGACCATTTGAAGAAAGACTTATCCTCGAAGAGAAATAAAATTAGCTCCGCTAAGGATGAAGTTGATTCCCTTAATCAAAAAATAAAACTGAAGGACGACCTTTGTACAAAAATGTCTGTCGATCTTGAGAGAATTGGCTTTTTTCCTGAAAAACTCAAGAACCTGAAAGATCAAGAGAAAGCATTGAGCCACGAACTATACAGGCTTCGGCACAGAATCTCTGAAGTCCACCGTGCTCATCCTAACTTGCTCTTTGACTTTGATGCTATCAATGCGGGCCTAGATCCTACCTCCGTCAAGGGGTTAGTCGGAGAACTTTTCACGATTAGCGAATTGAACAGGAAATCTACAACGGCTATCGAAGTTTGCGCTGGTGGGAAATTGTACAATGTTGTTGTTGACACAGAGAAGTCGGGCTCCAAATTATTGGATATGGGGAACCTGAGAAGACGAGTCACAATAATTCCACTCAATAAAATAACTTCAAAGGCCATAAGTGACACCCAATTGAACGCCGCAAAATCCTTAGCCCCAGGAAAAGTCGAGCTTGCACTGGATTTGATTGAACACGATCCTGAGTACAGCCCAGCGATGCAGTTTATTTTTGGCAACCGCTTGATTTGCGATGACCCTGATACAGCAAAAAAGATTACCTTCGATCCAAAGGTGAGGACTGCGTCTATTACATTGGATGGCGACCTATATGATCCTGAGGGCAGGCTCTCTGGTGGCTCAAGGCAAAACAACTCTTCTGTTCTTCCTGCATTTGCAGAGCTCAGAGATTTAAGAGAACAAGAACATCATCTCCTTTCTGACTTACGAGAAACACAGACGGAAATTCAGAAACAGGAAACTCTGAGCAAAGAAACTGAGTCACTTCAGCGTAACCTCAAGATGGAATCCTATCAAAAGAGCATTTTATTGAAGCAACGTGAGCATTCTGAGGCGGCTATATTGTTACAAAGGGTGAAACACGATGAGACTGAAATAAGCGAGCTTGAAAAGCTTATGAGAGATCTCGAAGATGAGAGTATTAGAGCTCAAGGAGAAATCGAGTCTCTTCAAAACGATATGAGAGATTTTGATAAGGACGGGCAAGGCAAGCTTGTCGAACTTCAGCAAGAAATCAATGAGCTTGCTGCTCTCATTAAAACGGAAAAGATGCAAATGAAATTGTCTCAAAAGGCATTTCAGCAGCATCAGATTGGTCAAGACGAAGTCCAATCTGATCTTCGTGTCCTTGAGAAGCAAATTGAGGATTCAAGGACAGCCATCACACTATTGAAAAGTGAAATTGAGAAATGTGAAGAAGAACATGTCCATTTAATTGCGGAGGTTGCAGAGATCAGGAATTTGATCACTCAAGAGAAGTCGACTATGGTAGGAATAAATGACGAGCTGCAAGATATGACGCAAACCCTGAATCAAAAACGTGAGGAGTATAATGATGTGGATCTGAATTTAAGGAAGCAAAGGGATACATTGACCTCTCATGAGAATCTCTACAGTTCACTCAAAGAAAAGGTAAATCAAATTATTACAGAACAAGAATGGGTCTCAGATCGCAAGCTACTCAATCAGGTTTTGGAACAGTACCCTAACATCAATTTGGATCACTGTCACAGACGTATTGAACAGTTGAAAAGTCGCTCCTCGTCAATGAAGAAGAAAGGGGTCAACAGCAATATTATGGCGCAGATAGAACAGCATGAGAGGCAGGAGAATTCACTGAGATTTAAAATAAGGCAGATCAATAAGGATAAGGCCAAAATAGAAGAAACGGTCCGAAAACTTGATGATTACAAGAGAACGGAGCTTCTCAAAACGTATAAAAAAGTGTCTGATGATTTTGGGCAAATATTTGGAGATCTTTTGCCACAGGCCTACGCTAAGCTTGTCCCGACTGATCCGAATGATGTAACTAGGGGACTGGAAGTACGGGTTAAGCTAGGCAACGTTTGGAAAGAGTCATTAGTTGAACTGTCAGGTGGTCAGCGCTCCCTAGTCGCTTTAGCTTTGATTATGTCTTTCCTTCAATTCAAACCGGCTCCGATGTATATTCTGGATGAGGTTGATGCTGCTCTCGATTTGAGTCACACTCAGAACATTGGCCATCTGATTAAGACAAGGTTCAAGGGGTCTCAATTCATTGTGGTTTCATTGAAGGAGGGCATGTTTACCAACGCAAATAGGTTATTCAGGGTCAGATTTCAAGAAGGAACTTCTGTGGTTACTGCGAGTTAGATCAAATTTATCATCATTGAACGATATATTCACTTTCCCAAACGAAATGAAAGACCGTGCTGTCAAATCCCAGTTAGTGTGTCGTACGTGTCATCTGAGCCATACGTGTCATACTACAGCTTCATAGTCATCTCCTGTTTTTCCTCAAGTTAACTTCTATTTTCATACAACTTGCTTTTGCAATTAAAGCCAGATACTCCTTATAAGGTTCGATCACTGCTATAATCATTTCCTAATACCTATTTGGCACAGTCAACAAAAGCGACCTACATAGTGGATACATGAACAGAAAGACCATAAATAGTCTAGCACTATGTTTGTGAAGAGGTGTAATCCAAAAGATTTGGAGCATCTTGTCGTTCCTCGATTCTTTGCGAAGGTTCTGAAAAGTCACACAAGCTTTTCAAGGAGTGCCCATTGAGAATCATAACAGCCAAAAGGCCGACCACGCTTGTAACAACTACAAGCAAAAAGGGAAGCTTGGGACTCCAATCAGCTAATTTCCCCCCAACAAATGATGTGAAAATGATTCCGACACCGCCTACAAAAGCGAATACCCCCGATATAGAACCTTCTCGTTGCCTATATTTGTCCTCAGAGGTTATGTTTGAAATCATAGTCATTGATATTATAATGAACATGATTTGGGCAGATCCCATCAAAGACGCTGCAATGTAAATCATTAGACTTTTATCTGGTGTTGATATCAAGCAAAAGGTAAGAAATCCAGTTGTCGAGAAGAGTGCGGCAATTGAAATTAGTGCGGTGTAATTGTTTAGTCGATCGACAAGAATTCCCGAAATTGGGGCAAGCAAAAGTCCAAATAGATTTGCTACACCTGTGAGAATCGATGACAAAATATAAGATTCTGGGCAATCGACTTTGTTATTTGAAGTCTTGGTACAATTGCCTATCTCTCTGTAATAGGCGTTCACATAGAATGGAATGTATAAGGTAATCACGATTGTAATGCACCGTGAAATAAAGCCACTCAAATAAGCAATGACAATTCCCGGGTCCTCCATCGATAATTGGAATCCTGTCTTGAGGGAAGTCCAATAAGATTCTCTCACTATAAAGGATGAAAAGTGCTCCTCATCAGAATCGCTGTCCAAATCATCGCGTATCCTGTTGTCCTGTGTATATGACTCAAACAGATCGTCTTTAAAAAATATGTCGCTTTCACTTTTGAAAGAGTAAAACCACATAATAACAGCCACGGCTATTGCACCAGCGCCCACAGTATAGTATGAGTATCTCATGGCAGACCCCGCCGGTCTTGTTTTACCATAAAACACCGGAAGCCTCAACAGGAGAGTGACCGCAAACACTGCACCGAAACCGCTCATTATACCCATGTAAGAGACCTTGGTTCCATCTTTCCTAGATTTGTTCAAATTGTCCACTCTTTCCAGATAGTTTTCATGGTCACGTGCTACATCACAACTGCCTATAGCATCGGACTCCTGTTGTTCTCTATCAGACAGACTTAAGGGGTTGCTAAACCCAGATGTATATGCTTTGAGATCGAATCCTGAATGGTTCATTTCGATGACCATGACGGTAAGAATACCCAAAGAGGCCGTTAGCCCCGCAGCAAACACCAATCTCCAAAACAGCATCTGAGGGACAACATTAGTTCTTACAAAATATCCGAAACCGAAGAGACTCAGTCCGGAAACGAAAAAACCTGAGGAAACAATCACCCTGGACCCAAATCGGTCTGCTAGAACTCCCATTAATGGCACCAAACACATCGACAGAATTTCATCGAAGAGACCCAAAGTGCCAACGTAGCTTCCGACATTCTCACCTATCTGTAGCACATCCGTGATGAAGAATGTTTGCGTTGTAGAGACGAAAACCGCAAGCGCAACCGCAGAAAAACTTGCAAGCAAGAAACAGATAAAATTCATCAGTGTATACTCATGACTCCTACGAGTCGATAACTGGAGGTCTGCCATTCAAATGACCGTTTCTTGTGATAATACAGTGGAGTGGAACCAATTTTAAAATGTAAAATTCTGGGAGATTTATCGGGGTTTAATATGCGTTATATTGTTTTCTTATATATATAGTTCAAACCAGAAGAATATACGTTTAACATGCAGCACATTGTCTACTATTAAAGCATTGGTTTTTACAGCATTGTCCTGCTTTAAAGCAAATGATATCAACACTCCAGTTATAATGCCGTATTCAGAAACCCATATTTATTAATTATAGCAAGCAAGTGCCACAGGGTGATTTTAAAAAGCAATCAATTACACCCAATTACAACTGACATCTCCAAAAGTGATACAAACCTTCTAAAAACCCAAAGTGAACCTACTTTTCGGAAAACTGTAATATCGTTGCTTACCTACAAAAGTTTTGGAATTAAACGAAGCGATTCTATTGTCATGGGTCCCCCTCTATTGTTATTTTTATTATCTTTGCCAAATGCTCCTCTCATAAGACCTACGAAGCAAGACCTTAACTGACTACACTCATATTATTCCTATCTATCGTCTCACGACTACTTGAACATAAATTTCAAGCTGTCCTTATCTTCTTACACGTAATCTCATGCTCGACGACAATTGGACCAAAAACTTTGACGGGCGCTCCATTTCATGAATGCTATCACATATATACGTTCAACGATGAGAAGATTCAACTTTTTCCGAGATAGTTTAGTGGTTAGAATTCTCGCTTGTCACGCGGGAGACCCGGGTTCAATTCCCGGTCTCGGAGCTTTGATTCGGAGATAATTTTTTTTTACATGCGGGATCTGTTTTCGTTCTACACTAAGCTTACTGGCTCATGGTTCAAGGTTTGACATAGACGACAGAGTGAGGGCTGCGATCATGAACACATATGCAGAAGGGCACCGTTATATCCAGATTTTTAACAATGAGCTGAATTCAGGGTCTATCATCAGACTTTATGAGAGTTCAGTTGCTGAAAAACCTTTAGCCTGTAAGCGATTTACTGCCGCACCTCAATTTTCAGCCCACCGATTTTACATGCAAGTGCTCATAGATCGAGTTAGAGGTAATACTGCTTATTCACCAAGTCTGGTCGAATCTGGCTGTTGCAATTGATGAAATAGGACCAAGGAGCAGAGTGTACTCGTGTATTTGGAAATGACTTTTCGGAGATTTGTGTTGCGGTACACCTTGCATTATATTCTAGATAGAAAGTTATACCCCTTTGTTGGAATTTAGTTTCGATAAGTGTAACGTCTCATTATACTTCCTTCAATAGTGTGACTATGTATCAGATGGTTAATATCTTTGGTATACCTAATTCCCTCACTTATAAGCGGGGTATAGCATACCTTATATATTATTTGGATAGTCTCATATGTGATTCAGATTTGTATCATTTGGATCTGATGCACATACTATGCATGTGCTAAACCACAAACCTTCATATTAGGATAAGCCGCACAGCCATGATATAATCTATGACTATCTTATCTCAACAAATCATACACTGGTTTACCTTGATCCACACACAACTTTATATGCCCTGGGAGTAAAATACAGCCTGCCCCTCCTCCCTTCAGCTGCGATCTACTCGATGAATTTCATGTGAACACATTTACTTTTTAACGAACAGTACAGAATCCCTATAGCAATAACGCTTTATAGAGTAGTAAGACATTGAATGCATTCAGACGGGGTGCTTAAGCATTTTCCAAAAATATAGTGACACCTCAAGACAAGTTCTACCAGAAGTAGGAAACATATCTGTTTGCTACGAGAGGTTTCTATCTATTGAAGCTCATAGGCAAACACGTATCAAGTGGCAACATGGCATGTCAATGATTGTCGTGACCACAGCAGTCATGTATTTCATCATAAGCTGGTGTATAAGGCCTTTACAAAGATATGAAAATACAGTCCGTGACATAACTCGGATTAAATTTTAGCGCTTAACGTGCGATATGCAAGGATACATCTCTATTGCTTATCTGAACTCTGAATTCTACGAATCAACCATCATACGGCTTGGGAGCAGCCACTATATAAAAAAGGAAGATTACTCATTTACTAGACACCGATGAAATCTGTTTTCATAAAATGTACCACGAGATAATAACACTCCTTTGTATTCTTTATAGATATATCCAAATGTTCTCCTGATGCGACTATCTCTCTGAGTTTTGCTGTAAGATATGATATTATTGGATATGAGAGGGGTCATTTTTATCCGTATTAGTATTCACACGACTAGCCCAGTCGAGTCACACTATTCATTCCCTATGATAAGAATTCTATAAGCAGATTGATTAGCGGTTGATCAAACATGAATGCTCCAAGAATTGATCCCAGCTGTTACTGAGTGACTCCAACTAAGACTGACGTGACAGTATAATTCCTATCCGCGAAAAAATTTTGCAAGCATCATAAAGCATCATACCAATTTCGATGTCTGTCACAGAATATTTAGGGTTTAGGATACTAGAGCTGAAAATTCAGTTGAAAGTGTTGTATAGTTAGGTTACGTAGGGTTCACGTAGCGTATCGCACTACCTCCCTTCACCGAAAGTCTGCACGTTCGGTAATAGGTATTTATGAGCTTAAACAGTGTGCTGGAGTCGGTCCATAAAAGCTGGGATCAAAAGGGTCTTGGATTTTTCATATTCGGCCAACCAGCTATTGAACCTGCTTACGGATCTATCTTATGCTCGGAATTATCTCCGTAGTATGTGTTTGAGATAAGATAGTCATAGATTATATCATGGCTGTGCGGCTTATCCTAATATGAAGGTTTGTGGTTTAGCACATGCAATAGTATGTGCATCAGATCCAAATGATACAAATCTGAATCACATACGAGACTATCGAAATAATATATAAGGATATGCTATACCCCACTTATAAGTGAGGGAATTAGGTATACCAAAGATATTAACCATCTGATACATAGTCACACTATTGAAGGAAGTATAATGAGACGTTACACTTATCAAAACCAAATTTCAACAGTATGTGTTGTCGCAAGAGAACACGGATTCGTACTATGTATATTGAGCCTCAAACTTTGAACTCAAAATATAATGCATGTAACTGCGTTATTAACCCTTTCAGTCATAAACGATCAATGTTAGTATTGTGGACTATTTAACTTTCAGGTTGAATATACGTAAATCGTTCATTTACCTCAGTAATTACCTCGAAACTGCCTGCGGTACATAAGTGTAGCTTCAAGGCCATTCAACCGACTGCTAAATAAATACTAATCCTTTTTCTTCATGCCATCCAAATTGAACATTACTTAAATCTCCAGGCCAAGTAGGAGTATATCTAGAAAGGTTTATGCTGTTGATTATCCCAATGATCATAGTTGAAACAAGAGAGGCGAATGACGATTATTGAAAGCCGAAGATTATTATAAACGTCTGGTGAAGGTATACAAGATGTGACTCTTAAATCAATTATATATTGTATTTGAACAATATAAAAGATCACTTTCACATGCTGAAATACAATAAGTTGGTCCGCATAACTTGTTTCACCCAAGACGATTCTTTCACATGAACCACCACCTATCAACTAGAAATTGATTGCATGGCTACATTATCACAACAAATGTGGTACATGTGCTCTGACTAGCAAACACAACCTAAAGGCTGTCTGCTGCTAAAAAGACAAAATTCAAATGAAAGTAAAAAAAAAATTCGGTAAAGCCTGCTGATGCGCTATTTATGAGTCTTACCAAAAACAAAGTTAGCAAACAAAAGTGTTAAAACTATTTATCTTTCCGGTTTGCTACGGCTCCATATTGCCATTTGAGCAAAATCCCATTGCAACTTTGAGATGATTGAGAAACAATTCAAATATGCACATGGACAAAAAGAAGGTAGCTAGCTTTAATTTATCTAAAGCTGAGCAAATAGCTTATGCCTTTGTTGTTGGGTAGACGGGAGTTCGGAAGTATATATATCTAGGGCTCGTAAGGTATAGCATCAATCATAAAAGCTAATTCAAACACCCAGATTTTCTACATAATTCTTTGAAATCTCCAGTGAATGGTAGGTCAGAAAGACACAGACCTGTTGCTGTTGAGGCAAGAGAGTTATGCATTTCAGTCAAATTGGGTTTCAAATTTCTAGAACAATTGCTTCTGAATCCGAGATGTGTAGAAGCTCTAAGAAGCAATGAAAAGTTGAAACTACAAATCTAGTTTTAAGATTTCGTAGGTACTCCACTTTTCATCCTAGGTAGATTTCAATTTTCGGAGTTTCTGAGCTTACCTCTAAAATCAGTTACTCAACTATGGACAGCCGCACCATTAAATCCAGCCATCTAACGAGTAAAGCCAACTTCTATCGTTGCAGTCATTCCAAAAGTACTATGGGTCTTTGCGACGTCTAGGCCGAAAGTGGCTTGGAAAGAGTGGGTTATCTATTATAGGCTCGACTGTATATCTTAGCCCGCTCCTTGAATTCTTCACCAACTTGCTCATAGACTTTACAAAATTAGTTGTGTGTTATCAATCACGTTCTAGTTATCATAGGATAAGTATATAGCTATTTGGAATTCTAAGTTGTGAGATACACCATGATCTAAACTTCCTTAAGATTATCTTTGTTTTTTGCTTTTCGCAGAGCAAATCTCAAATCGGTGTCCTTCCACAGTATTATATTATGATACTGCAGAGCGCATTTGCTGTGGTCATTCCTTCTTGATCTATGATATGCATAAAAAAAGGTGAAAGCCTACTTATTTTTAACAACGTCATTTACTCATATATCTTATCGTTCATATTAGTACGATTAAGCCGATCATAATCTATTAACTAGGCATTTTTTATATTATTCTCACAAAAACAGCTGGAGATAAATTGCATATATAAGTTCTCAATTCTTACGTCCATAATTCTCTTAGTTTTTGTCTCCATGCCCACCTCAGTTTCTTCGTTTTCACATCACATACCGGATGGAGTCCTGAGAATCAATATATTGGAAATCGTTGCATTAACCAAGTTCATGTACACTAAGTGAACCGAATCGCAGGCAATTTGTGTATTATGATGATGCAGTCAGTCATGTATTAAATCCCAAGTTGAGAGGTTTGCGGCTCGAGATAATCTATCGTGTTCCCTGTTCATTTCCTAAGAACACATTACATAAAGAGAAACCTTTCTATTATCTTGGCTAAAAGGTTATTTGCATCTACACCCTTGAGGTAAGGTCAGAATTCTCTTAACAAAGCTACTAGTCAATTAATGAATTACTCAGACATAATTAGCATTGCAATTAGCTGGTCCAACATTTTTGTGAAGCAACTGCAGAACCTTACGTATCTCACTTACTGTTAATTCAGAGCACAAATTGTTCTATGATTGCATGAGTCATATCATATTACTATTAGATACCAGAGGAAATAGAATTAAGCCACTTGTTTAAGACTGGGATGCACAGCACTACTCTCGATAATTCAAAGTATAGGACATCCTCATGGAAAGAGTTGATCTCTCCACACCCTTGTAGAAATTTTGTTGTGAGTTTTCAGTTCTTAAATAACGGTGTCCACTTTTGCATATCGCTGAGTTCGAAGGTATTCATTCTTCTGAGCTTTGTATATAAGTATTGCTATACGAAACACCTCAACTGGAACCCTACTTTTGAAGCCAAACTAGAATTCAGGTGTCACTACCTTCTCTTATCACTGCTTAGCATTATTCCATTTTAGAGGTCAATCCAATTATGCAACCGCGGACTTGTGAAGCTCCAAAGTTCTATGAAATTTCTGCACTTTATATTCTAGACCCTACATAGTAATTGTACACGCTGCATGTTGTTGAAGCTAGTTTAGGAGGTCGCTGAAGCATTTATAATTAGCTTGAACCATAACTGAAATAGCAATGTCAAGTTTACGATTTATATGGGGTGTTCGCTCTAACTTCAACGTATGATCGATCGAGACAAAGAAAGAAGAGTTTCGTGTGAAGTTTTTGTGTGGAAGATTCTAGAGATCATTTTGGACATCAAGATAGAGCCTATTTAGTTTAGCTTATCATCTATATCTCTCTTCGAGCTTGAACAAATTTCAGCTTCATTCACTAACAGTTTTTCTTTTTTTTCTATGGTCACGACACGACAATATGCAGAATAATTCGGCAGGAATGCCTATGTTTGAGTAATTCATTAATTGACTAGTAGCTTTGTTAAGAGAATTCTGACCTTACCTCAAGGGTGTAGATGCAAATAACCTTTTAGCCAAGATAATAGAAAGGTTTCTCTTTATGTAATGTGTTCTTAGGAAATGAACAGGGAACACGATAGATTATCTCGAGCCGCAAACCTCTCAACTTGGGATTTAATGCATGGCTGGATCCCATCGTAGAACTTGTTGTAATATTAAGAATCAATAGCCACAAATATTTTTCATCAGTTTTGAAACTTTAACGAATTGGTTACAAGGCTCAGATCAGAGCATTATACTTTTTCTTGCCTGCATATATCATGGCTATGAGAACCTTACGTAGAATATACTACATATAGGCAAATCGTCCGTTTCGGTAAACTTAATGTCAATGATTCTTAGCTTAAGATTGTAAGTCATTTTTTTTAGCAGACCTTTCAGTCACTTAGCCATATATCAGAACTCAAAAAGCTACTCTAACCTTCTGGTGAAACCACTCCGATAACACGGTTTTATAAGAGGATCACCACAAGGGAAGGGAGTAAGTCAATTAAGGGGGGTGACCAGAACGTGTACAATAAATGATAGATTCAAGGAAAGTATAATGAAGTGATTTTTAGTTGCTAAGATATACAACGTACATCATTGGAGAAAGGGCATATACACAAGCATTTCAAACTAAGAAGCCTTTCAGACATAACTACGAAAAAAACAAGTTTTTTTGGCTGCAAGGAATCTTGTTCTCCTATGCATAGATAATGTACCTCATTCTCCAAAGTAGGCGACAAGTAAAACATATATATGAGGACAACTGCTTAATATTCCGCTTATCTGAAGTGAGCTATTTAGGTGATATGACTTGTTACGGTAGAGGGAAGGAACGCAAAGCAGTACTGAAAACGCAGCGTTGATCAGTCTACATGCTCATAAAAACTCAGATTCAGGGTCAAGTGATCACAGCGGAAACATGTTATTCTCTACCCACTAGAGGAATGTTTGGTCAGCGCAAGGCAATTAAGAGACCAGTCGGAACTTAGAGCAGCACGTTTTTCGACTTTACTACTATGAATTCAGTGATGTATCTTTATAAGCATAGTTATGCATTTTATTGAACGAAACCTAGTGGCTCGTCCTTCCCAAAAGAAGTTCGTGAGGGGAACAAGTCACTACAGTCTGGAAAACAAAAATAAATTTGGAGAAAATTTCCAATAGGGCTTGTATCCTCTCCGGCTCATCAGTAGGCCATATATATGGATTAGAAACATATACTTAGCCAAAGGAAACGTCATTAAAAATATAAGCAAGAGAAAAATATCGCCCTCCATACCCTGTCTTTCCTTCATTGGTATGACTGAATGCAGAGAATAGAAAAGATGAAAGGTCACAAAAAACTTTTAATGTCTGCATTCGATTAATATGTAAACTCGTTTAGACAGAAAGATAACAGCAGTATTAATATGCTGAATCTAAAGGGTGTTGAGATAAGATAGTCATAGATTATATCATGTGTGTGCGGCTTATCCTAATATGAAGGTTTGTGGTTTAGCACATGCAATAGTATGTGCATCAGATCCAAATGATACAAATCTGAATCACATACGAGACTATCGAAATAATATATAAGGATATGCTATACCCCACTTATAAGTGAGGGAATTAGGTATACCAAAGATATTAACCATCTAATACATAGTCACACTATTGAAGGAAGTATAATGACTGTAGACATTACACTTATCAAAACTAAATTCCAACATGATTCTGAGTTCTCAAATAAAAACATCAGAATCAAAATTAGCCAGTACTTTACTAGATCTTACCAACCCACCTCACATCCATTTTCTTTGGACGTTTTCGGATGATTGAGATATGTTTCGAAACGGAGACACAGAACTATCTCATGTAATAAAAATTACACAGTCCTCTTAGATTATGCAGTAATTCCTAGGGAAAATTCAAGCTGACGCATACAAACAATGGTTTCACAATGTTTTGTGCAATGTTTCAAATATCTGTTCTGTCCTAGTAGCTTTTACTTGTAGAAAATTTTGTACCCTTGCATATAATATAGTGTGAGCTTGTCGCCGATAAGGACTCTTATGAAGCTGTCAAACAAATTCTCAGCCTCTTTATTCTTTGACTTTCGCTGAATCTTTAGGTTGGATATGGATGGAACATTCTTTGCAGGATTAAAAAACTCTACATCTGGGTTCCAAATGAGGGAATGGTCTATTTGGTTTCAAACCTTTGCTCATTGTTTCCGTGACGAACTAAAGTAAACTAAAGTAAAGGAGAAAGCTTACTAGCTTTGAGAATATTGCTCAAACTTGATCACCTCTTTGTTGATAAAAGGTATCTGTTGGAGTTGGCAGATAAGATACACAAAACTAATTCTTGAGATGCACCAATATAGATGACATGTCTGTTGAGTATGCATGCACACTTTTGATATTAGGAAGTATTGGTGTACAATCGGTCAATCAGCCTATACAGAATCAAAAGCTTATATAGTACTTCAAGCGAGACAGCGAAGCTCAGCAACCATCACACTTGATTAGTATCACATTGAATGCCCTGTGCCTTATTACAGCATATCGAAGGCTCCAAAAAGCGCAGGAACGGTAAAAATAAGAGCCAATAAGATGATTGTCTTAGGGCAAGTTGATTCACCACATTGATCAATGTGAATAACCACTGCGTGAAAGCTATTCAAACACGATGATGGAGAAGATCTGCGTTGAAACAAAGCTTTCAGCGCCAACTAGTCCAATGTGTGCTATTGATTTTTGGTATGGCACGACGACTATGGCAAATTGAGTTCTGCTAGGAGCATTCAACATTCAAGACTTTGATCTTTTTTTGGACCAATGTAAAGACTGAAGAAGTTGTTGAGGTTCGAGTGCTCCATATTCATGCCGTAGTGTGTAAGTGATACAGTGGATCCCTTGAATCAAGCCTTCATCGCAAAGACTTGGAGATAATCTAGTGAAAAAGAGGGGATATACAATCGTACCATTCATATAGTTTTAGCTGCGTTCGAGATTTGTCATATGTCTTCTATCTTCTCCTGAGGTCAAAATCCCTATGTATTAGACTTTTTTGAGCTTGAGTACTACCTTTGACCTAGAAGACCTTTGGATCCAAAGAAATCTTACACATATTAGGTTTGAGGCAGCATATCGTTTGAGAAACAGGATGGGCTTTACGTGGAATTACTATATTTCTCAAAATCACCTTTCAGACTATAGAGACTCGATATATCATTAGCAATAGCAACATGAAATGAACTTCTCTGACGTCAAAGCCCTTATTCAAGAAAGCTTTTCATTTTTCGTATACATTTTAAGCACTGATCATTTAGAGGGACGTGGCATATATAATCCTCCCTGTTGAGTGTCGCATAATACTCATCGTAGATCAACCAAGAAATAGATAACTACCGCAGTCTATATCTTTCATCTTCATTTCCATAACCAGAAATCTCTCTTTAGCTCAGTTGGAAGAGCATGAGACTGTAATGGTATAAGTAATCTCAGGGTCCCCGGTTCGATCCCGGGAGGGGAGATTTTTTTTAAGATTCATTTTTCATGAATGTCTGTAGGATTGACGGTGTATTTGGATAACGGATAGAAATTTTTCGAGCTGAAAATAGATACTCGCCTCATTTAGCACTCTGACATTTTTGCAGTTACACCCAAGTCTCAGCCATGGTGGACTCAGAAGAAGAACTGTATGTATGTTAATGAATTAAAGATTGACTTCAAGTACTAACTGAGAGTACCCTTTCTGCTCATGCTTTGGCAGCATTAGCTGAATTTGAGAGCGAAGAAAGTGAGCGTCTAGAGCGCTTCAAGGCTCTTAGTGAAGAAGCAGACGCTGATTTCACCAAAAGATCACATTTGTCGATTGATGATTTCAAAGAAGATTGGCAGTTATCACAATTTTGGTACAACGACGATACAGCTAATACACTTGCTGACGAGCTGCTTGATGGAGCTGACAACGAAACGATAATATGCATTGTTAGTGCTCCATCTGTATATGCAGCCATCAGGGCTCGCGAACCCGATGATCTTCCCACAAAGAACATCTATTTGCTGGAGTTTGATCGACGTTTCAAAGTACTTTCTGGATCTAAATATTTCGGATTTTTTGACTACAATCAACCTTTGAATGTTCCTGAACACCTAAAAGGTAGATGTCATCGTCTTTTGATTGACCCACCATTCTTGGAAATTGACTGTCAGAGGAAATCTGCACTTGCAGCGAAGACATTGTTACAATCAGACAAAGCCCAAAAAACAAAGCATAATGAGCTGAGGTATAAACTTATCACTTGTACCGGTGAGCGAATGGCTGATGTAGTTACGTCCTACTACCCAGATGTGCGCATGACTACTTTCTACCCAGAGCACAAAAATGGATTAAGTAATGAATTTAGATGCTACGCCTCATTTGAGGGTAAAGCATGGAAATTCGTATAGAAGAAGTACTATCCCAAGCGAAACTTCTGCATTGATAGATTGGTCTAAGAGCTTCCTGTCCAAAATTGCGCATATGCTCTGATGAAGACTCCTGCGCCACACAATGTAGAAAGAATGCTTTGCCACCGAGTTTTGGATTTAAAAAAAACACATGCAAATCTATTGATGCATATAGGTTGATGATCAACTGAAGGAGAAACTTTCAAATCAAACGAACTAACTGCTTTCCAATAGTTTATACTAAAATTTGACGGACTAGGTGTTCAAGTAGTCAACTTATTTCACGATGCACATAATTTTGCTTCGTCATGCCTCTAGAGCGGACAAAGATGACTCTGATTGGTTTTCACCGAAATCTGATCTTAGAATTTACAGACCCGATCATTGGCTTGCAGCATACGATCCCCCCTTAAACCCCTTTCTAGCTCTCAAAGAGGTTGAGTTAGCCTACAAAAAGATCTCATCTCACATTCCATCCGCATCAAGAGTATTTATGCACTGTTCGCCATATAATCGCTGTGTTCAAACTGCCAGACTTCTATCAAAGCATTTTGTACATACAGATTCAGGTATCCAGTCGCAAGCAAATCCAGCAATCCAACGGACATTAAAGCTTAGGATAGATCTAGGTTTATCCGAATGGCTGAATGAAAACTTTAGACTGGACTATCTTCCACCGAATGATGGGGGAGCATCCATGATAAGTAATGTAAACCTTTACTTTGAAAATGCGGTCAATTCTTTATCGCCGTCAGATGATGGAAACAGTGAACTGAAAGTGCTCAAAGATCCTGACTGGCTTCACAACAAATTTGGAAAATGTGGAGATTATGGAGAACTACCATCAGAATTTCAATTGCGATGTGCTAATTATCTTGGTGATCTTGTGCAATTTTATGAAACTCATGTCCCTGAAGAGCTTAAAGAAGAGTCAGTTATACTGATTATAACTCATGGAGCTCTTGTCTCTACGTTTCTGCAGCTTATTTTGGGGCGTCGAAACTATAGTGAAATTCCAGTTTGCACTCCAATATATCTCAAAAATGGACAGCCGGAATGTTACCTTTTCAAAGATTATGACTTCAACCTGAAATCATTTGTTCCTGTTACAAAAGATCAAGAAATCTATTATCTTCTTAATACGGAATTCAAACTGACAGATTTAAATAGTAAGGCAACAATCCAAGATCAGTCACCAATATTTATAAAAGACATTTCAAGATCTGAATCGCACAGCAGTCAAACTATTCATCGACCGAGAAGCAGAACGATCAATGCGGTCGGTCCGGGAACTGACTCAAATAATAAAAAGGTCGCTCCGCTACGTCAGGTTAGGTCATCAAGACAGCTTCATTTGATGGGCAATGCCACAAAAGGGAAAATACTAGACTTGAACAAACTTCAGGGGTTTTTGGGGGTAACCTCCGATTCAGATGACGAATCAGACGTCCAAATATGTAGTCAAGACTCTTCTTGTTCTGAAATCGACGTTTCAAGCTCTGTTTTGCATTTGCGAGAAGCTATTATAGAAAAAAGCTCAAATACTTCCCATGACATTGCTGGAGACAGAAATTCCGTCTTAAAAATTAAAAATTCGGGTTTTCCAATTTCGCTTCAAGCTGGTTTTGAAAATTTACATGGAAAACGCGAGCGTTGGACAGAGGCCTCTTGCAAAGAGAACCGATCATCAAGTAATTACACTACCATTCTTGAAAGCAAAGAAGATTCAATAACTGAAGAGATGAGCGAAAATGATGATTTTAGTTCTGAAATATTGCCGTTCGTACGGCCCAATAATAAAAAGTCCAAAGAGGATAATCCTGTGCTTAAAAACCCTGACACATATCGAATTGCTGAGAAATCTAAAGGGTCTTTAAAGAGAATTCTTTATGGTTCTCCCACCAAACAGACGCAGCTTGGCGAAGACAACCTGACTTGGCTTGGAAGTAATATGAAAAACCAGGTTGCATGAATTCTGATCCTCAAGCTGGAACCTACCTTTGTCTCCAGGGAAATAAATCAATACTAATAAATAATGCATTTACTATAAGATGAATACCATAATGAAGAAAGCCCATGAGAAAACAAATATTAGAAAAACGTGAACTTCGGGAGACGAGCACTGTGTTGCATATGAAGATGAGGTAGTCCCATGCGTATCATCTACATGAAAGTTGTCTCTTAGATCATTCACCTTTAGCATGTGCAGCCCACCTAGTTCGTCAACGAAGTTATAGAGCAGCGATCTGTTTTCCTTCACTCGATAATTATCGCCATAGGAGTCCCACCAAAACCCACCTGCAAGACCTAGATTTTTGATGTAATTCGCCTTTTGGCGTACAGCTTGTGAGCAGTCGTAGAAGACAATGCCTAGTCCTTTATTGCTGTAGGCATAAGAGGATCCTGCAGTGAAATTATGAACCTCAGTGTAGTCCTTGGGCGGCAAGCTATGATAGTTCACGATACACTGGTTTTGTTCTTGATTAATACCCGCAACATTCGCGCATCCTTTGAACGGTAATCCAATACCCATGCCCTCGAAGCTTCTTCCATAACTTGGCATGCCTAAAATGAGTTGGCTTTTGTCAATCTTACTCAAAAGATATTGAACTGCGTAATCAACACTGGAGGTAGAATTTGTTTCCAGCGAATAGAGGTTGGAGTGATAATTAGCCCTTTCGGACCAAGGACCAGTAATATCATAACCCATCAAGTTGAAGTAAGTCACGTAGTTTCGAAGGGTCTCAAACTGATACGTCTTTAAGGATGAGATATCCAACGGAAGAGCTAGCGATAAGAGATACGTATTAGGAAGCATCCCATTCTCTTTCTCCGCGAAAGTTAGCTTTTCTTTGAGAGTTTCGATTAGACTATTCAGATTTGAGGTGGACTTTGGATCGGGGAATTCCCAGTCAACATCTATACCGTCAAATCCATGTTTTCTCATTGTGTTCACGAGATTTTGACAAAATCTCTCAATTTTCCCCTCACTTGACGTGGCCCTTTCAAAAACATGGTTAGTATTCTCCCCTCCAATGGCAAGGGAGACTTTGAGCCCCTTTTTGAGCTCTTTCATTTGTAGAAGCTGGCCTATCAGCCCTGTGGAACTGACCATTAGCTCAGCTTTAGACGAAGTTTTAGTAAAATTGTTAAAATATACCCTCTCATCTCGTGCACCAAGTGAACTATTTATATCCTCACGAATCAATGGGATGCTCTCTTTCAAAGCTACACTTTCATCGCCCCAATATACGCCTTCTGATTTGAGGTCAACTTTCGCAAAAGCATAATAGATGTTAGTGATATGAGACAAAGGTATATCAATTGGATAATGATTGTAATAGAATGACCATTCTGTATAGTACAAAGCAGTGACAAAAGTAGGATGACTATTTTTTGCTTCTTCCAGGTTGGAAGCGAGACCACCATAGCAAGCACAAAGAAATATCAAAGCAGGAAGAAGTCTTGATGACATTTCAGCATAGAGCCAAAAACGAGAAGATAGGGAAGTGCTAAAAATGGGGAAGAAAAAGCACCCTTCAATAGCTAGTTATATCCGAACAGAACATGTTATACATTGTTCTGCAAAATATTTTTCCTTGGTTTGCGAGTGCATTGAAAGCTCGGCAAATAAAGGAATTCCTTATTCATATCCGACGGGGTGGTAAATCATATCTCTCCCTTCAAGCTATTAAAAGTAAAAGGTGCAATTTCAATTATCTGTGGGAGTTCAGAGTTGTCTTTAAAACATTATCAAAGTACTTTTGCCTGCATCTTTATCTTCATTTTTCTCGCTTATTGGAGCACATTGGATCGTGTATTATTCACATTACAAGCGAAAGCTTTGTTTTAATTTTCTCATCTCGGCAGTCCCAAAAACACATACTATACTGACTGTCCCCCAGTGAATTTTCAAATATTTTTCTCTGTTATCATGATACAATCAGTTAGTTTATTGCAATAAGTTTCATTAGTTCAAATCGTAAAATCTTTTGTTCCTGCTTTCAAAATTATCATTGCTAAGAGCCTCAAACGTAATATCTTTTTTCCTGGACGATATGATGCCTTTCACTGGCCTTGAAGTCTGGAATCCGATAATTTGATCACTGCTCACTTCGCTATCATTCTTTATTAGATGTTGTATTCCGTCAACAATTAATGAGATTCCAGTGGGTTCTGCCCCCCTTGGAAGAACGATGTCAGCAAAATCCTTCGTGCGAGAGATAAATTCACTCATTTCTATTCGAGACTCGCTCAAATAGCGCGTTAATAGATTTTTGAGCATCATACTCTTATCGGCCTTTGAGATTGATTCAGGCAATTTGGAAGATAAGAGGTCTCTTTTGATCCATCTGCCCAACCTAACATCAGCATCACAGTCAATAAAGATCTTAACTGATCCCATATTCAAAAGCTCCTTATCATATAGTGCATAAAGCCCGTAAATGAGAATGACGTCAAAGCCATCACTAATAAGGGTTTTGATCTGTGATTTGACCAGTTGAAAATTAAAACGAGACGGTCCTATCTGCGGAGTCTCCTTTTGGAACTCCTTCATGTCAACTTCCGCGACTTTTATCTGCCGATATCTATATTCCATCTCTTCTCTTAAAAGTCTGCTTGTAAGGCACTGCAAAAGTTAGAGTTAAAAACCGAGTAAACAGCCGAACATTCCATACTTTACCGGAAGCGTGCCCCCCTGCGATTAGAATGATAAGAGGGCGCTGATTCGTTTCATAACCCATGCCTCAATGGTAAAATCACAAAAAAAAAAAAATATTTTGAACTTGAATATTAAGAGAAAAACAAAATTGTAGTTACAACACCATTCATTATTTGCCACGTTCTTCAGAAATCACAGTGACCATAACACCCAAGTAAATCCACTAAGGACAAGATGGATTTTGACAAGGAGTTGGATAAATCTTTGGAAGTTCAAACTTCAGGGAACATTACGGTAATAGGAAGCTTTGAGGAAATGAATCTAAAGGAGTCCCTTTTAAAAGGAATTTACGCATATGGCTTTGAGGCACCATCTGCAATCCAATCTCGGGCGATTACTCAAATCATCCAAGGAAGGGATGTTATAGCTCAAGCACAATCAGGAACAGGGAAAACTGCAACTTTCACAATTGGAATGCTTCAAGTCATAGATACAAGTAAATTCGAGACTCAAGCGTTGGTTTTATCAACTACGCGAGAATTAGCAGCTCAGATTAGAAGTGTCATCAGCGCTTTGGGTGATTATATGAAAATTCGCTGCCACGCGTGTGTTGGCGGGAAGAGTGTTGGGGAGGATGTGAAGGCTCTCTCTCACGGACAGCATATTGTAAGTGGTACCCCGGGGCGTGTTTTAGACATAATCAAGCGCCGCACACTCAACATAAGAAACGTTAAAATGCTTATTTTGGACGAAGCCGACGAGCTGCTTGGCAAGGGATTTCAAGATCAAATTAGTGAAATATATCAGTATTTACCTCCTTCCACGCAAGTGGTGGTCGTATCTGCAACTCTGCCAAAATCTGTGCTCTCGCTCACCAATAAATTCATGTCAGACCCAGTCAAAATACTAGTTAGAAGAGACGAACTAACCTTAGAAGGAATACATCAGTACTATATTCAGGTCGAAAAAGAAGATTGGAAATTTGATACCTTGTGTGATCTGTATGACTCTCTAACAATTACTCAAGCTGTGATATTTTGCAATACCAAAAAAAAGGTCGACTGGCTGAGCGAGTCACTTCGGAAAGCAAACTTCACTGTTTCTTCAATGCATGGCGATATGCAACAAGAGGAAAGAAATCGCGTGATGGATGAGTTTCGACTTGGTAACTCAAGAGTTCTCATATCGACAGACATTTGGGCACGAGGAATTGATGTGCAACAAGTCTCGTTAGTCATCAATTACGACCTGCCTTGTGACAAAGAAAGCTATGTTCATCGTATCGGGCGATCTGGTCGCTTTGGAAGAAAGGGTGTAGCGGTCAATTTTGTCACGAGGAACGAAATAGGCGATTTGGCTGAAATCGAGGAGTTTTTCAGCATTAAGATCGATGAGATGCCGTCAGATTTAAGTGAGGTGTTATAAAATCTAACTCATTTTGGTGCACTTCGAAAGCATATGAGATCTTTGTACAAAAATCTCAACTAGTTGAGTTACATATTCTAGGTCGTCCTTTGGTATCAAATCGTCTCCATTTTCTAAAAATATTTCAGATTGGCTGCCCTCTAGAAAGAAGCTAGTGATAGCATCTGGTTGATCGTCTGATTGTTCATTTCCATTGTCATAAAAAAGCCAACTGCTTCTGTGCATGTCACTCAGCTGCCATTTACTTGAAAGACTATGGAAGGTGTTAGCAGAAGGATCCATGACAATAGGGACCTCTGAGGGGTCGTCAAAGCTGAATGTTGCATCATCTGTGACGAATTTGTGAGGTAGAGTTTTTGGATTGCCCTGTAAAAACCTTAAGTGGGCCTTCATTGAATCTTCCACCTGATGCAAGGTGCTGGATCTAGGCAAATTGCTTTCCGAAAGAAGTGAGTTATCTCTCATCAAAAAATGGTATTTAGGTTTAAATATCGACATGATCTAGGATATGGGGCATTTCCAAAATAATTAGATTAGTAGATTATCCTAAATCGTACTGGGTTTATTTTTCCTTTGACAACCTTGCACATTTTTTTCCATACTGGGTTGGGTGAAATGAAAAAGCCACGCGTGGAAATCGGAAAGCTGAGTGCTGAAAATGGGGTCCCTGAAATATACAACCTGAGGGAAACTCAAACTGGCCGTTCAAGGAGACTACTCGGTTAACAGGAAGAGAGAGGTCAACTAATAACTCAAAACAATTCTTAACTATAGCTGAATTGTTTTTGGAACTTAAAACACGATGGTTTAATGATTTAAGGCCACACGTAACCTCGCAGACGGTTTACAAACAAAACTTCCAGTTAAAACATAAATATTTGAAAACTAAGATGCATTCGGCTGCTGGATTTTGTAGCCTTTTGCCCTCCTGTCAATGATCTCATCTGTTGATTAGCTACAGGACCAGACATAAAGTGACTGTACACAATTCAGCGAGGAAACTGGATACACATAGCAATCAAGACCACAACTGGTTCAGAAGTTCAATCAATTGGAAGCTTTGCCTCTTTTCGAGGAGGTGGAATTCTTTGGGAGTTCGTTAAGAAATGGAATGAATTCAGGTTCTCCAGGAATATACTTCCTAAGAACTTCAGGAACGACCAGCCCATTCTCGGTCTGGTAGTTCTCCAAAACGCAGCAAAGGGCTCTTTCAGTGGCACACAAGGTACAATTCAAGCAATGAACATATTTTTTCTCCTTTTGATTCATGGCCTTAATACCACATCTGATCTCTAAGTTCCTTGACTGGTAGTCGGTGCAATTGGAGCATGAAACTAGTTCCTTGAACTCTTGTTGGAAGGGGAACCATGCTTCAAGATCATACTTTTTTGCAGCAGCATTGTTTAGCTCACCGGAAACAATACTGACAACTCTGTAAGGCAGACCCAAAGACTGGTAGAACTCTTCAGAATTTTGAATCATTCTGTCAAACTCTTCCCATGACTTCTCAGGCTCAGTGATGCAGAACTGTTCAACTTTCTCGAAAGCATGAACTCTGAAGATTCCCCAAGCATCTTTTCCGTGAGAGCCTGCTTCTCTTCTGAAACAAGAGGAATATCCTGCATATCTAATAGGGAGCTGTTCAGCGGGACTTTCGAACCATTCGTTGGAATGGTACGCTGATATAGGTTGTTCAGAAGTTGCAATCAAGTACTTCTCATCATCTCCGTCAAGAACTTTGTAAAGCTCTTCATCAAACTCAGAGAGTTGAGCAGTTTTGGCCATCACATCTTTGTTCATCATAACAGGCGCCTGCATGGGTGTATATTTTTTTGAGGTCAAAAAGCTCAAGCCATAATTAATCAAGGCCTGGTTCAAAAAAACTCCATAATTTCTCAGAAAATATCCTCTGTGACCCACAATCTTGACACCTCTTTCAGGGTCGTACCCGTCTAATCTAAGCAACACTTCGTGATGCGAAAGCTTAGCTGGCTTTCCAGTCGCTGTTGCAACATTGCCTAGTTCTCCAAAATTCACACCTGATGGAGCCCAAGTCCTGACTAGCTCATTGTCTGCTTCATCTAAGGAATCGATAACAGAATCGTGGACGATATTTCCGACCTGGAAAACTTTCCAACGTAGCTTTTTATCCGCTTCCTGCTCCTTGGCTGTAACTACAGCCTTTTCCTTAACCAAATCATCCTTCTTCTGCAGGAGTTCAGATGCATCTAGCTTAGCCTTGAACCTCTGACCAATTTCTTTTTGAAGTTTATTCTGTGATTTGTTTAGCTCATCCAACGTAAATCTTAATTTAGTCCAGTCATTATACTCCTTGATGATCTCGTCCACTATGTCAACGGATGCGCCCCTTTTCCTTTGTGATTCACGGATGGCATCTGGATTACCTCCCTTCTCCTTAATGAACTGAATTATATCCAACATTATTCAAATGATAATAAACAATTATGAAAAACGCTCCTTTTGTAGGTATTAAAAAGATTTTGTGTCAACAACTTTTAACTATATCGAACATTTTGATAAAAAGAACGACGACTCAAAACCTCTGAAATTAGAATGAAATGATTAAGTAAGACCAATTGTTTTTCACGTGATGAAAATAATTCATATTGCTCATATATATCAGAAATCTATATTAGTGCTCCCATAATGCATGAGCCACGCTAGACGAGTTGCCATGAGATATTCACCTCAAATTTTGAGAAAGAACATACTCGCTCGGTTGATGCAAACAAATAAGAACACTTGCCATGCAATCCTATCTATCAGCAGGTTCTTCCAAAAAAAAAAAAAGCCTTAGCTAAAAGCTTTTTTTATGTGTTATTTGCTGCTAGTGGCTACTGATGGAAAGCGTCGATTGGGGCTATGATTAATGAAAAGTCTTATTGATGCTGGGAGTACTTGAAAAATCTCACTGATCTCAAATCAAGTTTAAAAATCAAACCATGGATTCAAACAGTCATGAACAAATGGTCGCACGTGACAGTCGGAGCGAAGAGTTACAGAACAACATGCTTAGGTTGTTCAATCTGTTACATACAAGCATGGCCTAAAGGAGTTCTTACAGTATTTTTTTTGACTGAGGATACGAGAATGCATGTGCAGCTTTGAATATGGGTGAGGAATCAATATATTATGTCCTAATCTATTCAATCTCGACATAAGGCATGCACACGATTGACAGAGATCCATTCGTTATGAAGGATCGTCATTAATGATTATAGTACCAGAAGGTGTCAGAGGCAGATGTTGCCTTATTTATAGTAATGAAATTCATATGGGAAAGTCCTATCTACTCTGTCAAATTCAACTGTTTGGATTGACCTGGAGTCATTTGCTCAGGGTAAGAAATAATAGGAACAGCAGGCGCAAACATAGAACATTAAGTGACAGTAAAGGCTGAGGATCAATCTTATGACTGCGACGTCCCTGAATAAGGCTTTGGGAATCTTGGAAGCCAAAAAGATGAAATAATTCTGGACGCTGGTGATAGTATTTCTCTGCAGGTTCAATGATGGAAGCAATTGGCAATAATTCTAAATAAAAAATTAGGACCAGTATGAAGACTGCAATCTACATATCTAGGCCTCAAATCAATGTATTGCTTGACGTATTATCAATTTGGAAGCCAAGACAGAAAGAGTTCAAATGTTTATAAGGCGATTGACGGAAACACCTATACTTTGTGCCAACATTTTTCAACGGTTTCATCATTCTAGGAGATCGCAGTTCAACTGATCTATCATGTTTGTCTCATCATTGCCACACGTCATTTATCCTGAGCAGCGAAGGAGCCTATAAGACTTTTTAGAGAACTGGCTTGTACTTTAAAGGCAATCAGGTATACGGTGATTCCTCGATCCCTATCGAAGCTAGATTCCGTACGAATGTTATCATATTCTGAACTCAGACAGGTCTCACAACTATGGGTAGTAATTTTGTGTCCCTTCAATTCTGGACGTTTTCTTCAACCTCGTGGAAAGTGAATATATATAAAAAGGGAGCAAAGAAGCATCTCAAGCAGCAAGAGAACAGAAGCTGGCGTCATTGACTAGTCTTTAAGTTGCCATCCACAAATGACTTTCACATGCCAACAGACTGGTCAAAACTCAGCCAAATTAGCTTCGGGCGGGTAGAGAGCATTCAGATCGCAAGAGATCGGCTTTCATGAAGCATTCATGTATAAGTCACTTGATGCTGGCTCCTTCCATTGATATTCCAACAATTTCACATGTAATATCGAATGAAGACAAAGGACAAGGTATCTTAGAAACACATAGTATTCGGGTAGTAGGAGAGCTTGTATAGCCTCAGTCATGATCATCGAATAATGGTTACCAATGATCATGATATAGCATTTTCATACTACGCTAAAACGTGAGACTCAGCGACGACAGTGACAAGAGTATTGTGATTCCGCTATATCCCTTTCTGCGAAAACCTTTTTCACAGTCATCATGTGTGCTATGGCTCAAACCCTTGTATCTAATATGCAGCACTGTGTTCTGCCCGATACCGTCACATAAAGCAGCTACTGAGGGAGTAACAATGAAAATGAAGACTAGATATTTTCATAGTAGTTCTCGATCTGTTTCTCGCGGAAGTGTTCTAGAAAAGGCTCGGTATCCATGCGTCTTCGCTCATGTGTCTCAACGAAGCACAAAAAGTCCTCCACCTGGACTTCGTCACAATTGTTGGCCCTGACGGACTCTTGCTCTTCATTAACATTGACTTTGTTCTTCAATATAGAACGATCACGCCTACTATGGACCAGGTTTTCTTTGGATTCTGTTGTTGACGAGCTAACACCGAGTCCTGAAAATCTTCTGCTGATTGATTTATTGATCCTTTTCAAGGGACTGCCATCTTTGCTCTTCCGAGGTGAGAATACTTTCCTTATAGATTTGCAATCGCTATCATGATTATAGACGAGAACTTTTGCTTTTGAGTGAAATTTTAGGCTAGTGGACTCATATGGCTTTTCGTTTTTCACAACCAAGTGGGGTAAAAGCTCAAAATCATTCTTGAGGTCTATCATGTTCCCATTGTTGAGGCTTTTAACTGTCAGACCATCACGTTGAACTTGGTCTTCTGCGTCTTGGGATTTATGATCTTCACCAAATTTCAAACTGGGAGACACGAGGCTGGTTGACCTTTCAACTATATTCGTGACGCAGGATTCTAACTCACTCCAAGGAGATGAAATTAGTGTAAGGTTTTCGTCTGGGTAATCCATTTTCACCTTGTCCAAATTTGCTTCATTGGTCCCTTCTATGGTTAATATGCCTGACAGTGATCAGTGGACTTACCGTAAGAATTCCTCAGACTTGAACGAAGTTGAGATCGTTCGTGTTCACAGAAATGAAAAGACTCCTGAATTGGTTCTTCAATGAAGGAGCTAAGAGGACCATTAACGGAATCTTCTTCAGAAAGACTTTCGCCCGAGACTTCGTTTTCACCGAACTGGGACGAATGCTCGAAATCGGGGAACGAATGAGAATTGGCGTCTGAAGCAGCATAGAATCTGCTCTTTTCGTGATCAGCTCTCTGTCTCAAGCAGTTAAATAATCTAGCTAATTCCGAGTTGAGGTAGATCCCAGGAGCACAATTGACGGATGTGCCATTCTCTGCCATATAGTTCTTTTGTTCATATAATGACATTGACATTGACTGGGCACTGAAACGATCAGACAGCAGCTCAGTGTCACAAGCTCTTGTTTGTTTTGAGGCCAATACATGGGAAGCTTGACCGTTCTCACTCATCTGGTTCGCGATCTTACCGAGGGTGATTATGTCGCTTTCTGCTCTCAGTATCACCTCACGGTTTTCCTTGTTATTGCTCTCAATGCTTGGCGTTAACGCTTTGCCTACGCCATCTTTATGTCTATAGTGAATGTACCTAATCGTTGACTTTTGCAGCAGATTTGAATCTATAGATTCTTTTAAAGAGTTCAAAGTAGTTTGAATTTCAGTATTTTTGAAGGCGTCGTAACATGAAAACATAGCATCTTTTTGAGGATCAAATTCAGTCGTCAAGACAGTGCTTTCCTTTTCAGGTAATGAATCCACCTTCTTTCTGGTTTTGAAAAGTGAGTGAAAACTTGAAAATGGTCGAATCCATTTAGAACGTAATTGAGTTGTCGGCGTTTGGACGCAGGCATGCACGGTAGTCGAGTGCTCGAATTCCTTGCTGTCTTCATTTTTCACTTGTAAGGTCGAACCGATGAACTTGGAGAAGGAGAAAGCTCGTTTGGATTTATGTGTTTGGCTACCCTCATTGTTTGTCTTTATCATCCTTGTCCATTGTTTTTGCGTGCTACCATGAGGAGGTTGAAGTTCCTCCTCGATCTGAGTATGATGCGAACTACTAGACTTGGTATCCATTGCAAGTAGTAGCAATGAATGATTGCCTGCAATTAAGGTTGGAATGTTTAGGAAAGCAAGAATTCATTATACAGACAGTTTTTTCGGTTTGTCACTGTTGTTTAAGCGCCCATCCCACTAATTTATAGATCAATCCACTTGTCGAAAGGCTTACATAAAGGATAACCCATCATACACGTGACAAATCACCTCTTTCATCTTCCAGTGAGGTTGCGAACAAGCCGTGATCGTATTTATTGGCCACCAAGGGTAATCTTAAAGAACTGGAGCAACTTGTCAATCATTGTTTTCAGCGATATTGTGTAGGAGTTAGTGTAGTCTCAATTGGCCTCTTAGGGGCCTCTTGGGGGATAGATACAACTACAAGTCCACTGAAGTCAGACGAGTCAGCGATCCGTGTGTATTCTATTGGTGTTTAAGAATACGAATACTTATTGTCCATCACTTCCAGGTAGAATAGTTCAGCTGTGTTTTTCGAAAGAGGAAAAAGATCCTGAACCAAGTGTTTGCTTTGACGCATTATGAACACTTGAAATATAACTATAGTGCTTGATCATTTACAGTATTATCCTATTACCCAGTCAGTCAGTATCTTGCTTACGAAATTAAGATTAATTTTTGAGAATCGTGTAAAACACTTTATAATCGAGAGTTATTCGACTGAGTAAGAAAAATAAATTTATCTAATATCTAGTTTGCTAATCAACGTAGAGAGACCAGAGATAGGCAAATTCTATCTCATGACTTGTTCATGGCTTTGGAGATTCTTCTGCTCGTTCAAAACTTTAGTCGAGCGATGACGCACCAGTGATAATGTCCACTAATTCGTTAGTAATCACGGCCTGTCTAGTTCTGTTGTAAAGAATAGAATATTTGCTAATCATATCACCAGCATTTTTAGAAGCATTGTCCATCGCATTTCTTCTAGCCGAAATCTCAGATGCGTACCCTTCTGCCATTGCATTGAGAATAGAATTGGTCAATGAAATTTGAGAGAGAGAGGTCGGAATTGCTTGATCTTCCTCTAATTCAAATTCTGATAGTTTTGGAGACTCTTCAATCGAGACAGGGGAGAAGGACGGGAACACTGAGGGTTCAAAAGAAACACCAGAAATGAACTTGTTGTACATGACCTCAATTTTATCATAGTCACCCAACTTACGAATTTCATCAGCAATCAAAGAAGCTTCCCAGAAAGTAGGTGCCTCTTTTCCAACACCGTTGAAAGATAAAACAACATTGCTTGAATGAGTTCTGAGCATTTGAGCTTTGATTTTATCACCAATTGTGACCACATCGGCATTCGGAGTCTCTTGTAGCTTGGCTCTAGTGGCCTTAGCAATTTGAGAATGAATTGATCCACACAAGCCTTTGTCTGAAGAGACAGCAATAATAAGAGTCTTTTCTGCCGACTCAGGAGTAACAGTTTCCGCTGTTGTAAAAAAGTCAGAGTCTCCCTCACGGAATGCTCTTGAAGATGCCATTGCTCGTTGCGCTCTACCCATTCTCGTAGAAGCCACAACCTTCATTGTGTTGGTAATCTTTTCGATGTTTTTGATGGACTTAAGTCTCGTTTCAATTTCTCTCAAAGTCGCATAGTTTCTACATCTTGTTAGTTAATCCAAAATGGATGACTATAATCATATGGAGTGTTCATTGGGATCCAGGGATTCTGACAAATGAAGATAGAAACCTGTGTATAGCCGCATATGACCACTCAAACGTAGATTTCAATACTCACCTGCTGATTCCTGCAGTACGAACAACGTTCAAACCGAAGCTGTACATGGCGGCTATTCGTTGTGGCTAATGATTGATAAGGCAAACAAAAGAACAAAATCTATTCTTCAATTTGAACAACAAATTTGACTGCAAAAATTTGGAACCGGGCATAAACCTTTTTGCCGGGGACCATAATGTTTTTCGCCAGAGGGATTTACCGGGAGAGGTTTTCTCGAAACGTGGTTGAATCTAGTGTAGAATAATTTTTGATTGGTTGTTGATTTTGGGAGGTAGGGTAATCTTATTGCTATATAATTTCAGACTTCGTCTTTTTAGGTCGTCTCCATCTTATGAGATCGCCTGTAGATATGAAAGCCCAAACGTACTCTTCCTGAAATTGCAAACCGCTTAGGCGTCCCAATTGCACGTTTTTTTCTCCAATTGGAAACAATATAGGGCAATTTCTCCACCTACTGGCTTCGTGAATGATGGTGCTTTGAGACGGAACATTCAAAATAGTCTTGATGTCTTTGAATAGCACATGTCTTGCTTTTGAAGCACCAGGCTGCTGTTCTTCTTTTCTAGAGCCCTCAGATTGATCTTGATTTATCTTCTCATATAAGGATAATTGCTGCAACTGAGTTGAAGAAGTTAATGACGAAACTGATTCGGTCCAAGTTTGAGATCTAGAATTCTGTAGCCAGCTTTTCTTGATGCTTTCCGAAAGTAGTAAGTGCTTCATACTAGCATTGCTTCCAGAATCCAGCGTTAGACTTGATTTTTGCCTCTGATTTATCGAAAGCTTGATCTTATCATTCTTCAATTTTCTAGCCTTCGGCAAGTTTCGAGGTTGGAACTCATAGAATCTAATTGTTTCATCATCTCCTACAGTTCCAATACGATAAAGAACTCCAGGCGTCGTTTTGAAATAGTCAATGCACACACCACGAACCCAAGATTTTGCACCTTCAAGTCGTGCTATCAATTTCAATAAGCCGTGAGCGGTAGTTCCAACGCTGCCCAAGATTGAAAACTCATAGATAGAAACAAAATCATCTTCTCCTCCACAGACCATATATCTTCCATCCTTCGTGATGTCTATGTCAAGAATGCCTCCATAGTACGATGGTACGATGTCTGTTATGACTTCAGAAAAGAAATCAAAAAGACGGACAAATCCATCATCACTTGCGATTGTCCAAATATTAGGGAAAGCAGGATGATATTTGAGTTTCGTGATGGCTTTGTAGGAAAACTTGTAATGAGACACTGGGTTTGATCCTGTCTGTTGTGAGCTTAAAGATTTCAATACAGTCATGTGCCTGGATTTCTGAGAAGCAGCTTTATTTTCTTCATAGACTTCTGCATCCTCGAAATCTCTATGAAAGACCATGACCTCTCCGTCTGCAAATCCGACGACGGCAAAACTTCCGCATTGTGACCATTGCAAAGACATAACAGGTTTGTTTTTCAATTTGGCATTCTTATTCCATCTTGAATATTTCAGCTTCGGAAAGCTAAGCCAAAAGATATCGCCTGACGCAAAGGCAACGAGAATGTCCAGATTTCTTTCTCCTGAAGTTGTTGTATAGTGAAAACAGGAAAATGTGGTTATGATGCTTGAGGAAAATACAACTTTAAGCAGTGGAATCTCGACATCTGTTTCCTTGAGATCTTCTTCCAATGAAATCAGGTTGATGATTCGGCCATGGCATCCTACCAGTACGGAAGATGCGTTGGAGTACTTTCGATTGTAATTGTCGGCCGTCGAAACTTTTGATATGAAGTTTGAGGTAGAACGAGACAAGTTGCTTTTGGGAGATTTCAAATCATCAGAGGCAATTGTTGTATCAGTTCTCACAGGCTTCTGCTTACCCCATAAACGTGCAGTAGTAGGGTTGGAGGGTCTCTTTTCGTTGTTGCTGGAACTAGACTTATCAAAGTTGATTATGTCCGCAAAACAGCCAGGAGTCAAGTGAACGTTTTTAAATGAGTCAGCAATTAAAGGATTTATACCATATCCAACTGGCAGAACTTCTCCCTTGCCATCAGGCTGGACTCCAGTTTGTTCAGGAGGCCTGGATAATGGATTTATCAGCTGATTTTGATTGATGTTTCCTAGGGTTGTGTGATATTTTCTCAGGTTCTGTTCAACAAATTTGGATAATGATGCGTAAGTACTAGGATCACTCGAGTTCAGCGGTGTACGTGATATACGAATTGCAAGATCAGGAACAAAGGTGCCATCTAGATGATCAAAGCTGAACTGTTGCTCTTGAAGCCTGAACACGCAATTTGGATCTGTGGACTGAATGGGGAGGATACTGTTGCTGAGTACATTTTGAAACTGGTTCGGCGGCACTTTATTGTACCTGCATAAGTCCGGTGGTAAGTACATTGTTAACAATGATCAGGTAGGCTGTAATGTAAGTACGTTTTTCGAAAGAACAAATATGGAGAATCTTGATTGGCAAAATTCCCCAGATTTTGGGAACTTTTTCGCGGAGATCGTGGAAAGCCGAAGCCCTTGAACTCTGTACTAGATGAAACCATTCAGTGACTGAACTCGAATTATTACAAGAGACTTGCTGCAATGACAAACAGAGACCCTAGGGATACCCAAGTTTATATAATCTAGACTATATGGAACATTTCAAAGAAAGAAATCTGCGAAAAAACGATATTTTTTTTCGCTCTTGACTCAGTTGCCTTATTATAAAGGATGCCCGACTTTGTGGATTCAGTTTTCGACCTTTCTAACATAGTTTTCCAACAATCGAAGAACTTGATAGCGGGGTCCTGTGATCATATGAGAGCCATTTGGATTAACAATACACCACCTCCTACGCCGACCCACCACTCGATCATTGATACATCCATTAGTCAATTCTCACGCCTAGATCTCAAAACAGTCTTCCTTGCTACAGTGCTTGGAGGGATAGGAACTTACAGGTACCTACACCATTCAAAAACCCAGCGCAGGGCACGGATGCTCCCAAATGGAAGGAGATTTGAAGCTGTCTTGATTGTTGGATCTCCTACGTCAATAGTCGTTCAAAAGCTTGTCAACGATCTCAATAGACGGGGATATATTGTATATGTCACAGTGACGAATGAGCTAGAAGTCAAAGCTATCGAGAGTGAACGCGATGCAGATATAAAGCCCCTGCTGTTGAATTATGATTCCGCTTTGACTATTAGAACGAGTTTGCTGCGACTGGCCTCTATTCTTGAGACCCCCGAGCTTAGTCATATTGGAGATGAATCTAACTCCTATTTTCTTCATTTCAAGGGAGCTTTGATTATCGCTGATTATTTCAAATATCCCAAATACTCAAAGCTTGTTGAAATAGAGCCCCGTGATTTCAATGCAATGATTCAAAACCAGTTCTTGAAGATAAATGCTCTTCTCCAAAATGGATTGATTTCAGCTCTTCAAGAGAGTAACAACAGAAGAAATGAGATTGAGAAATTTAACGGTGTGAATATTTCAAATTGCCCTTCCAAACTTGTATTCGTTAACTTCTTACCCATATCCACTAAAGAGAAGAGGCGTCTGTTTTTGGATTTTACTTTGGATATCAACAACTTGCTTTTCGAATATACTTATAAAGAGAACCGCAAGAAATATTCCGGCATATCTTCTATTCTTTCCAGCAAGAACTCTGATTACATCAACATAGCGAAGCTTCAAGTCAATTTTCATCAGGATGAAGAATCTAAACTGCTGTCCAGTGGCTTCAATATACTAACTTTAAGTAATATGTTTTCAGGCATCAGGAACAAAAAACTCACCTCTAGAAAGTTTCATCATCAGGTGTTCGATCTTTTGAATTCAAATGCTTTGAAGAAAGTATACACCATTAGTGCTTGAACGACTCAACGCTCACACTTTACCAAAGTAGTATATCCTGTCTCAAATAATAATTTTGCATCTGGTGATCGAAGGATCCTCCATCGTACCCGCTGTGAAATCGGAAATCGTGAGGAGCCCTTTTCTATCCAAGATATAAAGCTTGTAGCCATCTTTATCGAATCTTAAGGAAGCTGCCTCTTTCACTTGGTAGGAGTTGCTGACATCGGTGACAATAACTAACCTTTTGTTGTCATTGTCATCAATTTTTGATGTTGACATAACGTAAACAGCTCCAGAGCGATCAAGGTATGCAACTGAGTCCCCTCGGGGCGACACACAACATTTATGTATAGTGTTTCCGACTTCCTCAACTTTTGCAAGAAGTTTCGGATGCGCGATTCCCTCAGGACCAGATATAGACGTGATCTTGGTATCAATGATTATCGGCACAGAATTGTACGAGACAGAAGTTAATGTCATCAATCTGTTATCAGGGAAGAAACTTAAATCGGTTATTCCTTCACTTTCCAGAGAAGTATCCAATTTTCTTTGAGACTTCATCACCATTACAGGTCTTGTGGGATCCCTAATACTAATGATCATGAACCTTGATTCCAATGCGGTCGCGACAGTCAAGTATTCGCAATTTGGAGAAAATTTCAAGATAGAAACGGGATCCCTATATGGAAGTGTGAAAGGATAATATTGGATTTGTAGGGTTCTCAGCCCTATCGATTTGTGGGAGTCAAATGATCTTAAATTGTCATCCAGGTGTCCAGCTGCATTCGCTTTTTCACCTCCATTTGAACAAAAACTATGCGACTTGCTTTCCAAAAGTTCAAGCTTCAAGAGAATAATGAATGCCTGTTCGAATCCAGTAAACTTGTCTTTACCTGTTACACCTAAGCTAGCGTAGTTTCCATCAGAAGAAACATCAATGCATCTAACAGGAAAGCGACATTGGTACGTATATAGCGGCCTCCCTTTATATTTTAGGTCAAAAAAGCGAACAAACCCACGTGTTCCAGAAATGATCAGGATATCTTCCGTTATCTTGCAAAATAAATGCTCCCAATTGGCCAGCGAGTCTAGTGAATCTTTAGCATTTTCACCAAAATTGGAATTCATCATGATCTCATTAGCATTAACTTTCTTTAGTGTACTAAAAGTTTCTCCGTAGTCTCCGTTGATGTTTCCACAGCATAGCAGCAACGGTGGTCTTTCTGGATGGTTGACTGATAAATGGTAGACCTCCCATTTTTTTTCGCTCAAGAGCACAAATTTATCGAGATGGGGAGAGAAATCAGTATTTATGAATAGCTTTGTTTTGAAAGGAAGATTCGAGTGATGGGTATGGTGCTGATAAAGTTTGCGATAAAGAGGAAAGTTCTTTGCGTATATGAGCTCTTTATTCATATCCTTGAAGTTATCGTTAGTGTGATCTTCCTTATATCCTACAAAACCGGACAGCGGTTTTGAGGAGTAAAAACTTTGAGCGCAATTGCGACTGCCTTGTGACTGTCGTGCATGTGTGGTGACTGTCTCGGTATCTTGAGCTTGCAATGAAAGGCTTGAGGAGTTTTTGATTCTATCATCATTTTTTTGTGATATCGGTGGGCAATCGTTGATGGTCTTTGGTTGGTCATCCAATGGTTGAAAACTATGTCTTGTCAATGGTTTCTCTATTTCACCTAAAACCTCATTGAATGCTGATAGAAGAGTTTTACCAGTTTCATTATCATTGTCATCAAAGTCGGCATTTGCTTCCTCCTTGATCTGCTCCCCAAAATCAGTGTCAGACCTGAACCGCGAAATATAATCAATAACAGATTTCAGGAGAGCACACCGTCTTAGTTTTTTCGATTCAGGATTTCCACAAGTGGGGCATCTAAAACAAGGTTTCTCTCCTATAAGTTGTTCCTCTAACTTTTCTGAGATCAGACAGCCGCAGGAGAGAATGATAGGGTCATTAGAAAGAGCTGAGATAACTTGGGGAGGAGATTTGGAATTCTCAATAAAAGAGGGAATCTTTAAAAGCTGCTCAATGTCGTCAATGATTGACTCCACTGATGCTTTTCTCATTTTATGCATCAAATCTCCAGACGTCAACGTTTATCAAATTTGTTTAGCCGTGTAAGGATGTTTGAAAGCTAACAATTCTGTTCTTCACACAAATTTCTCTCGACAACTGATGCTTGAGATTTGCAAAGATGTCACAGTTTTGCGGATATACCCTTCAAATCGAACTCAATGATTCCTCGTCTACGGTCTTGAACGGGACGATAACCGACATTCAAAACAAAGATTTGGTGTTATCTAGCGTAACTTACGCGAATGGAGTTGAGCACAAGGATAAAGACATGCTTATAAAAGGCTCTGACATAAAAGACTTGAAGGTTCTGGCTTTACCTCCGAGGAAGAAGAAAGAAAAGAAGAAGAACAAACAAGACAAAGAAAATGAAAATGGTGGTACTAGATCTGGAACACCGACAGCGACAGGAAAACTCAAGAATAAGAAAGAAAAACCAAAAGCTTCTCAAGATCCTAATTTGCCGTATAATTACCGGTCTAACGAGATTGATTGGCAGCATGAGAATCCAGGGAGACTGAAGGAGATGGAAGTTTTTGATTTTGCTTCCAATCTACAAAAATTTGATAAGCAGTCAGTTTTCAGAGAATTGTCCAAGTTAGACAAGGTCGATCCAACCAATAGACTTGTCGGCCATAATAGAACTAACGAGAAAGTGAATTATGACAATACAGAGATGGTACTGGATAACAAGGAAAAAGATGAATGGGATCATATTATTTCCAACTCAGCTCGTGAACACAAAATCTCTGGTTCCCAAGAAATTGAGAGTAGAACATACAGCGGTAACTCAGAGATTGTCCATCAGCGCAAAAGTGCCACACCAGTCTTGGGATCAAGCATCAAATTGTTTTCAAAGGACAGAGAACCAGTTCCGACGTGCTCTCCGATACAACTGGCAGATGTTCTTCAACTAAGTTCTGACAACTTTGGACTGACCGATCGTCAATTGACATCTGATACAGGCAAAAGTCTAGCGGAGCTAATTATTAAAGAAATAACAGGCGATTTTAGGTTATCGAAAATGAACCATAATTCACCACCCTTGATGTTGATACTTGCAGGCAATAATATAACTGGAGCCCGAGCTCTTTCGGCTGGAAGACAACTGTTCAATCACGGAATAAGAATACTAGTTTATGTCCTACACGATTTTGAGCATTCTGAAGATGAGATTCTTCCATTAGTGAAGGAGAACCTCGACATTTTAACGAATATCGGAGGAAAGCTGGTCAGCGACACCAGGGAACTTAACTCTGTGTTGGAAAAACTCGATTCTCCATTAGAATTGATAATCGATGGACTTCAAGGTTACGATACGAACTTGAGTGATTTACTTGAGCCAGAAGTAGATCGGTCGAAAGAGATAGTTGAATGGTGCAACAAGTGCAACGTCTCCATACTGTCTTTAGACATCCCATCAGGATTAGATGCTTCTTCGGGCACGGCAGACTTTGACTCACATATCTTCTGCAACTATTTGGTCTCCGTCGGAATACCTTTGAGCTCCATTCTAAGTCTCTATCGATTTGGCTATTTCACAAGAGAGGAATTAAAACATTTTGTTGTCGATTGCGGAATTCCTAAAAAAGTGTTTACTCTTAAATCGAATCTCAGGAAGCTGGACAGATACTGGTTTACAACAGACTGGTATGCTAGCCTGGAAGTTGAGTGAAAAATGATGAACTCCTAATGTAAATATCTATATCAATGAATGTAAGCGATCAATTTTTAATTTATGTATTTAAGCATAGTCAATTTTCATGCTAATTTATCTGGGCGAAAAAATAAAGTACAACACATTTGCGACCCTAGAACCATATTCATTTAAACCCTTGTAACGAGGATTATACAACTAGTGCATCCCACTCTGAAAACCAGTTCAAGAACCACCTGGCGGCTATCCAAAAGGATTTGAAGAGAGCGGCAAGATAATCAACAACAGGCTTTTCGATGAGTTCCAAGGTCACATACTCTCTAGAAGAGCTTTTTAGCTTTCAATCAAAAGGTGTCATTTTTCGAGATACCCATCTTCCTGACAAGGAATTCTGGAGGTTCAATGCAAAACTGATTCACAAAATCAATGTTGGCCTGAACCGAGGAAATCAAAAAGGTCAGAATAGTTTCAAAAAGAAGACTTCATATAAACCCGCTGCTGAGGAAAACTCGGAAGAAGAAGTTCCAGAGTGGCTGGACGAGACAGATTTCCGAGTGGATAGCACTTTTGCCGGCTACAGCAGTATCGGATCGCATACGTACGAAGATTTTGAAAGGGAAAAAAGAGAGTTTCACATGAAAAATGGCTATTACGATCAGCTCAAAGACGACGAGAACGTACAGGGAAACCTAGCAAATGAAGAGCACACCTTGAAAGAGGAGATAACAGCGTCCTCATCCGCAGAAGATTATCAATTCGATAAGGAGCTGGAGCTAAAGGATCATCTTAATCGGCAGTTCTTTGACAACCTACTCAAAAGTAACGTTGAATTGAAGCAGGATCTTTCTAAAGTTCTACCCCAACCAAACATACAGACAAGAACCCCAGAAACATCCAAGTTCGAGCGATTATTTCAGTCTGATAATAGTTTGGAGTTGCCTAATCAAGCTCCGCAATCCAACTTCGCACCGCCAAATCCTTCTCAGAACTATACGTCTCAAAATGAGAGGGCCCGCAACACCTCTGCCCCTTCTTATGTGCCGCCCTATGGAGCAGTGCTACCTCCTGGTTTACCGATAGGCAATCAGCAAGGCCAAAGATTTCCAGGTGCGCCCATGGGTTTCAATCCAGCAGGCCTGCCGCCGCCTCCGCCTGAATTATGGAAACTTATCCAAGATGGTAAACTGCCTCCTTTACCAGGAATGCTCCCTGGAGTGATAGGTTCCAATCCTCAAATTCCTCCACAGTTCCCCCCATATCCTAATTTTCAAGGGGCTCCTCAACATCCATCGATGCCTCCCCCACCAGAATTTAGCTTGCCTGTGGGTGTACAGAATCTTGCAAATCCTAACGACCCCCATATGAATGTGACGAACTTGCATAGGCCTCCACCTCCCCCTGGTCTAATGCAGTTTCCTCAGTTTCAACAGCAACATGACTATTCCCGTGACAATCGTGGGCCGCCAACCTAACGATTGTCGAAGGTTATTTTACCACAGCGTCCATGGATATGGTATGACTCTTGATCACCCATGATGCTCGATTGTAATTTATTATTAGGTGCCCTGCCTACACGATCTAGGTTACTGACTTGAATTTAGAATAACGGATTAGCTGGGCTGTGCAAACTTTTATAGCTTTAAAGTTACAAAAATTGAAAATTAATCAACGAAGCTAGTACATCGTGTATACCGAACCTGGTCAGCCAATTGAAGCCTTTTTTAGACCTTCTCATTTTTGATAGATATACATAGGTGGACTAGTTTTGAGGTAGGGCTGTTACAATTTGACTGCAAAGCTTCAATTGGGAGTCAGAATAAACTTTATCATTGAAGACGCTGATATTTTTTTAGGTTTCTTGCACAGATTGATAATGGACCCTAAGCTTGCTGCTTTTCAAAAAAGCGACACAAAAAAGCTCTATGGTCTTACAGATCGTCTTTTTAAAGATGGGGTTTTCAACTGCTATTTAACTTCGCAGCAGTTTAATCTGCTTGACTTGATCCTACATAGATTCAAGGATGCGAAGATTCGGATTAAACTCTGGGATGCCTTCATCAACAACAACCTTTTTTTGGAATTTGAGCAAGGACCCAGCCTAGCAGACAAAGAGATCGAGGATATATCCTCCTCTGGGACAGAGGAAATATATTTGAAACAAGGGACGAGGTCCACCAGGAATCTCTGCGCTACAATACGATATCTGCTCTACGAAAAAGCTGTTGATTATTACTTTGGCGACGAAAAGGTGCAAGATACGAAATTTGCTGCCTTTGATATTCTGGAAGAGAGCGAAGACGATGAGAAGTTCGAGGATGCCGAGGAGAAACCACTATTTCCCCAGCCTTCATCAATGAACGCTACAAGGAACGAAGAGGATAATTATGACGACGAGGACGAGGACAACGAGTACAATGAAAGGCAACAAGAGCCGAAAAGCAATCGAGATGGGTCCGAAAGCGACGTTGTCGAAATCAGCGATTCCGCTGACAAAGACGCGACACTAAAAGTGGATAGATATCGTGACATTCCCGAACAAGGGGAGCTGGAAGAAAATGAGCAAGGCCAGCTGAAATTTGTGGTTAACGCACAGCTCTTGCTTGCTCGGCCCGAATTTCCATCCACCGCGGAACCTGTGAGTTCGACCGATGAAGCCATTGGCTCAATGGTGCATCCAATTTTGGGTACAGCGTCTGCTATTGAATCGAATTTTGAGAGACAAAACGAACTTAAGCTTATCAAAAGTTTTAACAAGGTGTACCACAGCTTTGAGAACGATCTCCCCAATATCGTGAAACGACGGAAGCTTGAGCGCAGTGACAAGGCCCTAGAGCTTAACGATACGAAGGACAGTGGCGGCAGTGATGTTGAAAATGCGGGAAACGACACCGATGATTCTCAGCACGTCAACAAGCTGATGGGGCTTGGCGGCGCTGCCAATCTTTCTCTCAAGAACCTTCTTGCGCGGATCGAAGAGAATCGCGATAAATTGAATCTCACCGATTTGGAGCTCAAAAACTTGATCATGGACGTGCGGAAGAATCGTTCGAAATGGGCCAGCTACAACCGGATTGGCCAGGAAGAGCTTTACGAAGCGTGTGAAAAAGTTGTTTTGGAATTGAGGGGCTATACGGAGCACTCCATTGCTTTCCTGAACCGTGTGTCTAAAAGGGAGGCACCAAACTATTACCAAATCATCAAGAAGCCGATGGACTTGAACACTGTGATGAAGAAGCTGAAGAACTTTCAATACAACAGCAAGACCGAATTTGTGGACGATTTGATGCTCATCTGGAAGAATTGCCTCATATATAATTCAGATCCCAACCACTTTCTTAGGGCAGACGCTATTGCCATGCAAAAAAAGACACTGTCTTTGATACCGCTTATTCCGGACATTGTGATCAGAGATCGAGCAGAAGTGGAAAAAGAGGCAGCAGCAGCTGCCCAGCAAAATGAAGCCGAAGACACACACGAGAAACCTGGTTTTATTTCAAGCAGGGGTGTTGGCGGGTCATCCACGAGCGCAAAGAAGTCAAAGAAAAGCAGAAAAGGATTACAAGAGGACGATCGCAGCGAGCCTCCTGCAGCTTCCGACTCGCCTATGGGCGAGGGAATGGGGAAGAAAGATACAAATACCTCGGCTGCTGACCAAACGACAGAACAAATTGAAAAGAGATCTCCCCAATCTCGAAATGCCAGTGATCCTCCAATCACGCAATCCAACCTTTCGACGCCCCTTGTATCTGCAGCAAGTGAAGAAAAGACGGGAGAAAGGGAAGGAACAGCGAATCCCGATGATGAAGATAACGACGATGATGGAACAGCTATGATGGAAGACAGACAGGTGCAGGAGCAACAGGATGACAGAAATGAAGATGACGACAATGAAGATCTGGAAATGTCCACCTGGAGAACCCTCACTTCCAACACGCGATACAAATTGTGCCAGCAGAGATCCAACCTGTTCAAGGGTGGAAAGATCCAGCCGAACGAAGATGCTTTACTGAGAGATCCTATTCAGATGTCCAACTTCAGCAACTACCTTGATGACTCCTCCAAAGTTGTGCTCCACAGAAATCGGCAGTATTTCGATGAAAACGATGATCCCTACCTGATCGAGTACGATATTGGCGGAGGCATTCCATCTTTAAAATATAAAGGGCCTGACTATGATGCTATAGAGAATGAAATTCTTTCCGATATGATGAATCAAGGCAAGTCGTTGGATGAACTCCCACAATCGCAGTTTTCCATCAAGATGAAAGGAAGCAACTCAATAATATTCAAAAACATCGCCCTGATGCAGGATATCAGAAAAGTGTGCTTCAAGATCAATATTATTCGACAAATGCAAACATCGCAATTCATACATCAGTCTCAATACCATGCTCCTGATATAGAGCGACTCAAGCCTGCAGACATTGACCCACAATCGAAGTTGCCAACAAGAGACCAGCTGATGCCCCAAGTCGCTTACGCCGCGCTCGAGCGGTCTGTGAGCACCATCATCATGGCTAACGGTTTTGAGACCACAAATCCTTCTTGTGTGACCATTGTGACTCAACTGGCAGAGCAGTATTTTGGAAATCTCGTCAAGTCTCTCAAAATGAACATGGAGTCCAACTCCATCAACAAGCTTCCTTTGAAAAGCAAGAGACCAATGAGCTTCAAGGACATTCTTCTCATTTCACTTCAGGAAAACGGTATTGAGAAACCCGATGTCCTATATTCGCATTATAAGGAGCATTTGACCAAGCAAAACAAGAAGCTGACTGACCTCAAGTTCAAGCTGGAAGGATTCCTCAGAGACTTGCTGCGGCCAGGAATCCAAGAGATAACGGAGAACCTGTTTACAGATGACTCCGAACAATTTCTCAATGGTGATTTCTCTAATGAAATTGGGGAAGACTTCTTTGGGTTCAAGGAGCTTGGACTTGATAAAGAGTTCAATTTGCTTACCTCAACCATTCCTCTCCATTTGCTTCACTCCAAACTGTCGACTCAGCTCAGTCATCTTGACTCTAAATCGAAAAAGGCCAAGTACGAGGATTTCCAAGAGGTCCAATTCCCAAAGTTGCGCAAGCGGGACTTGTCGTCTCAAATTGGTCTTTTGAAACCTTTTTACGAAGATCTGTTGTCCAAATCAAGGGCAGCGTATGCTAAACAGTTGAAAAAACATAGACAGTCATTGGGACTCACTGACACGGAGGGTTTGCCTACTGCTTCCAATGGCACCCCAAACGCCCCTGAGAGTGGCTCTGCGCCAAACGGAGGCGAACCACCATCCGATTTCGTGGAAATCGAAGATCCTGAGGATTTGGTGATTTTGGAGGACGATGATCTGCCGTTGAAACAGCGTAACCATCGGCCAAAAGTTCCTCCGAACGGACGAATTTCACAGGTCAAGCGTAAACTCATCAATAATGCATTTTTCCTGGATGCTCAAGACTTAAGGGAGCAGCGATCACAAAATACCTCAACAGACCCCCCAACGAGTATGACTGGAGACACTCAAACCAAGACAGGAAACCCGGAAATCCCTAAAACCAACGACGAGTTCCGGAAACTCGAGCCAGTTGCTTAGCATTTCGTAACCACGTATGTCTCGTTTAGAACATGTTTTAATATACAACGTATCATACAGAAGTTCTAGAAATGTATATCCTCTCCTCTGAAGTATTGAACGATCAGGAAAATGTTCAAAAAGCCTATTGTTCCCCACGTTAGAATTGCCAGGACATTTGTTATGGCAGAATTCGAAAAGTCCTTGTAGTTTTCACCCTTATTTACAGGGATCAAGGAGGAGGTTTCTGTCGGCATATCATTATCTAGCTCTTGTGGCTGCTCAACTTGCACCTTTACCTTCATGATGTTCTTGTTGCAGGTAAAGTACAACAAGGGAGCTGAAACGAAGGGTAGGATTAATGACAAAATAACCTGTGAGAGATTGAGTATGGTCGCAATGCCTTCTCTGCCCATAAAGAGGGCCATTGCCATACAGGGCACAATGGCGATTGACCTCGTAATAATTCTCCGATAAAACGGGTTAAGCTTCCATTCGAGACAACCCTCTGCAACAAGCGCACCTGACATGGTGCAGATGATTCCTGCCGCAATAGAGGAGAAAAGCATGGCAATTGCAAAAATGAGTCCGGCTGTTGTTGAAACGTAGTGGCTCAGTAGCTCATAAATGCTAATCAAATCGGCATCCATGGCTTCGGGCTTCTTGTAAAGAGCTGCGGCCGAAACAATCAATATTGCAGAATTGATGAACACGGCAACAATGCACAGAGAACAGACAAGCTCGGCATAAGAATAGTTCAAGCAGTAATCGATAGCTGCAAGCGACGGTCTATAAGTGTCTTCATTAGCTTCCTGTACAACACTTTGCACCTGTAAGGGCTCTGCGTCTTTTGAGGAGTCAAACTCTTTGAGTCTCGGTTTCACGAGATTCGACCCAAGATACAAGGAGTGCGGCATCACGGTAGCACCAACTATTCCCAGTGCCAGGTATATTGACTCCTTGGAGGTGAACAGTTGTTTTGACGGAAGAAATCCTTCGAACAACTCGCGCTTGCTTGGGATTTCCACTTTGTTCATTAAAATAATGAAGCATGCAAATGCTGCTAGGACCATAGTGGCCACAAAAAACTCAAATCTGCGGATCTCTTTGAGAGAGCCATCAGGATTGTAAGCCAACAATATCACCAAAACATCAAAGATGGTCAGTAGCACACCGATTTTCAGCTCGATACCAAACAGGATGTAAAGAGCAATGGCGGTGCCCACAATCTCGGCTAAATCCGTGAATATAATTGCTAGTTCAGCAAGCACATAGACCGTTAAATTGAGCCAGCGTGGAAGATGCTTGCGGCAGTTTTGGGCTAAATCGAGTCCTGTGACCGTACCCAGCTTGATGCACAGACATTGCAAAATAATGGCAAAAATGTTGGACAGAAAGATAATGAACAGGTGAATGTAACCAAACTGGGCTCCAGCATTGGTCGAAGTACTGTAATTTCCTGGGTCTATGTATGCACAGGTAATCAGAAGACCAGGTCCAATGAAGCTGATGAGTTTCCTCCACTCCACCATCATGGGATGCAGTCAAATATTATGTCCCAGTTCTCAAACGGTGCGACAAAGTGGTCCAAGTGGATCCGGGGTGCAAATTTATGTGATCAATACTAAATCAGAAATTTAAGCTGTTCGCCTCAAGCGTCGATCGACGCCATATCCATCGCGTCTGCTGAAAATTTAACCAAGTACAAAAAACAATTAGATTTGGATCAGAAAGGCTTCCCTAGGGTACTTGCAGTTCGATATCATCAATGCACTTTTAGCTGCGATACAACATGAACGAAAAGCCAAATACAGAAAAATTGAAGTCTCCGCTATTAAATTCTGGGCCTCATATCAAACCTTTGATACCCGAAACCGTGCTAGACGTGACTTCGCAGCGTCTCTCGATTGTGTCCTTGTTTTTTCTCATTCAGGGATGGAAGATATACGATCTTTATCTGATAAAAAACGACTTCCTGAGAGAGGCCTTACACAGCTCTCTGTCCGTGAACCTTCTTCCTCCAGAATGGAGCTTCATTTTTAAATACATGTTCTTGGACGGTTTGGTTGTGTGGGCCAATTCTGTTTTGCGAATCCCCAAATTGGCATTGAAACCATATGCATCAGTATTCTTGATTTTGGTTCTCTATACAGTCACAATTCTGCTGACAACCAATCTCAGCTTTTCTTTCCTCCCTCTTTTCACTGGACTCATGCAAAAGCTTCACCCAGAAAAAGAGTTAGCAATTTCTGAAGGCCTTGTTAACCCTCAAAACCTTCTTGACCAGTCCACTCACTTCAAAGGGAAAAAAATGATTAGATTCTTACCCGATTCCTCGATCAAGCTCAATCCTTTCAACCAAAATTTCTGTTTGCAGAACTCGCATCACAGTAAAGTGAAAGTGCCTCTCAAATATAACTCCTCGAGCGAACTAGACTTCCTACAGATTGTCCGTACCGACTTTGATAACAACAAGTACACACTGAACTACACGAGAAAAGAATTGAAGAAGTTCTTGTCCTCGGATTATTCACAATTTCAAGGCTGGGATATCAACTATATTGATGAACGAGTCTCTTACTTAGAACTAGAATTTGATAAACCAGGATACTATATGATCCGACAGGCACAGGATGTGAAACATAAAAACATTCGCAACTATAGGTCAGACCTGGTAATCCCAAGGTGTCCAAATGCCCGTTTCGAAGAGGTGGAGCAGCTTAAGAATGTGTGCGTTGATGACGAACTTGATCAACTATCGATAGTTGTAACTGGTGTTCCTCCTTTGACCTTAGTGTACGAGGAGGAGGTAAATGGTGAATTATCTCATCTTCCAAACTCAATCATTGTTCCCGAAGATAAAGGTTTTCATTCGCCTCTTTTGGCCAAAGACTATTACACTGGAAAAAGTAATATGAAGTCCTTAGACTTTCAATTGAATGATCTCAAAAACATATCCTGGGCGAAGTCTCATGTTATAACTGTCCCGTTGGCCAGCCGGAAAATTGAAAAAGCAGGTGACTTTATTTACACCATTGGCAAGGTCATTGATGGGTTTGGAAACATTGTTGAGTACTCGCCAAAGCCAAGTGATGTCTATCATTTTTACAAAGTGAAGTCGCATCCTTTGCCACTGATCAATTTTGTGGAATCTAAGCCAAACTCCCCAATTTTGATAGGAGAAGAGAAGTATCTAGAGTTGAAAGCCAGTCATGTTTCTGACCCATCAGCGGAAGGTCCATATGCTGCCGACATCAAATTTATCCCCGCTGATGGCGATCATGGAAAATCAAAGACCGCGACGCATGTGTTTGATTTCAGGAAACCTGCAAGAATCCTTGCTAAAGAACCTGGAACTTACGTACTTGAATCGGTCACGTCCAAGTTCTGTCCCTGCAAAATTGGCACATCCGCCATCAATGTGGTACAGGCTAATCTTCCGCGCATGCATGTTTCCGCAATCCCTATAGAGGACAACTGTGTTGGAACCACGGGATTCAAGTTTGCGTTTGATTTCATTGGCACAGGTCCTTTTGAGGTGGCATACAAAGTTTCCAGATTAGACCCAAAAAATGAGAAGCGAGTTCTGTCAACAAAGGATGCCAAAGTTCTACGTTCGGAGACGTCGACTTTTGAGTTCGATTACAAGCCTCCTACTGAAGGTAGCTATGCAATCGAATTCTTGGCTCTGAGCGATGCATATTACAAACGAAAGGTTACCTTTACTCGTCAGGAACATCGCTACGTCACCTATTTCGAGCAGAGACCTAGAGCTTATTTCTCCGAAAATAACAAGGTAACTAGACTGAATGTTTGCCATGCTGAGAAGGCATCTATTGACCTACACTTAGATGGAAAACCCCCATATCAGATTGCCTACGATCTTATTTATCCAGATTATAGAGTCGAGAAATTTCAGATTTCTGACATTGTTGATCATCAATTCAAAATCGAGACTGGCCGCTTGCATCTTGGGGGAGAATACAAGCTACTGCTAAGAAATGTTACAGACGCATCCAATTGTGGTATGGAGTTCAGAGGTCAAGAGGTCCACATCGATGTTCGCAAAAGCTCACCTCAATTGAGTTTCCCTCAGTCAGAATCATACAATTTTGTGCAGGGTAAAGTTCTGCTGGTGCCTTTGAAGGCAGACTTCAGTCAAAAGACAAATCTGAAATACTGTTTCACATCTTTGGATGGTTCCATTAAGGAGGAAGAAGTTCTTTACGACTTCAATCCAGCTGATGGCTTCCCTATAAAAAAGGAGGGCATTTACGAGCTTTTGGATTACTCCGTTGACCAGTGCCCAGGCGTGGTGTCAGAAAATCATCAAGTTCGCGCCAAGTATCTTCCTAAACCAAAGCTGAGAATAGTTGAGACACCTGACTTGACTTTGCTGTCTCAAAATAGCTATCAAAAATCGACTCTTTGTCAACTGTCTCCGGAATCCATAGAACTACAGGCGATTGGTGAGGCTCCATTCATTATCGAATATTCTATCAAACATCCAAGTGGAACCATTGAGCACAAGACGGAACAAATTTCCAACAAGTATTTCTCCATCCAGCTGAAGACCAGCGAAAGCGGTAATTATGAGTATATCCTCGAAGCGGTGTATGATTCGATATATACGAACGATATACTGGACAATCTCGTGAGGTCCGGTGATTATCGTTTTGAAGAGATCCAAGTGAAACAAACTGTCTCTTCATTGCCTTCCGCCCGTTTCGTGGATAACAAAAAAGTCTATCAAACATGTGTTTCGTCTTTAGGAAACTTGGAACTCCTTGAAGAGATTCCAATCCGCTTAACTGGACGACCACCGTTTGATGTGAAGCTTGGAATTTATAACGAGCAGGATGGTTTGAGAACTCTCAAACTCAACAGGATAGAAACCGAAAAAATTGACCTTTTGAATCTCTACGAGCACCTCAGGATCGGAGCTTACCAGGTTTCTATTCTTGAGGTAACCGACTCGAACGGCTGCTTTAGCAGTGACTTTGACAAGGAATCCGTCAGCATCCAAGTCTACGATGTTCCTAAAATCCGGCATTTGACAGACGACATCATACACCCTGAGGAACAAAACTTGAAGAAGCATAAAGAAATAACATCTTATTGTGTGGGCGATCACATCAATTACATGCTAACTGGTCTTCCACCATTTACTGTCTACTACGACTTCAATGGAAAGAGGCAGAAAGTGAACGTGAACTCCAACTACTTTAAAAGAAGGGCTTCAAGTGAAGGTTATTTGTCGATCATTGCGCTTTCAGACTCATCTTCAAAGAATTGTTTGGTTAACTTCACCTCGAGTGATGGCAAGAGCAGTATTAGACCAGACCTGAAAGCTAGAATTTATGATCTTCCATCTGTTGAAATATCCCAGGGCGACTCCATAGAGGAAGACATTCAAGAAGGTGACAATGTTGAGATAATATTCAGATTCAGTGGAACGCCGCCATTCAAGCTCACCTATATCCGTACCGATCTTGCGGACCCAAACCGCATTGTGGAAACAGAAGTGGTGGATAATATCATGGAACATGAATATAGAATCTGGGCACGCTTAGAAGGAATTTACGAAGCTATTGAAGTCCAGGATGCATATTGTGTGGCCAGAAATCATAAATAATTTTATATGTATAATATGTATTATGAAATGAACTTAGATTTATTAGTTTAGCTTTGCAATTAAAAAGTAATTATCTATATACATAAATATGTCAGAAACATCGTTTCATTTCTTCTTCTTGTACAAACTCCTATTTACCCTCATACGGCCCCTGGTTTTCCGATTATTCAGCTCAGGCAATCTAGCACGTAGGTTCGGGCGGCGCTCATTGGTACCATCGTTATCACTGAAACTTGTATTGGAGAACTGGAAGCGGGCCTTATTGTAGTCCTTTACGGCCGGTGTGTCCTTTGTAGCAGATGCTAAATCTTCCAAAGCGTTTCCTAGCATTTGAAATCCTTCGTCCATGTCAAGGTAGAGGATAGTTTGTCGTTTTTTGGTTGGCGGTCTTAAAGGTATAGTGAGCGGTTTGTAACCTTGAAAGAATGTATCTAGAAGTATATCCTCAGGGTTCAGGGCGTCAGTGCTAGGCACTTTTGCAAGAGAACTAAATCCTTTTCTAATCTTTTGCTTAGACGGTGGGGCAACTTTCCGCTGTTCATGTTCTTCGGCACTATTGACTGTCTTTTCTGTCTCCGAGGCTTGTTTTTGCTTCTGTTGTTCAATGACGCTCATTTTTTTCTTGTTCGATGCACGGTTAGGGTTTGGAGCGGATGACTGATATCTGTAAAAAGATGTCGTTTTGAGCAAATTTGCGCCCATCATACCTGAAGGTCTCAAAGCGTTTGTTACTAGTTTCTGCATTTTCGCGTTATGTGTAAGTTGACAGAGTATGTATATTGCGGGCAGCTATGCTAAGATGCAAAAATAAGTTGCTAATGGCTTTAGTCTGAATATTCGAAATATTAATTTCTTTTAATCGCCTCCGTTCCAGTAAAAAGTTCGAGTAATTTTTTTTATTTATTAGGTCAAAACGGTTTATCCTTACCCGTAAGAATATATATACATCACACGTCGATGTCTTTCACCGAATGATTTTTGAACCTTCGAGTAGCGCGATCAGTGCTCCTTATCATCAACCTATTTCCTATAATTTCAAATGTGATCGAAGACTCCTCAGTTTCGAGATGTAGCCTGAAGTTCGTATTTCTCTTGCTTATCACCCTCAACCCCCCGATTCTCTCCCTCAGAGTGAACTCGGGCTTTATTGTACTGATGTCGCTCTTCCAATTTGCTTTTCGAGGTACCACCATCACAAAATTGTGCTGGGATTCCCAGATTACTATTCCCTTCGTGCCAGTATTATTTATGCAACGACTTTGGATAACTTCAAGTTCTGATCCAATCAATTCGCTGCTTGAAAGCTTGCTCACCATCGTGGGTATGTGATTAGTCGTACCTAAAATCTCTTGAATGTAGCCCTTCCAAAGCCTATTCATTTCGACATAGTCCTCATAACGGATCAGATTCTTGCAAATTCTCAGCTCCGCGATGTCGTTCAGATTATTCAGTAAATTTGGATCTTTCTTGAGCTTCAGCTGCAGTTGGCGAATAAGTCTATTTTGGTACTTAAGATTGTCTGCAATGAATGACTTGAACTCATTTTTTGTCTTTGTGGGCGAAAACCTATTTTGTTTCCCCGGCAGTTGAATTGCGGTCATAATCAATCTCTGGTTGTGCTTCTTTCCATGTGTCCCTTCGGTAGCTTTCAAGGACAAATAACTCTTTTGACTTCCTGTCAGCGAGTATCTCGACTCCAGGAGCTTTGATATCTCCCCGTCATCCTGGAATTTTGAGGACCTTGACAAAAGGAGATGCTCAACAGTATGCTTCCTGTCCATGAAAAAGAGTAGTAAATTTAGGACCTTTTAAAATTTTTTGTTCATGATTCGAATAGGAACCTTATCATCGAGGTATTTGGGCTATTGTCGAAGACTATACTCTCATACTCCATTTGACGAGTACCTAGACTTTACCCCAGGTGGAATGGGATTGGAGGAAGAACAGCCTGTAACCGTCACTCACGATCCTTTCGATTTTTCAAACCTCCCAATTTTCAAGGATAAGAATGATGTGTTTTCGTCAAGCTCCGCTACACCCAACCGCCCACTCTTGGGCGATACAAACTTGTCTATGAGTCCGGAATCTGTGATGCAAGAACCAATCACAATGACTACAGAAGACTTTATGAGAAAATTCAATATGCCTCGTTCAGATCAATCTTTTGACAAGAAGAAACTCGAGCGGTTCAGCTTATTCTTGCGTACCGATACTCAAGCTCGCCAGCATAATACAAGCCTACAAGACATTGCAAGAATTACAAGTCCCTTAATGGTTGTTAGCGAGTTCAACAACCCAAGACTCAATCTTGCCATAGAGAAATACATTTACGACCAGATGCCAGACCCCTTGGCTAATGCAAGGTCTCGAAGACTGGTTTTGTATAAGAACACTCCTTGCGTGGTAATTGGCAAAAACCAAAATCCTTTCAGAGAGATAAATTTTAGAGAAGCCACTATTCGTGGGATCCCAATCCTGAGGAGGTACAGCGGTGGAGGTACTGTGGTGCATGATCTTGGTAATTTCAATTTTTCTTATATGAGCAGCAGACAATCATTCAGCAGAGTTGAGTTCACGAGCGCTTTGAATAACGAGATTAATCAATTCGTTGGTCTCGATGTTGGCTATGATGCACCTAAATTTCTGCTCACGACAAATGATCGGGGAGACATCGTCAACAGCAGCAGCTTGAAGAAGGTCAGTGGCTCCGCCTACCAGATCTCCAGGGGTAAATCACTGCACCATGGAACAATGCTCCTCAATTCGGACCTTGAAAGGCTTTCTGCTTTGTTGAAGTTGACAGAAGAGCGTAAAGCCTCCATCCAGGACAAGAGCACTGACTCGATTCCTAGTCCGGTAGAAAATTTGGGAATGAGCGACGTATTGTTCCAATTTACTGCTGTGGAGGCGTTCAAAAAGTTGCATCCAACGGATGGAATCGAGGACATGGTTTACGATAACCTTGTTGTCCAGGGAGACCGCCATATCCTCAAATTGAACGAGGTAAATGATCTTCCTAAAGAGGTGCTAGAGATTCAACACGAGCTTTCTACGTGGGAGTGGACCATTGGAAAAACCCCGAAATTCCAGCTGATTGTCGATGATGAAGAATTCCAGTATCAAATGACTGTGGAAAAAGGATTAATTACCGAGGTTGATTCCGCAGAGCCCAATTTCAAAGCTTTGATTGGGCTTCCGTTCAGCAGTGAGAAGATATCTCATGTCCTGCCAGATCCTTTGAAAAGCCATGTCACGTGGCATGTCGACTCAAATACGAACTATGCCCAACTTGGGATCTCATAATCAAGCTGGCGTTGATCAAAAAATATAAAAATTTACCCCTGGCACCGTTTGGGCGCTAGATCTAGAGATTATGTATATACAGTTATTTATAAACTTGTGAGCGCACATTTCAGAGCGTAACTTTTCTACTCATTGCAAAGCAAGCATATGCAACATGAAGAGCATAGCTGCATTTTCCATGGTGATTGCAATCGCCAGCGCTTATGCCTCAACTGCTGGATCAACATATGAGTTATCTCCAAGCTTCAAAGATTTTATTGGTAAGAGACGAGCCAAACGTTCATGGGACGAGAATGACACAATTAATGTAACGTCCACTTTCGACTATAATAACGACAAAGTGTATGGCGTGAATTTAGGAGGGTGGATGGTAACAGAACCCTATATAACTCCTACTCTTTATTGGGATGCTTCGGCCGATGGAACGGAAGCAACAGTGCCAGTTGATGAGTATCACTATTGCAAGCAGCTGGGTACTGAAGAGTGTCATGCCAGGCTAAAAAAGCATTGGGATAGCTGGATTGTAGAGAGTGATTTTGAAAAGATCAAGAAATATGGATTCAACACTGTCAGATTTCCAATAGGATATTGGGCCTTTGCACACTTAAGCTCAGATCCCTACTGTTTTGGGCAGGAGGAATATTTGGACAAGGCAATTCAGTGGTGTAGAAAATATGGACTGTTCCTTTGGATTGATTTGCATGGAGTTCCTGGCTCCCAAAACGGGTTTGACAATTCAGGATTAAGAGATCACGTTGATTGGCAAAAAGATTCGCTCTATGTTGATCTTTCGCTTGAGATCTTGCATTACATTATGGCCAAGTACGGTGGGAAAGAGTACAAAGACGTTGTTTCTGCTATCCAAGTATTGAACGAGCCATTGGGATCGAGATTGAACATTAACAAACTAGAGGAATTTTACGTCAACAGCTACACACAGATGAGATATTTAAAAAGCGACAACTACATTGCGTACCATGATGCATTCATGGCTCCGGAATTCTGGGATACCAGACTTACCGGAAAGGTGAGCCATTCCTCCAATATCACTTTATACCCTCAAATGGGTAATTTGACCGGATATACTAACACATCTACCTATCAGGGGGACTATTATAACATTATTATAGATCACCACAGATATGAGGTCTTTGATGTTGGACAGTTGTCACAAACAATTGACGAGCACATAGCCTCGTTGAAAGCGTACACATCGGCCATTCTCAAAGAAGAGAAACCAAAGCTTGTTGGTGAATGGGCTGCTGCAATCACCGACTGTGCATTCTGGCTAAACGGTGTTGGAAGAGGCGCCCGGTATGATGGGTCTTTTCAATCTACTAAAAAACTAGGTGGCTGCGCGTACGCAAACGACTTCGGTGAGTGGACCAATGAACGCAGAATAGAGGTGAGAAAACTGATTGAGGCTCAATTGGATTTGTACAACCAAACGAGTGGCTTCATTTTCTGGTGCTACAAGACGGAGGATGCCATTGAATGGGATCTTGAGAAACTGATCGATTATGGTTTGTTCCCCCAACCCCTAGCAGATAGGAGATATGTTTCTGTTCTGTCTAGCGATGCGGCTATCGTGAGTTCTCCCCTGACCAATATACCCAAGATTGAATTCATTGTACTTATACTAACAGCATGTGCTCTAGGACTAGAATCACTGTAACGCCAATTTGTTATTCTTTTACTATATGGACAATAAAAGTCTCTTAACGAATGTACACCTTTCTACTATCAAACTCTAAATTATGGTTCTGAATCTAGTGTTAGCGAAATAAGGTGCGTGGCTGCTCTAGGCACAGTATGAAAACGGAGCAATACATGACAGAGTTGCGTGAAATTGTAGAGTGCTATTGCCCGAGCAAAACGCCAAGCAACGCCTCCATAACCCCAACAACAACTCTAATCTATACTGATCCGCCAAACATTATGCCTACGAAAAAAAAAATTGTCCAGCTCTTTTTTTAAGCGTTTCGACGCGCCGTCGACTCTCGGGGCGATCTACAGAAGCACCAACAAGCAACAAAATAAATAAATTCAAATAAGGTGTTCATTGATGACTGCTTTGAACGCATCAATGAGCACGGGAGCCGGCTCCGAAATGGCGATTGATGTTGATGAGGCTGATATGTCAATTCTGGACGAGAATCTCGAATTGACCAATGAGCTAACGGCGACGTTATCTGCAAAGCTTCATAGGGTTTCGACTAGCAGTGCTCTCGCGATCAAATCAATCAACCCGCTGATGGTCAAAATCAACCGTCTCAAAGTGCAACAGAAAAACTTTCAGAGCATATTCAAGCTGGTCGAGAGCATAAAGGATTACGCGCAGGAGATCAGCAGTTTAGACAAATCAATGAGTACCTTTGGTGGACTAAACTCCGTCTCACAAATAACCAGCTTCTGCAACATTGTTGATAAATATCAGGAAATTCAGCGCGATTTGGAGTCGAAGAACTTAAATGACTTTGAAGGTTTGCGCAAAGGACTTGACTCGTCTCTTCGAGATGCCGATGTAACTCTAAAATTTGAATTTATCAATAAGCTGAAAACATTAAGCAAGAGGCTCAAAAACAACGGTAACAAGTATGGCAAAGAAGAGGACGATATCATTGTACAGCTGAAGCTGATGTATGATTTCATGAAACGCAGTCGTGCTAAGAATATGCTGGACACGTTGATCAAGGAAAGAGCAGACTATAATCTTTCAACTCTTCGTGCTCTCAACTTAGATTTGCCCGCCCTTGTCAAAGATCAGACATACTACTACGATGGGGACAAAAGCCAAAAATACTTCATTAATTACTCCAAGACGCTTCAAGGTCTTCTCTATGGAGAGCCGCATTTTCTTTCCAAGTTCTTTGATGATTTCAACGACATCAATCAGCTACTTTTTGAGATTTTCTCGCCTTCTCTGGAAAACTTCGTCAACCAGTTCAACAACTTTTCTAGTTTTGTTGAAATCCATCAATCAAGCTACAACTCCATGTATTTTGAGATCGACCACGGTCTGTCGTTGATTTTAAGCGCTTTCAGAAGACTCAATCTGATAATTCCGCGGCAAATATCAGAACTAGAGTCTGAGTCTCTCGCCCACTGCCAGTCAGTTTTTCCAGTCTCTTTCAAATATATTGACCAGCGATATTCTGAAATGGTGGTGGGTGACAACGTGAACGAGACTTTGAACAACACCTTCATGTCTCTTATCTCAAGAACTAATAAAATGTGCCAGTTCCAAGAATACCAATTGAAAATTATATCAACCATGAAGAATGGCAGCTGGTTACCTGCTTCAAAACCGCCGGGATTCCAGGAAGTTAGAATGGGTTCTAACGAACCTACTTTTCTTTTAAGTGTCTTTTATGGCGATCTCATCGAATATAACTTCTTCCAACTGGAACGGAAGTACAAGCCAAAAATGAGCGAAGAAGACCTCGGGGTGTTCCTGCTGTTTAACTTAGATGAACTGCAAATATTGCTGGACAACAGTGGTCAACTGAAGCAGGTTCTTGGACACACGGGTCTCCAGCGTGTAGACAGAATGAAAAAGAAAGCGATGGAGAAGGCCACAGCGGAATGGACAAGAATGACTACCAAGTTGATGCAGGCATCTACAAAACAGGGAGACACGTTCAACCTCACCTCGAAGGAACTTGGTAAACTGATTGACGAGTTCAATAAGAATTTCGAAGAGAACTTCAAGAAAATGCAGCACAAGAAACTTCCTTTATTTTTCAAAAAGCAGCTGAACCAGGACATCAACAAGATGCTGGTTCCTGCTTACAGAGTTTTCTACACCAATTTTACGTCCGGTAGCTCCTTCAAGAGCGTGGCGAAGCATTTCAAATATGATATTAATGGTCTGCAGAAGAAAATAGCTGATCTAGGTTAGTCTTCAACAACTTCCTCGTTTTTCCTAACGGTGTGCGAGCTTAATGTTTTTGAATTTGTAACGCCATCCTCGTTCGATGCTGCCAGCACCGAAAGGATAGGTTCGACTCCAAAGCTCAGTTGTCTTTCCACATTTCCGTAGTCAAGACGAAAATCTTGAGCTCCTGTCTGGGCATACTGCGCTTTCCATTCGATTGATTTATTCTGGAGACCTGCTCTTCTAGAATTGCGAATGTTATGCGGGAGGTTCGGCACTGCAGAGCCCTCTGAGGCTTCTGTCATGTTGAATGGATGCCATCTTGCGTCCGGAGCTATTTCGAACGCGTTGTTATTTGACAGTGACGACCCCAGCATTGCCGTGATATCGACGGAGCTGCCATTTTCTGGTGGCAGCTTGAAAATTGAGCTTGCATTTTCTTCTGATAGGTTGTTCGTTGACTCGTGGCTCAACAGCGGTTTTCTGGTTGCAGGGTCTTCAGAGATCAGAGACCCTGTCAGCGAGTTTATTGACGACCTTGTAGAAAAATGTCCTGGGGAGTTCATGAGCGGTTCTGAGTTTGACTCGTTGTTCTCGTGGCTGGGATCTTCCTCTTGCTTAGGCGAGACAGGGTGCTCCGGAACGCTGGCCAGGCTTGGTTGAGAAGCAGAATTTGGCCTGTTTGGATGCTGCTCCTCGTCGTTAAAAGCTTGGGCAAGCGCATCGTCCATGCCATGAGAGGCATTCGACACGTTGATGAAAGAGTTGCCCGGAATCAGAGAAGAGCTAACGAGCCTAGATTTGGACCGGCACTGAGAAACCAGCGGAGGCGATCTGGATCTCATATCGTCCCTGCTCTGGGAAGTCGAACGAGACCTGATTGGAACAACTTTTAATTTGAAATTTCCTCCCAAGTCGCTGCCCTCCATCTCCGGATCGTCTCTGATCCTGTCAAATCTCGATCTCCGTTCGTCCACGTAGTACGAAGAGCGGTTTGATGAAGAAGTGTCTGGTGTCATTTGTGTCTTTTCCTCTTCCTCGCTCTGCTTGTCCTTGACCGCCTCGTCGTACGACGGAGGCATGTCCTTGGTGGTTTCCTCGAAGTTTGGAGGTGGGTCTTCGAAACCAAGGCCATTGGCGCTGAAGCTAGAGTTTTTTAGCAGCTGTGGCGACTGCAGAAGCGGCAAGCTGTTGCGCAGATCTGCACTGCTGGACTGAGGTGACATCATTGGCGAAAAAGGCTTGGCCTGTGGTGATTGCAATACATAGGGTGTGCGCCCATCCGGCTTGTACAGGTTCGAGTCAGTGTTGATCCGCTCTCTAGATGACAGTAACATATCGATGGAGTCTCTGCTCTGAGTAATTCCCTCCATTTGCTCTGAGTAGGAAGGTAGCAGAGTGTTGGCATGCGCACAGAGCGGAGACAGCAGATGAATCGGCGAGTCGATGGAAAGCTCAAAATGCTTGCGTTTCTTGGGGTCCTCTGACGTGGGAGCAGACCTCGAGATCCGAATACAGATCTTGATCCAGTGGTGGGACTGAATGTCGTCGAACGAGGTGTCTGGGTGCAGCTGATATCTGTCTCCGAGCTTTTCCGGCACGTAAACATGGAACTCGAGCTCTCTAGCAGAGATTTCGTCCTGGCCGAGTGAAAGCAAATTATCTTCCTGATTGCCGGCCTTGTGCTCCAATAGCAAGAATTTCTTGGGTGGCTCTGTGCGGTGGACTCGTTTGTTCTTGCAATAGTACTCCAAGTGTTCTGTGAAATAGACCTTGATCCTATGGACTTTGATTTTGTCCAGTGGACTCAGCCTGAACGAAATCAATAAATATGAGTTCAACAACACCTGTTTCGACGAAACGACTATCTCGTAGTTCAGCTGGTCTTCCCAGTCTCTGTTAATAACTATCGGTTCATTCTCCTCAATAGAATCCTGAGAGGGAGTCCGCACTATATTCACCGGTTTTTTCGCCGATAAACTGGACTTGAAGGTGCCGCTGCGCTCCAGAAATGCCTCAAGCTGGTAGAAAACCGATCCAAACGTCACGTTGATGGATTCTGCCGCAGATGCCGGGATCGGATGCTCAAAGGCGTAGATATAGTCTCCTGGCACGAACAGTTTTGTGTCGTCGACGCTGGTGTTCGACTTGGCCGGAGCCAGGTCGACATCCTGCTGTGAAAGCTGAGCGAATAGTCCGGGCCGGGGCGAGCTTGGCCGCTTCCCCTTGAGCACCATTGCGAGCGGCGAAGGCGACTTCACAGGCTTCATGTCCGTGAACATGTCTATTGCGCTTGTAACGGGGGAGAGACTATTATCGAGACTGAAATTCGATGGTTCGCAGTCGACGTCGCTCTTAGGAATAAACAGGTCTGCGTTATTCCGGCTGGTTTCTGTAACCTCGTAAGTGTTTGTGTGATGAAAGAAAGGCCATGTGTGCTGTATAAGAGTGTTCTGTTCAACATGCTCGACTCTTTTGGGAGGTATTCCCTCCGGCCAGTCTGTTCGGGACGTACCGGTAAGTTTCAGCGAAATGGATTTTATTTTGACTGGCCTGAGAACTCGCACAAACAGACAGCCGCGAAGAATGGTGGGAGGCCTGCCTCTTGTCTCTTCTTCTGTGAACCCCTCTAGAAACAGGTTTTCCTCTGCCTGAATGAGGTATAGCTTGACGGAACCACTCTCTGCGCTAGGCTGCGGAGGAAGCTTGATAATAGTCTCTTTGGAGAGCCTCTCCACAGGAAACAACGGAGTGCGTAGAAGGTCTGCCATTGATTTCTGATTGACAGATGTCTCGTTGTCAATTAAAATGCGTGATGTGCGATACCTGAACTGTTAAATGCCAGCCATGCAGAGGCTGAAAGACGGCTTTGGGTTGGAAGTGATTTTTGCGCTATCAAATGCTGAGGTGTTACGCTACTAGCAGAAGTGTGCAAACGGTGGTTGGGGCAATAATTTAGGTTGATCTTTTCACTGACTTTTTTTTTACCCAAGTTGAAGTCCCCTGATAAGAAAAAGAAATTAGGATCGGCGCTGTCGCGACGGAATGGAAAAGCGTCGATCGACGAAATACTTTTTCGGGCGGAACGGAATTTTCTTAGAAGCGGAATTTACTTACTTATTATGTAATGTAAATCCAGGACGGGGTCGGCCGTGCTGAGCGTGCGGTGGATGGGCGGCAGCTGAAGGGTACATTAGATGTAGCACCGCAATCCAGACGCCAGCGGACTTGGTGCTGTGTAGGAAATAGGCTTTTTCTTGAGTCGCTCCGGTTCCTGAATGGGGGTGCCGCGCAAGAGACCGGCGCCGAGCGAAAAACCGGGCCACCCGGTATTTTCTCCACCTCAAGAGCAAACACGGGGTGTGCTACCCGAAACCTGTATTTGACAGCATCTCCCTGTCCAGGTATCCTTGGTGTCAGCACGCGGGCAAATGTCTCGCTCCTCGAGAAGGGGATTGACTTACTAATTTGGTAAAGCCGGCTGGACACTACCGAACAGAGTATATAATATCCAAAGCTGCCTCTTTTCGGACTTCTTTTCAACAACTGCAATGAGTGCTTCTGTGAACTATCCTGAAGAGTTTGCTGGTTTTGCCGTGCTTGACACCAAGGACTGGAACAAGCCCAAGTACATCACGTACAAGCCCAAGACATTTGGCGATCACGACATCGACATTGAGATCGAGTGCTGCGGTCTTTGCGGGTCGGACATCATGACGGCGATGGGCGGCGACGGATGGGGAGAAATCAAGCTTCCGCAGGTTGTGGGCCACGAGATCATTGGCAAAGTGGTCAAGGTGGGTCCGAAAGTCAGTCTCCACAAGATTGGCGACAGAGTCGGTCTGGGAGCCCAGGCTTTTGGGTGTCTGAGCTGCAGACGGTGCAAGGAGGACAACGAGCAGTACTGCAAGGACTCTGTCACCACCTACGACGGCGTTTATCCCGACGGCTATGTTTCTCAGGGAGGCTACGCCTCTCACGTGAGAGCCCACGAGCACTTCTGCTTTGCCATTCCGGACGCTATTAAATCCACCGAGGCGGCCTCTCTGTGCTGTGCCGGGTTGACCGTGTACTCGCCTCTGAAAAGATACATTCCGACGGACCTACCTAACGGAGAGAAGCCGAAGGTGGCTATTCTTGGTCTGGGAGGCCTGGGACACCTGGCGGTCCAGATTGCCGCTGCTTTGGGAGCCGAGGCCTACGTTTTCTCGAGAACTGACGCCAAGAAGGAGCAGGCCTTGCAGCTTGGTGCCAAGGGATTTGTGGCCACGGGAACCAAGGGCTGGGCCGCCGAGTACTTTGACCAATTCGACCTCATCCTCAACTGCGCCATTTCTCTGTCTGGACTCGACCTGGGCAGTTTCCTGTCGATATTGAAGGTGCAGGGCAGATTTGTCTCTGTTGGATTGCCGGCCGCGGAGGAGAAGCTCGCCATTTCTCCTTTCACGTTTTTCTCGAACGGCTCGTCGCTGTGTTCGTCAAACCTCGGATCCAGAAAGGAGATGCTGGACCTGCTGGAGCTGTGTGTGAAGCACAACATCCGTCCGTGGGTCGAGGAGATTCCGATTTCCGAGGAGGGCTGCAACACTGCGCTGACCAGAGCATGGAAGGGAGACGTTAGGTACAGGTTTGTCTTTACCGAGTTCCACAAGGCTTTTGGAACGGGAAAATAGATTATAGGTTGCAACAAGAATAGAGCTCCTTATAGATTGGAAAAATTATATCGCTTTAGATAAAAAAGGCTTATAGACCGTCATTTCCACGGCGCGCGAGTAGCTCTTGGCACAGCTGACGGGCGTTTTTCCGCAAGCATCGCCAGTTCCTCTTCTCTTCGCTGGTACAGCGCGTGCATGGCGAGCTCGGCCTCGCTGCGGTAGTCCGTTTTAGCAAGAGCCGTCTTCTCAGGCTCCGCATCTGGCGAAGACTCGGGCAGGTCCCGGTGCGAAACAGCGTCCTTCCAGGGGAACAGCACATGGCCAAAATAAAAGTGCTGCACAACAGGAAACTTCGAGAGCACCTCGCCCTGGAACATTTTGATCATGCCGATTGTTATCTTATCCCAGGGCTTCGAGGTGCAAATTTCGTAGAGCAGCGGCGAGTGCTCGCTGAAATTTCCCTTTTTCACGCGGCGAATAAACCCAATGGCGTTGTAGAAGAGGTTGCGGCGGGCCTGCTGTTTGGTCACCGCCGGGTTCAGCACCGTCGACGGCGTGAGCCCCATGCGAAAGTTCAGGGCCCTCGCGCTCTTTCTGTCAGTTCCCACGGTCTCGGAGTCAACCAGCTGCGAGGCTCCAATGATGTAGATCAGGTGGAAATGATCGTCGAGTCCCCATACCCCGTGCGAGCCCGCCGGCTCCAGCGTGTATGTCAGAATCAAACGTTTCACGAGATCGTAATATTTGCCAAAGATTACCAGTATCTCGACACCCTCGAGAGAGTCCTGGTCCAGCATTTGGCACATGAGCAGGCTCGCGAAAAAAGCCAGGAACGACAGCTCGTGGCCTGTGCCATAGTCAAGACGGTCGCGCGACCCAAACGCCCCCAGAATGTAGTATCTGGCCTCAGAAACAAACCCGGCGAACTGGCCGTCCACCTCAGACGCAAACAGCGGGCGCAGGTGCAGATCGAACCAGCCGTCCACCCTCTTCTCGAGCTGGTCGTGCCAATCGCGACACGCCATGTTTCCGTATCGTCTGGGACCGGGCAGCGGCGGGACCTGGTCCATCAGGAGGTTTAGCTCGGCAAGAAAGTCGAGCACTCGCTGGACGTTTGGAGAGAGTGTTTTCTGGTCAAACTGTGTTGTCGGCGGGGGCAGATCCAGCAGAGTGCCTGATGTTGGCTCGTTGGGCGATTCCACAAGCGAAGTGTCCAGAACTCCCTCTGGCACGGTTTTCAGACTGACCTTCTGGCAGATCAGCATTAGTGCTCCCTTGATGCGATCAATGGCCACCGAATGCAGAAAGCTCTGCACGTCCGCAGAGCCATTGATTTTCTTCACCGGCGGCGACCAGTCCAACAAGCTGTTTTCTAGGTCTAATCGAGGAAGAGCCATTTCAAATTAATTTATCTATTTTTTTCTACCAGTTGAATAATCAGTAAAAATCAGCTCGGGTCCCGCAGCTTGTAGTAGTTTGTCGAAAAATACCACTTGTTGAAAACATGCACCAGCACAAGATTCGCCAGCAGTGGCAGCATCAGCTTCGGTATGGTCTGCGAGGCCTCCTCGTCGATGGCAAATCCATGCTTGAAGTAGAGAACAGCCAGCATATATGTGCAGTGTAGAATAAAAAGCAGCGGCGACCCGACCCTGATTGCGCTAAACCCAACGAGCGCTGTCCACGCGTGCTCATCCATGACCTCGCGATCCAGATAAAAGTCGTCCATGCCGTAGTACTTGGACGAGGGCCGTTTTCGCACCGGGACCTCTGCGGCCGGTTTTGGTTTCTGGCCAGCAATCACCAGTTCGTCTGCAATTTCGTCTGAAGCGACGGAAACCTGCTCTGGCCTCGATGGCCCAGAAGAGCCTCGCTGCCGGCGGCGGCCCACGCGTTTCGAGCCCGTGATAAGAGGCTTCAAATCGGCGAAATCTGCCATTAATACAACTTTTTCTTATCTACTATTTTTCGTGCACCAACGCTGCTGACTGCCACCCTCCAGCAGCAATGGCCAAAACCTGGCCACTGACAGGAACACGCACCGGCTGCTCAACAACGATGTCGTTGCCGTCCTGGCGCACGCCTGGCATAGACAAGGCGGCAGAAAGGGTGCCCAGTCCCAAACACCCGTTCTTGTGCGACTCTCTGCCCCAGGCATACAGCTCGCCTTTTTTATTCAGGGCCAAAAAATGGTAGTCCCCAACAGCAACCGAAATCACGCCGTTAGACTGTAGCTCGCGGTATATCTGTGGTTTTTCCGAGCTCTTGTCGCCCAGCAGGACCTGGTCGTCGTTGGTGATCGCGCTGAACCTGTTGAACGAGCCGCTGAGCCGCACAAACCGGGTTTTATGGCTGCCGTACTCCGAGTGCTTCTGCGCGTACTCCTGGAACTTTGCGAGCCTCGAACCGCGGCCTATTCGCGGTGGCAGCTCGCCGGGCAGGTCCACGCGGTACAGCTCGCCCTGCGCCGTAAGGTAGATCAGAAAATTGTCCAGCACAATGTAGTCGTCGATCGCGACGGTGCCGTCGATGACGCTGACGTAAGCGCGCACCGGCCCGTACTCGCCGCTATGTGGGGCAAGGCTGTCGCGACGGTTCCAGACAGCGATCCCCAGCTTGTGGATGTGGCAGCTGCTGAGCGACCAGCCCGCGCGGATTCGCTCGATCGGCCCCCTGACCCTGTCGCCGTTCTCCAGGTGGAGATCCAGCTCGACGCCCCTGCACAGCCGGCCGACGCTGTCCCACGTCCAAAGCCGGCCGTCGGTGTCGAGGCCGATGAAATGCGATCTGCCTGACCCGATCTGGCTGATCTTGGTGCCTTCCGGTAATTGGACCTTATTGACACATTTTCCCGGCTCGTATGGTGCGCGCGGCTCGTTGCCAAAATTGTAGTCTCTGGTTTTAGGTCCCGGCTCCGACAGGCCTGCCGTTCCGTGCCAATTGCGTCCTGTAAAATACAGATTGCCTCTGGTGGTGAGCACACAGAAGGAGAACCCGCCGGCCGTCACGTCTGCAATGTTTTCGTCGTCAAAAGTCAGCTCTACGGGCTTGACCAGTCTCTTGCTCTGTCCGTGGTCCAATATCTCCAAGGCGGCGTCCTGGCTGCCAAATAGCCACCCAAGACGACTGTAGCCGTTGTTGCCAAACGTGCAGAGTTTACAGTTTTTGCGCAGTTTGTACAGCTGGGGCCATTTATAGTAGAGGTCGAACGGAACGTTGTCATGTTTGAAGGCCTTGCGGAACATCTGATGCCAGACGACGGCCTGGTTGAGAGACACGCTGAGGCTTTTGCATGTGAGAAATAGAGCCTGGATGTCTGCCTCCTCCAAGAACGGCACTATATGAAAGCAAACGATGTCCTCATGCAGATCAAGAAAGGATACCATGGTCGGAATAAAGTGGCATCTCTTATTTAATGAGGCTGCAATCTTCCGTGCACGGGTGTTTAGGGTTGCTACCTTTAATTCAGTTTACGGTAATTAGTAAATGACATTTATTTATCGTATATTCGAGTTTCATTATCGTAAGTCGTAACTGCGGCTATGTCTCAGACAAAATCATCTTTATTTTCGAGAAAAACGCGCAAGTGGAACAGCACATCGCTCAAGTTCTTGAAGTTGACAAACTTGAAGTTCTTGTCGTAGATGAAGTTGAAGAGGAAGGACCCGATCTTTAGGAACTTGAAGGGGAGCTTAAACTCTATCAACTCGTTGATAATCAGGTCTTTTTCGCGGAGCACCTCTAGATCATCCTTCAAGATCGAGTTGAGGTTCTTTTCCTGCTGGCTGTAGTGCATTGTGTCCCTGTTGATGATGTTGGAGATGGTCAAACTTGAGAAATCGCTCTCGAAGTCGTGATAGTCGTAGTTGATTTTCAAGAAATACTCGAGGTTGAGATAGATCTTGAAGAACTTCTTGTAGTACTTGAACACTGTTTCGTCGACATCGGAGTTAAGCGACGAGGACGAGTTGTAAACTGTGGAGCGCAGTTCGAAGTGCTGGATGAGACTAACAGAGCCAAGGTTGTTGTACTTCATTTTCATCTTGAATATGTTCTCGAAATTGATGAGGAACTTGACAATGATCATAAAGATGTCCAGAAGGAGCTGCGAGTCGATGGACAGTTTCATCAAGAAATTCAGATCGACGATTCCCAGCTCCTCGTCATAGATTTCCTTCAGCTGCTTCTCTGAGTTTTCGAGCTCCGAGTCGGCCGGCTGCTGGAAAAATACTGTCTTGAAGATATCAATGCAGTTATCAAGCATTCCAATGAGCTCTTTTTGGTACTGGGGGTCTTTCAGTTGCTCGTCAGTAAAAGCAAAGCTATTTTCGTAGAGACTGTTGGTATCGCTGAAACTCCTTAGCCAGACGTTTTCTTTGATTTTGTTGAAATTCATGATGTGCGACAATTTCAGGTTCAAGTAGCTGTTCAGTAGCTTTGCATCAATGAAAACCTCGCTATTTCTCTGGTACAATTTGCAGGCCTTGAGCAGATTGTCCCAATTTTGAGCTACGTTGAGCAGTTTCTGGTCCTCTGAGCCTAGTTGTAGTAGAAACTCGGAGACGTTGCCACCTTCTGGCATCGACAGATAAAGCTGTTTCATGTAGGCCAGCTGGTGGAGCCCGTTTTGGAGGCACACGAGTCCAAACTCGCTAACGTGGTTGTCAAAAAAGAAATTCATATTTCCGATCAAACCAGTTGATGGATCAAGCTTGGAGAACGGCAAGTTGATGAGGTCCCTCAATACACGATGGTAGTTTTCAGGCCTGAAATCAAAACTCTCAAGAATGTTTTTGAACTCCGCATGGCTTGTGCACTCCCACAAAAAAGTGGACGAAGGCAGGTCAGTCTTGAGGTCGTCAATCTTCAGCGACGGAACAATATTGTATAGCGTAGACAGCAGCGAAGAGATGTGGAAGATCATGTGGACAGTGCGTATGGTGGACTCGTTTTCAATGAATTTCTCGTGAGAGGTTTCGTCGTCGTCTATATTTATTGGTAGCTGCGAACTGACCGAGTTCAGGCCTGACGACTTGACCAAGGAACATAGGGCATTCACCTGTCTGATGATAACGTTTAAGCTTGTCTCGTCGTCCGCAAAGAGGCCGTAGATCACAGATAGAGTGAGCGCCTGGATAAGCCACAGGGGCGACGAGTTGTTCACCTGACTCTCGATGTTCTCGTCGGCCGAGGTTCTGTGTCTGGCAAGCTTTTTGCGGGTCTCGAGATAGACGTGAATGCACCGTCTGGACGCCTCATACAGGTTGGCGGCGTCGCTCTTTCTATTCGACACGATCGCTCCAATGGTTGCAATCAGCAAGGGCAGACAAACCAGAGACACTCTGGTGTTGTCGATGCTATTTTCGTCTCTGATCAGATTTGACTCAATGGAGCAGAGCGTCGATTTCATCAAAGAATACTCGTTGAGCATGGATTTGTGGATGAAGGGATGGTGGTTCAGAAACTTATTCTTGAATTCGGTGGCGTAGTAATTGAGCTTTTCGTTATCTGGAATAGTAGGCGAAGGAACTCCCAGGAACGGATACTTGGAAAGAGACTGATACACATAGCTTCTGATGGTGCCGGTGAACAGGTTCACCCGTGAGTATTTCTCAAACTTATCCTTGGAGTATGCAAATTCGCTGTTGAACTCTTTATCCGAATACGTTTTGGAGCCTCCTTGCTTCTGGGAGCTCTCCACGGTCTGGTTGGGGCTGTTCTGCTGCGAGTTGGCCGAGAGCGTGTTGTCGAGCAAGATTGGCGAAATTGTCGCGTTCGACGAGCACGACGATGAGTGCGGAGCCGTGTTCTGGTCGCTGTTGCCGTAGAACGAGTATCCTTGCGGAATGTCGTACGTCTTGGACACATTCAGGTCGGCGATCTCCTCCAGATCGTTGATGCTCTGGTTGAACAGGGTTTCCTGCCAGTGCTTGACTTTCTCGTCTCCCGGCTGCGTGTTGAGACTCGAGTCTGTGCCTGGGCTTTCCTGGACCAATGGCGACACATGGGCCTTGAACGGCTGGACATCTGGCTTATCCTGCGGGCCCAGAGGGCCTTCCACGAGCTCCTCGAGCCCGGACGCCTGCACTCCGCGGTTGGGCAGAGCCGTGTGGGTGAACAACGAGCCAACGTTCTTATAGGGCACGTCGTAGAACGAGTAGCCGATGATGTCCTCGTGGAACTCGTGCGGCGCGACGTCCATGGCGTCCGCGTTCAGGCTGGACGACGTCTGCATAGGAACCTGGCCGTCCCGGTGGTCCATGAGGTCGAGGTTCGGCAGGCTGTTGAGCCAGTACTCGGAGTCGTCGTCGAACGCAATGAGCTGCGGCGTGGAGAACTCGACCGCCTCGGTGGCGTACGGCTCGGGCGTGGGCATGGCGTAGTTGCGGCCGCTCAGAGCCGAGAACGAGGCGCGTCTGTTGACGGGGAACTCGAGCTTGTAGTCGAATTCCTTGAGGCCCTTGAAATTGAAGTCGTCGTGCAGTTCGGGCTCCTCCTTGATGCGCTGCTCGACGGCGACGGACACGCTGCTGCGCTGTCTTCTCGCCGCCGGCGCCGGCTTGGTGACGGCGCTCGCAGAGGCCGAGAACGAGCCGCGCTTGCCACGCCGCGAGCCTGCTCTGCCTGCCGGCTCCGCAGACGGACTGTTGGACGAGCTCAGGTCTGTGTTGTCCTTGGACGCAGGCGAGGACGTCGACTTGACGGAGCGTCGTCTGAGCCGCGGAACGACCTCTGCAGCGCCGGCATGCAGCTTGGTGGAGTGTCTGAGCAGCAAGTCTCTTCTGCTGAACTTGCGCGAGCAGATGGTGCAGGCAAAGGGTTTCTCCTTTGTGTGGGACCTCTCGTGTCTTTTCAAATGCTCCTGTCTGGCAAAGGCGCGCGTGCAGATGTTGCACACGTACAGCCGGGGCTTGCCCGAAGGCGTGGTGCCGTTCAAGGTCAGCTCTGCGGGCACCGACTTGCTGTCCTGGGAGACCTCGATGGAGCTGCGCCGGCTGGACTTGACCGAACCAAACACGGGAGGCATTTGAAACGTTTTATCGTTGTTCATAGTAGCACAAATCATCCAAAATAAAAGGTATGCGAACAACGAGTCGGTTACAATTAGCAGTACATTTCAGTCGCAGGGTAATTTGGAAAATATGGAGAAGAGGGACACCCTCGAGATATATATGAAGCCTCGTGTCACCGGTCAGGCCTACACCGCGAGCCGACCACACAGCTGCCGCATATGTGCCATTGGTCATTGGGTGCTGCAAGAGCCCCTTTGTTGGTCACACCATTCTGTTTCCCGATTTGGCTGACACTTTTTTTTACCCCACATTGGGGGGTCGGATTCCTGTCGCAGCCAGCAAACAAGGCCAAAATTGTCAGCAACAAAGGTGGGGCCGCGTGGGGCTCACCTTATTTTGCCCCATTCGGCACACCTCTGCACCAGAAAACGCCTCCGCCAATTTTTTCACCTCTGGTCGTTCTCTACACACACGTCATGGCAAACCTTTCAAAACCGCATACGACCGGACTCCGCTACAGCCAGGAGGACCAGCTCGACGCCGCGCGGCTCGCCAAGGCCGTGCTTCTCGTGCTTCTCACCGCCGCCGCCACCGCCTACTTCGCTCTCCAGCTCTACGCGCTGCTCGGCAACTGGCTGTACGTGTCGCGGGCCCAGTCTGCGCTCGACCTTGCTGCATTAATTATCAAGATCGCCATGTTCTACTATTTTATCCGCTGGCTCAACGGTGTGCTCCTCCTGCGCCAGCCCGACCCGGCAGAGCTCAAGAAATACGCTTAGCTCTCCGTTTCCTCGGCCGTCTCGGTTGCCGCCCCGTCATCCCGCACCACAAACGAGACCCCCATCTCGTCCAGGCAGGCGCGCACACTGAGGGGCTCCAGCTGCACCCCCTTTGCGTCCAGCAACGCCATCACGTCCTTGAAGTTGATAGGCCTCAATAGCAAGATGTCCCTGTATAGCGTTTTGTCTTCCTTTAGAAGCCCGCGGACGTGCGAGAACATGGTGCTGCGCACCTCGCGGAACGTCTCCTCCATCCGCACGTGCTCCGTGTAGTTTCTGTCCAAGTCCGCCTGGCTCAGTTGCAACACGCCCTGTTTGTGCCGCACCAGCTGCCGGCGGTCAATCAGCCGCAGCGACGAGGTCAGTGTGTCCACCATCTGCTTGCGCGACTTGGCCGGCTTGAGCCCCCACGCCTGGATTTGCAGTTTCAGCTGGGGGGTGCTGAAACTCTCGAAGTCCGGCTCGGCCGGCTCCCCCACCGACGAGCTCTCCACCACCACGACCGACGCGTCGGTCTCGCTCGACAGCTCGATCGGGTCCTGCTGCGTGCCACCAACGTCCGCTCCGTCCAGCACTTCGTACACTTCGCGCTGCTGCTGGACTTTCCGCGACGCTGAGGCGTGCGACTCGTACGTCGTCCACGAAACCTCGCTGTCGCGGTAGTCCTCCTCCGGCGTGCACGGCACCGACCGCTCCTCGCGCGGCATCACCTGCGACAGCGTCACCACCAGGTCCTCGTCCTCCGACTGCGACGCCACAAAGGTCTTCTCGTCGCTCTCAAAGTCGTATAGGCTCAAAATCTCGTCTCTGCTGAACACCACCGGGGGCGCAGAGGACTCCTGCCACAGCTGCCTCGCGGCCGGCTGCTCGTTGTACTTGGCAGAAACCAGCTCCAGAGTCATTTTGGCGCTTTTGGAGAGTTTCGGCAGACTCCGCAGGATCTCGTCGCGCACCTGGATCCACTCCTCCCGCGAGTACACAAGACTGATGTCCTGGGGCAGCGGCGGCTGCTCCGGCGCAGATTTCTCGATCTGCGCGATGTTCCGTATAATGTCCTTCGCCTTGCGCTTCCGCCCGGACAGGGCCAGCAGGATCGCGACGTTTTCGTTTTTTTTCCCGTGTTTTTTCGACATCTGGTCGCCCAAGCTCTTGATCTTGGGCTTTTTCCGCGCGGGCGCAGCGCGTCGCGGCTTGGCGGCCTCTGTCGCTCGCAACGCGTACTTCTGCTGGAGCAGGTCCAGCCTGTTTCGCTCCTGGTCCCTGGCCTCCCACTCCTCGATTTGTGCCTGGGCCTGCGTTCCTAGCAAAAACTGGGGCATGGGGAAGATGAATTATTTTATTTTTTTTTTATTTTTCTATTTACGCGTCATGTACGGGTTGTCGCCCAACAAGTCACCAGAAAAACGAAACTTAGACGGGCCTGATGCGGACGTCAAGCGCCAAAAATGCGCGGCGACACCGGAAGCACCAGACGAAACACTGACGCCAAAGTCGTCGCCAGTGGACGCGGACAAACACGCCCGACAGAGGCTGAAGAAGGAACAGGAGGAGGAGCGCAGACTCAAGCGCGAACAGGAGGCAGCAGAGCGCAAATTGCGCAAGGAGCGCGAGGAGCAGGAGAAACGCATGCGTAGAGAGAAGCTGGAGGCCGAGAGACAGGCTAGGAAGGAACAGAAGGAGCGCGAGAAGCTCGAGAGACAGCAGAAAAGAGAGGCCGAGGCCAGGGCGCGCGAGGCCAAAAGACAGCAGGAGGAGGAGGAGAGGGCCAGGCGGCGCGCCGAGCAGGAGGAACGCGCGCTTAAAAAGGCCGAGGCAGAGCTCGAGAAGCTGCGGGCCAAGGAGCTGGAGCAGCAGAAGCTACAGAAGCAGTCTATCATGAATTTTTTCAAGCCCAAGGACACGAAGAGCCCGACTCGCAGCCACCCCACGCCGGAGAAAGCGGCTGCCAGTGACTACCACACGTATTTTCTTCCGTTCAACGTCCGTCCCGGTGTGCGAATGGCGCAGAGAACGCCGCAGAGCACTACGCAACAGAGGGCGGAGCTGGACAAATTTTTCCTCGGTCAGCAGGCCAGCTCTGCACCGTTTGAAGACTCGCTTGCTTCCAAAAAGAGCGCAGGGCTGTATGCAAAAGCGTCGGATGTGATCCAGACCTACAACATGGGCATGCTCAAGGAAGCGCAAGAGCAGCTGGATCGTGTGCCTGTAAAGTATCTGCGGTTCTACGAGAACGCGAGGCCGCCATACTTGGGCACGTACTCCTTTTTGGTGACCAATTTGGACTTCCGGCTGGCGCTGGACCCGTTCACAAAAATTCCATCGGACATTTTACCAATAAATTACGACTTTGACTCAGACCTCGAAGAAGAAGACGATGACGAGGAGGGCGAGGATGTGGAGCTCGACGAGGACTCCGAGGAGGACGAGGACGGCCAACTGGATGAGTCGTCAGACATCGAGCAGTTCGTCGAGACCGACGAGAACGGCGTTTCGACGAAGAGAACAGTCATCGGGCCTCTGGTTCCTGTGGTCGGCTGGCTTGGCCAGAAAGCCGGTGAGCAGGACCAGTTTGCACAGTACTTCAGCGGACTCCAGTACGAGCGTCTCAGACACAACATTGAGCTGCCGATCGATCCGATGTGTGATTACTGGGGCGAGGAGGACCCGCAGGAGCCGCAGAGCGCTACCAAGATCATTGAGGACACGCGCACAAGCGCTGGCGCTGTGGAAGCGGGCCCCATGACTGTGAAAAAGAAGATTATTACCGACGCGGCACATGTGGCCAAGCTGGCCAGCTTCATAGCAGAAAACAGCGATTTCTCAATCAACACGATGACGGAGATCGCGCAAAAACAGATTCTGGCAGACTACTCGAGGGCGGTTGTGAAAAACAGCATCAAGGAGCTGGCTACCTTCGACAAGAAGACCAACAGGTGGGCCGTCAAGCAGTGTGTATAGTCAGTACAAATTGGATGCATTTTTTTTTGGCTATGTTTTATATGTAATGAATTATGTTTCCGAATTTGGAATATTAAATTAAGATGCTTTCCGATCTAGTCGGCCAGAGGAGCTAGAAGGCCCGCGTTTGCGGCATCGAATTTGCCGAATTTTTCTGAGTCGAACGGTGTGTCTCGCGTGCCCCAGCTCCCTCTGCAGCGTAAAATCCGCCCATTCCAATTCCGTTTAATTACTCGCGTCGGCCGCATTTTTTTTCGCGTCCTCAACACGAAACATCAAAATCTTTTTTTTACTCCCACTAATGTCTTCACCGCAGACCTCGCCCGTGCACGATTCCCACCAGTCCACGGTGCCAGACTCGGCCTCACAGACCCAGAGACAGCCGGTGCCTTCGTCGCCGCTCTTCATCGCGCCTTCCAGCGACGATTCCGCACGGCCCTCCCAGACCCAAGGTTCCAGACAAAGGTACGGTTCCTCTCCGATCCCGTTCACCTCTTCCGACCTGGGCCATGATCTCAACTCCCAGCTTGTCCGGCGCGGCCACCACAGCAGAGGAGACGTCCACTCCTCCGACATCATGTCGTCTCCGATGAGAAGACGCTTCTTCGATAACTCCAATCCGCAGCCTAGTCTGATGTCCGATTCGCAGCTTCCCTCAGAGTCCCAGCTTTCTTCCGTCCAACAGCTTTCCGACTCCGGCTCCGTCAACCCAGACGAGCCCGTTAGAGTCATCTGGGGTACTAACGTGTCGATCCAGGAGTGCTCGGACAATTTCAGAACGTTCTTGATGTCGTTCAAAATGAAGTACCGCAGAAAACTCGACGAGGCAGAAAGCGACGACCCAGCAGACGACTCTCTGTACTACGTCAAGATCCTCAACGACATGAGAGAGTCTGGCACCACCAACCTGAACCTCGACACCAGAAACCTGCTGGCGTACTCCACCACCAAAAAACTCTACTACCAGCTCATCAACTATCCGCAGGAAGTTATCCCCATCATGGACCAGACCATCAAGGACTGTATGGTTTCTCTCGTTCTCGACAACTCGTCCAACGCGGACCCGCAGGACCAGCTGGTCGACGAGATAGAGTCGAACGTGTACAAAGTGCGCCCGTTCAACATCCAGAACCAGCGAGGCATGCGGGAGCTGAACCCGATCGACATCGACAAGCTCGTGACCGTGAAAGGGCTTGTGATCCGGTCGACGCCCATCATTCCCGACATGAAAATAGCGTTTTTCAAGTGCAACGTCTGCGACCACACCGTGGTGGTGGAAAACGACCGCGGGGTGATTCAGGAGCCAACCAAGTGTCCGCGACAGATTTGCTCGTCGCAGAACTCGATGCAGCTGGTCCACAACCGGTCTTCTTTCGCCGATAAGCAGGCCATCAAGCTCCAGGAGACCCCAGACAATGTTCCAGACGGCCAGACGCCTCACTCGATTTCTCTGTGTGTCTACGACGAGCTTGTTGACGCTACAAGAGCAGGAGACCGCGTGGAGGTGTGTGGTATCTTCAAGTCCATTCCCGTGAAGGTGAACGCGAGACAGCGCGCGGTCAAGTCGCTTTTCAAGACGTACATTGACGTCGTGCACATCAAGAAGGTCGACAAGCACCGCTTGGGCGCCGATGTGTCGACGCTGGAAAACGAGCTGAAAGAGCAGCAGGAAGTGGACGAGGTGCGCAAGCTGTCTGAGGACGAGATTGCCAAAATCAAGGAAATCGCAAAGAGAGACGATGTCTACGAGTTGCTGGCCAGATCGCTAGCACCGTCGATCTTCGAGATGTCCGACGTCAAGAAGGGAATTTTGCTGCAGCTGTTTGGCGGCACAAACAAAAAGTTCGCCAAGGGCGGAAAGTACAGAGGCGACATCAACATTCTGCTCTGCGGAGACCCGTCCACGTCGAAATCGCAGATTCTGCAGTATGTGCACAAGATTGCCCCGCGAGGAATCTACACGTCTGGAAAGGGTTCTTCTGCAGTTGGTCTGACGGCGTACGTGACCAGAGACATCGAGACAAAGCAGCTTGTTCTGGAGAGCGGAGCGCTGGTTCTTTCCGACGGCGGAGTGTGCTGCATCGACGAGTTCGACAAGATGTCGGAGTCGACGCGGTCTGTGCTGCACGAAGTGATGGAGCAGCAGACCATATCGATTGCCAAGGCCGGGATTATCACGACGCTAAACGCCAGAACGTCCATCTTGGCGTCCGCCAACCCGATCGAGTCCAGATACAACCCGAACCTGCCGGTGACGAAGAACATCGACCTGCCACCGCCGCTTCTGTCGCGGTTCGACCTGGTGTACCTGATTTTGGACAAGGTGGACGAGAAGATTGACACGCAGCTGGCCAGACACATTGCTGGCATGTTTCTGGAGGACAGCATCCAGACGGCCACCAGCAACGAGATCTTGCCGATCGAGCTCCTGAGCTCCTACATTCAGTACGCCAAGGAGAACGTGTCGCCTGTGCTGACCGAGGAGGCCAAGAACCAGCTGGTGAAGGCTTACGTCGAGATGCGGAAGCTGGGCGAGGACGTGAGATCTGCTGAAAAGCGCATCACGGCCACCACGAGACAGCTCGAGTCGATGATCAGGCTGTCTGAGGCGCACGCCAAAATGCGGCTGTCGCCCGTCGTGGAGCTCGAGGACGTCGACGAGGCTGTCAGGCTCACCAAGTCTGCAATCAAGGACTATGCTACCGACCCGCTTACTGGCCGCATTGACATGGACCTGGTCAACACGGGGCAGACGTCGGCCGAGCGCAAGATGAAGGAGGATCTTTCCAAGCAGGTGTTCAATCTGCTGGACGCCAACGGCTCGCTCACGTACGACGTGCTGTTGCACAGAATCAACGAGCAGTCTTCGGCCAAAGTGGAGAATCTCGATCTGAGCGAGGTCCTGCGCCGGCTAGAGGCAGAAAACAGGGTCACGGTGTTTGGCCAGGGCCACAAGAGAGAGATCAGGGTGAACAGAGGAGTGGTGTAGAGAATACAGCTATGAATTATTTATCCTGGTTGCGTTTTTTCGCGGCCTCCACGATCTTGGTCCAGTCCACGCGGTAGATCACAAACAGCTCCACCAGGCCGATCAGCAACAGCCCTGCGCCGTTGCCCATCCACAGGCCGACCAGCTCCATGTCGAGGTGGAACGCCAGGAAAAACGCGAGCGGAACTGCCACGACGTAGTAGCCCAGCAGACTGAGCACTCCGCCGATCGCCTGGAGCGCCAGCGCTCTCAGCAACCCGTTGGCCACACATGCCAGACCGTCAAACAGCGCAAACACCGACACCAGCGGACATAGACCCATGATCATCTTGATGACCTGCGGATCCTCAGTAAATAGATGTGCAATGAATTTTTGTCCGAACAGAATAAAACAGGAGTTCAGCGAGGCACACACGACCGACGAGCACAGTCCCACGCGTGTGGCTATTCTGGCCGCAGCGACATTGCCTGCGCCGACGAAATTGGCCAGTCTCGTGGAAGAGGCCACCGACAGCGCAAAGGGAACCATGTAGAGCAGCGAAACGAGGCTGGAAAGAGCCGACTGCGTGGCCAGCGCGTCTGTTCCGAAGTACGAGGCCAGCAGCGTGAGGACCTCGTACGCCAGCGACTCAGCCAGAAGCGTGATTGTGCCTGGAACAGCCAGCAGCGACAGGTCGTACCAGTGCGACAGCGCGTCCCTGGAAAACCCGTCCCAGCACTCGTCTCCGTCGATGAACATCACGTAGAGCACCAGGAGGATGAACATGAGCCAGAAGTTGATGACGGCCGCGATGGGGGCGCCAATGTAGCCAAAGCCGAGGTAGTAGATCAGCAGCCAGTTGACCAGAATGTTGATTGGCGACGTGATGAAGAGGATCAGAATGCCGGCCTCGAAGATCTCCTGAGCCTGGAGGAACCGTTTCCCGTTCTCGAAGAGAATATACGCCGGGCCTCCCAGGATCAGAATCCGCAGAAACTGCTGCGAGAGCCGCACCACCTCTGTGTCGTCGATGAATTTGCTGAGCACCGCGCCGCTGTTCCACCAGAAAAAAGCGGCCGGAATGTACAGAACGAGAGAAAACAGGCTGCAGCGCTGTGTGTGGACGCCGACCTTTGCGTACTGGCCGGCTCCGTACGCCTGCGGACACAGCGTATCGAGCGACGTCGCTATTCCCTCGTAAATCGCCAGCACGATCGTGCTCGTCATGGAAGCCATGCTCACTGCTGCCAGTTCCTGCTTCCCCAGATGTCCGACGAATATCACCGACACAAGAGAGAATATCTGCTCTAAAACGAACGTCAGGATCAACGGGAGCGAGTACTGCGCGAGCTTCCGCGACTCGGACGCCACGGTGGCGTGCTCGTGCGCAAAGTCCTCGTCGGAGTCTTTTTTCAGCCCCATGTCGTCCGTGTACGAGAGACCGCTCTCGTGGTCTTTGAACAGCCTGTCTGCCTGCGACAGGAGGTCGTCCGTGTCGTTCGCAGACCCGTAGTTCGGAAACGGCGACCCCGGGTCCATCATGCTGCGTCTTTCGCGCTCTTCCTCCAGCCATTGGTGCACAGAGTCCAGTTCTTCGTCAGTGTACTCCAGCGTAGAGGGCAGCGACCTCGAGCTCATGACCGACTCTGCGTCGTCGTGGACTGCGGAGCGGTGCTCGGAAATCAGCTGCGACCCCGTCCCGAGACTCAGAAACGACCGCTGGTCGATGTCGTTGTTGTACACAAAGAGAGGAGACTTGGTGCTGGGCGGAACAAACATCAGCGGGATCTTGCGTCGCTTCGAATTGATGGCCGTGTTGTTCGAGTTCATGATCGACTTGGGCAGTGTGCCCAGCGTCCGCGAGAACAGCCCCGTATTTCGGCGCTTTATGCTGTCTCTGCGATCCATGATAAAAAAAATCAGCTTTCTGCAATAAATTTGGAGTGCAGGCAACTTTTTGGCAAACTGAGCCCTGGGGCCTGTGTCTCCAGGGGATATCCCTTTTGCACAGAAGAGGGTGGCTGGTGCAGCTGTGGCCAGATCGGTTCGCGCCAGTGTCTGCGGGCCCAGTATGCCGCCGCGACACCGTGTTTGTTGTACCTATCTCGTGTGATTTAATTATGTGCTTTCCTTAAAAAGCTAGAGCTGCCTAGCAGAATACACAAATTAGCTGCTGTCCAAACACGAGAAATCCCAGCTCCGCAGGGCGCTCCTCACACCCGCATGCGCCTACACGCCCCTGCCACAGCCACAGGGCTCCTGTTGTCCCCTGCCGTCCGTACACGAGACTAGGGTCTGCTACGCGTTACGAGCCCCCACACAGAAAAGCGTGATTGGTGAAAAAATTATCTCTCAAATAATCAACATGTTCGCCAGACAAGCCCGCAACACGGCCAGATCCGGAATCAGATCCGTCGGCGTGAGACCAGTCTCCCAGTACGTCACCAAGGCGCAGGGTACGTGGATTTATTTTCCCGCAATTCTAACAATCAGGTCTCTTGAACCAGGCCATTTACTGGACAAAGGTCACCGTCGAGGTGAGCAAGCAAATCTACATCAGAGAAGGCCTGGCTCCTCCTTCTGTTGCCGAGTTCCAGCAGGTGTACCGGGGGCTGTACAAGAAGGCTCTGGAATTTGCTGCTCAGCCAAAGACGTCGACCGACGGCTTGATCAAGGTCGCCAAGTCTCTGTCCAAGGAGGAGTATCTCAGATTCGGCGCCTACTTCATTCAGATTGTCGGTCTGTTCTCGCTCGGAGAGATCATTGGCAGAAGACAGATCGTCGGCTATCCATCTTTTGGTCCTAAAGAGCACCACCACTAGACATTAGATTAGCGCATGAGTCTATGTAACTTCATTCAACAAGAGTCAATTGCTTGAACTTTGCTCCAGCAGTTTCCGTTTCTTCGACGCCTCGATCATCTCCTTCCTCTGTTTCCGTTTTTTCCGCACCACGGCAGGAACCGTGCTGATAGGCTTCCGGTCCACTGCTTTCTGCCTGATCTGTTTTTTCTCTCGCTTCGTGAGCTTCGACAGGTCATTTTTCAGCCAGCCAGCCATCCCGTCCTCCCACCCGCTCTGCTTCATCACGTTCACGATCGGCTTGATCGCCAGCGTATCCTCCTTCGTGTAGAACGTCACCGCCTTTCCCGAACGGCCTCCCCGGCCCGTACGGCCGATTCTGTGCACGTAGGCCTGCGCAGACGTTGGAACGTCGTAGTTGATCACCAGATTAATTCCCTTGAAGTCAATTCCTCGCGCAAGGACGTCTGTGCAGATGAGACACCACAGCTCGCCTTTGCGGAACCGGTCTATGATTGTTTCTCGTTGTAGCTGTGTTCTTTCAGCGTGGATAACGTCCACGTTCAAGCGATCGTACAATAGCTCGTGGAACAGCGCCTTGGCTCTCGTAATAGACTGCAAAAAGATGATCACGGGCGGCTTGAACTCTCCCTTGCGCAGCATCTCGCGCAGGGCCAGCAATTTTCCGTGCTCGTTGCCGCAGAAAACAAGCTTCTGCTCGATGTTGGAATTGGCGGCCTCTTTGTGGCCTATGATGATTCTGATCGGCGAGTTCATGATCGAGTTTGCCAGCTCTTCCACGCTGGAGGTGATCGTAGCCGAGAAAATAGACCGCCGCAGCTTTGGGTTGGAGCACGCTGTGAGAATGCGGTCGGTCTGCTCCACGAACTTGCTCTCAAACAGCTTGTCGACCTCGTCGAACACGACCTCCTCCACTTTGCTCAGGTCCATCACCTCCTCGCCGATCAGGTCGATCAGTCGCAGCGGCGTCGAAACGAGGATGTCAAATTTCGAGCTCAACAGCACCCTGTTGCGCAGTTTCGCGGCAATGGACTTGTTCAAAAAGCCAATTTGGAGGCTGCTGCCTTTGCACAGTTTTGTCAGCTCGCTGAAGATCTGCGCCGCCAGCTCCTTCGTTGGAGAGATCACAAGACCGCGGACCCCGTGATTCTTGCGGCCCTTGCCCAACCGTTGCACCATGGGAATTAAAAACGCAAGCGTTTTACCAGATCCCGTTGGAGCGCAGCAGATCAAGTCTCTGTCGGCCAGACACGCAGGAATGGCCTCGCATTGAATAGGAGTGGGCTCGGTAAATCCGTTGGAAATGAGGTTGTCGAGCAGCTGTTTGTTGAGCTTGAATCGGGTGACCAGGTCCTCGAAGGAGCCTATAGGCAGATGGAGATCGTCGCCCGAGACCTTGGCCCCGTACGACTTCCGAAGCTGTAAAGCCTCCTCTGTGGTGAGAACCTTTCTTGTGGGCTCTACGGTCGGCTCAAAAGCAGGCTGTTCCTCTTCGGACTCGGGTTTCGCCAGTTCTTTCTTCTTGTGATCTTTCTGGTGGAAAAAATCGACTTCCCTTTCGATCTCGGTCTCCAGGTTCTCTTTCTCCGCTGAGTTTTTCACAGCAGGCTGGGCCAGCGAAAAATCGACGCTCACGCCCTTCGTCTTCTTCAGCGACGCTCCCCTCGACAGAATACGAAAGATATCCATGGTGAAGGGTGTGAGATACTTATAAAATAAATTTTTGTGTGTGGCAGGTGAGTGGCTAATGCGATCAAGGCCGTGGCCGCCACACGACCCAGAAGTTTTCAACGCACTTTCGACAAAAATTTTCAGAAGTGCTCTTGAACTAGACAAGTGGTGGTGGAAAGCTCAGAATTATGAGCCTTTGAGCGAATTAAAAAAGGTGTATATAAACTGGGAGAATCAAAGAAATTCAACGTTGCACAGGAGAAAGCTAGACTGTACACACCACACCAGAATGACAAAAGCGATGCACAGTATATCAGGATCGTTGCTGCGTCTAGGAGCCAGAAACCAACGCCAGCTGTGTGTCAACGGAGCGCAAGTGACAGCAAAAAGAGGCGTGGTATTTGCTAAAGGCCCAAGGGTCAGGGGAGCCATCCGGGACCCAGAAGACATATTCACGGTGAAAGGGATTAGATACGGACTGACCGAGGAGAACCTGAAACCATTGAAGACGTTTTTGCAGTCCAAACTGCAAGGCAAGTACGAGCTGCCTGACAAGTTGCTTCTACAGATAATCACACACAAATCTTTTGCACACGGCACGCAGCCGTATAACGCAAGACTGTCCTATTTTGGAAGAGAGCTGATCCAACTGAGCGCTGCCAAGTACGCCATAACACGAAGCACAAACAACGAATATGCCATAAATAATCTGAACTTCGACTCGCTTGGATCTTACACACAGGGTCTGATGAAAACGGACCGGCTGCTCAAAGAGTACGCCGTTGCCAACAATCTAGACGCTGTTTTCTTCAGACGGCTGGCTCTGCCCTCGGGAAGAGAAGACGAAAACTACAAACCGAAAGCAATCTGGTCCACCTTGACTGCGTCATTGGTTGGTGCCATTGCCTCCCAGCACGGCAAAAAGGCGGCTGAGGAATTCATTGAGAAAGAGCTGTTTGGCGACGTTTTCAAACAGATCCTTCCTGCGACCAAGGCGGCGTCTGAATCGGCTTAGTCTGTATATAGATAGTGATATATGTACATTTCGGCATCAACACACATCCGTACACCAAATCTCTCCCGAGTCGTCAAAAAAATTGTTTCACGCGTTAGTGTTAAAAAAGATTGTTTTTACGATCAAGCTAGTCTTCTCAGGGTCCCGAACCGATTCAGGCCCGTATTGCGTATTCCCATTGCGAAACAGCAGTACAGTTTGCCAATAGAGCCACTGATCAAACAAATCCACGCTCTTTCGCAACGAGAACCGAGCTGAAATACGAGGCGCGTTTGTTTGTTTGGTAGCCCCATCCATCACATTTACTACTCGCTTATTTTCCAATGACGGACGTGCAACGCATCCTGCACTACCACAAGGTGCTCAAGGATTTTCTGGACACCTCCTCAGATGCACTAACGCCGGTGACCTCGTCCAGAGTCATCAAGGCTAGAGAGAAACTGGGCAAGCTCACGAGCTCGCAATTCTTTGATCTGAGCACGGATGTTTACGACGAACTACAGCGGCGGACCACTTCAGAGTCGCTGCGGCCGTCTTTCCTGCCGGCGCAGTCTAATTTCCATCCTAAACGGAACCAGGCCAGACAGAAGCTGGCGTCTTTGCCAGCGGGTCGATTCAAAGATCTAGTCAACGATGTTCTTTTTGAGATCGAAAGACACCAGTCCCAGTACATTAAGGCAGAAGACCAGATTACCAGCCGCGCCGTGGATGACATGCCGAAGGACTCGAGAGAGACAAACGACCCCTTCCAGACCAAGGCGGTAAATGAGATGCCCAAAAGCTACAACAAAAAGCAGGACTTGGTGGTGAACACAGTGAATCTCCAGACGCCGATAAGCGATAGGTTCCAACTGTCTCCCGATACGCCTACACAGCGGGAGATCAAGAGCACCAAGGTTGTGCCCCAAAAGTCCGAATTATCCTGGTCCAGCGACGAAGATGAGATTCCAGAATACAAGCCGTCGGGAAATAGACGCTCGAACGAGTCTTTGCCGGAGAAAAGCCCAGCCAAAAGTCCGGCCAAGAGCGTTCCGCTTCCTTCGCCAGCGCGCTCGCAGCAGTACGCAGAGTCTCTCAAAAGCCCCGAGGCGGCCCGGTCGAATGCCGCGTACGCTACTGCCCAGAGACTTTCGAACGGCAGAGATAAGGACAGGGACATGGATCTGCTGATGGAAGAGAGCAGCAAGATGGACGAGAGGATTTCCAGTCTTGAGTCCGAATTGTCGGATCTAAAGAAGCAGAAGGCCGAGCTTGAGTCTGAACACACCCAACTCTCTGCATCCAACGACCAGCTCAAGAACGAGCTCAAGAAATATAATAGAATGTCGAAGGACATGAAGAGACTGCTGGAGGAGAAAGAGCAGCTGAATAGAACCGTCAAGGAGAAACATGAAAACATGATTGCCCTGCAGGAACAGCTGCGGGGGATTTCTGACAGCCAGGGCCACAAGCCTGAGACAGAGGACGCACTGAAAGACCTCCAGGCCAAGCACGACACGCTCTTGGACGAGCACAATTCCGTTCGGCAGCAGTTGGAGTCTGTGCAGCAGGAGAACCAGAGAATGGCTGCCGAGCTGCAGGAACTGCAAAGTCTCAAGCAGGAGAAACAGACTAGTGACAAGCTTGACCGAATGGTGCAGCAGCACAGGACTGCTGTGGACCCCGCGGAAGCTAGCAAGCTCACGAATCTCAACAATGACTTGCTAAAATGGCAGTCCAGATACGAGGATGCAAGATCCGAAAAAATGGCCAAGTCGCTTTCCAGGTCTGTGGCACTGTCTGCTGAGGATTTGCAGCCACTTATCGAACCCAATGGTTTGGTCACTATGATCCAAGCGGTGAACTTTTACTCGTCCGTGGACTCACTGCTCTTGTACGTGACGGAAGATGAGATCAGCACAGACCTCTTGTTTGAAAGGACAGCCGTTTTGGTGACTCGTGCAAACGAAATTGCCAAGGCAGGTGAAGGCGGATCCGAGGACCTAGCCGACAAGAGCCGGCTGGTGCAGTCTGCCATTTCGAATGCCCTCACTAGTGCGCGGTACTATGCTATGTACAAGAGTTTTATTCCGAAGCTGGTGATGAACACGGCTGTGAACGATGTGTGCTTTGCGGTGTCGGACTTCCTGAAAGTGGCCAAGTTGACAAGTTCTGACGCTGCGCCACAACCGGTCCAGGAAAGGAACCAGACACCGGTTCCCGAACGGCTGGCTCTTCCCCATGATGCTGAGCTCAAGACCCGGGCTGATTCGTCTTTGGAGATGTCTGTTTCTCCGGCTCGGTCTTTCCTGAGCGACGATACAGAATCGTCTGTTCGGCCGCTCAGAATCAGACAGAAGTTGAGCCAGGAAGCGGGCAATGCTTCTGAGGCTCCGAAAAAGCTTTCCAAGCCTCCTATGTTTTTGACTTCGTCGCCGGCCGGCACTCCAATTGGACAGATCCTGGTGACGCCTACGAAAATAGCCAACGACGGGTTCTTCGACCAGTCGCACAAGTCGTTGGAGGAGGCAGGCGACAATTCTCAGAGGACCGGCAGTCCATCAAATAATTCCGACAAGACGTCGGAAGAAACCAGAGAAGCAAGCAAACCTTCGCAGCAAAGGGAGCTGCCAAAGGACGCATCCGGCCCATCTAAAATCCAGTCGGAGGAGAAGCCGCCAACCGACACCAACGGCACTCTCTACAAGAACGTCAATGGCAGCGTGTCGTCGCTGGCCTCAAAGTTCTCTGCCAACCAAGACCAGGAGTCTCCGATGAAGTCTCATGCATCCAAGTCGTCGCCAAAAGGCAACATCCTTGCGAGGATGAGAATGCTGCAAGAGAACAGCGACAACGACAACTCTCCAACAAGAAGCAGGTCCGGGTCGCCAGCCAGATACGTCTCTGATACGGCGTCTTCTGCGTTCGACAAGTTTGGAGCGCGCCGGAGGACGAGCGTCGACAGATCGACCTCTTTGGCCAACGGCACCACCGGCAACCACACAGAGAAGCCGCAGGAGTCGACGGAGCCCGCTAAACAGCCCGCTGAGCAGCCGCCAAGCACGTTGGAGCTGCCGAAGCCAGAAAAACCCGTGTCTGCGGTGCGCGACAGCGTCTACGACAACCCGATGGCCCAGGAAGAGCCGGTGAGCAGAGATGGCCCGTCGTCGGGGCTCACGATTCCGAGCGCCGGGAGCGCGCTCCAGCCGCTAAGCGCACAGGACGAGACCACGGCCGAGAACTTCGAGGTGGAAAAGTTCAACACGCTGGACCCAGACAACACCCTCAAGGAGCTGTTGCTGTATCTGGAGCACCAGACCGTGGAGGTGATTGCGGCGATCCAGAAACTGCTGGAATCCATCAAGAACCCGAAGGCCACGAAGCTGCTGCTCAAGAACGGCGCCGGCCAGATCATCGAGGTGGTCAAGCAGATGGCCGAGGGAACGAACACGCTGATGGCGCAGACGAGGTACGCCGAGCAGATGGGCCACGCGCAGTACGTGGTGGAGGTTCTGGAGGACTGTGTGCGCCGGATGGAGGCGCTGTATTCCAGCGGAGACGAGCGCAGAGACGGCGAGTACGCGGACAAGGCGTTCAAACAGCGGTCTGCAGGCATCGCGTTCGACGTCGCGCGCAGCACGAAGGAGCTCGTCAAGACTGTCGAGGAGGCAAGTCTACGCGACGACATTGCTGTGATCGACTCGAGACTCAACGGGGGCGTGTAGGCGGAGAATGAAAGTAAGTAAATTACTCCTGTGGTAATTCCCGGTGCTGTCTGCGTGTAGCGGCCCGCTTTCTGCGGATTTTGCGTGGATGCTATTCGTTGGCCGCTTTCCTCCTACAGACAGGACACCGCTGTCCTGGTGCGCGGCTGCTTCCAAGCGACAGCCACCTGCTGTCACTTGCCGCGCCACTGTTGAGATCTGGCCCTGTGGCTGGTGTGCTCCGGCAGCACGGATATGGTGTGGCAAGCAGGTGTCGGCTGTCAGGGCGGCGTGGAGGGATAGAGAACAGTCCAGCTGACAGCTGTGCGAGATCCGGCCAGCCTCTTGCGGGCCGCGTCCGCAGCGTACGGATCAGATCTGGTCTGCGCGTGTGCCCTGGGTCCCTGTCAGGGTGCGGCGGCCTCGCAGCTGCGATAGGGTTTTTGCAGTGGCTGCATAGACGAGCAAGAATGGTGTGATTTAATTCGTGGCCACACAATGGAGCAGAGCCGGAGCAGAGCGGGAGCAGAACGACGTAGAGCCTATGACGGGCAGTATGGTAGCCGGGTCGGAACGGCGGGATTGCGGTCTGCTGGGAGGCGGGCAGAGGCTGCGAGGCAGAACAGCGAGCCTGGGTGTGCAGCGTGAGCAGCCGCTGTCTGCGCAGCACCGAGGCCAAGTGATCAGACCAGACGGGCGGGCCGCGAGACTACGTGCATGGCACAAAAGTTTTAGTCGTGCAGATCTGGGGAAACTTGGGGATTGAGAAGAATAATTTATTTGCTAACTTGTCTTGGTATCAAAAAATCTGTGTGCGTGCTGTGTTTAAGCGAGTGTGCGTTTCTTTGCTAGTTTACAGTTGGAATATATAGTGCGCGCAAGCTCGGAGGCCGGAACTATACGGAGAGTGCATTTTTTCTCGCAAGATCGTGACCATAGCCAGCAGATAATCTTGTGGCCGCAAACCGGGGACCGAATTAATAAGCTGCTGAGCGTGTACAAATTCTGCACAGATACAGAACCAGAAATTCCAGGCGCAGGCCAGACTATAAGGAGCGAGAGGACTTAGGAGCTGCTAGACAAGATGAACGGGGCGACCTTGAAACCTGAAGCCGGCAGTCGGGAGCTTCCCTCGATAAAGGACCTCTTCCCCGCCCTGGAGGGCAGCTCGATGGCTCCCAGAAGCCAGAACATGGCCGAGGGCGTATACGTGGCTCCGCCGCTCGGGTACGGGCCGGCAGACTTCAGTCTGGAAAGAGAGCTCGGCAAGCTCACGAAAATCAGCATGGAAATCCAGCAGATCCTCGAGAGCTCGAAAAGCATTGCGCAGGTGCCACGCGAACTGCTCGAGAGCGGAGCCCAGCAGGTGGAGCTCCTGCATTCTATTTATCATTCGTGGATGAGAACCCGTGACGAGGAGGCTGCGCGGGCTCCGCCTGCGCAACACGCACATTCAAGGAACTCGTCGATGCAGTACACGTTCCAGCCGACGGTTCACATGGGCTCGGGCGGCGCCCCGATGCCGCTGCTTCTCAACCCGTCAAGATACCAGAATATGGAAGAACAGGCCGCACGGACGCTTTCGTCGATGGTCGAGGTGTCACCTTCGCAGGCTCACTGCCGCACACCTTCGTTCCCAACGGACGACCGGCTCACCACGCCGCCGGTCTCGCCTAGTTCTTTTTCTGTTCGCAAACTCAAAATGAAAAAATCTCCAACAGGAACAAATAACGTCTCCGCACAGTTGGTGCTCGAGGCCAACGCCGACAGCGGGAGTCTTGCTGAAATGGTGACCAACGAGTGTCTCCATTGTCAGTCCAAAGAAACACCCGAATGGAGACGTGGGCCCGAGGGAGAGCGCACGCTTTGCAACGCATGTGGACTCTTCTACGCCAAGCTGTGCAAGAAATACGGCGAGGAAAAGGCTAAGGATATTATGAAGGAGCGCAAAATCAAGGGAAGCGAGACTGACCGACGGGTCAGTGTGGGATTTTGAGTTGTTAACCGTAACGATTAACTCGATTGTAATAATGAGACATTTGACTTTTTTTACTCTTAGATACGCGTAGCCAGGTGGTTGACGACGTTGTTGAAAAAGGTGAGGCCATGCACAAACGTTTCGTAGTCGTTGTCCTCAATCGGCTCCGTCAGCCCAGGCAGTTGCTGGCCGGCATAGCCCGTGTAGCGTCCGCTCACATAGATGATATGTCTGAACCATGGTCTGTCCTTCAAGCCATCTGAGTTCAGGAACTTGCGCTCAAAGTACTTCAACTTATGGTTAGTTTTGACAATCTTCCATTGCAGAGCAAGTTTCTCCCACCACGACAGGTTATCCCAGTTGTCGTACTGTGTTTGCAACTGCACGGCGTCCGCGTCAAAGGAGGCGGCAGCGTCTTTCAAAGAAACAAGATTCTGCTTCGTGTCCGATAGCAGGTCGTCGAGCTTCTCGCCCGTCGAACAGTGTCCGAGACTCCGACTCAGCCAGTGTTCAGGAACCTTCACTTTCTCGTAGAGTCGCTGGATTTCCGCAGCATAGTCCGAAGCCTTCATTTGGTACACTTTGGTCTCACTCAGTTTCAGAACGGACAGACCGACGTACTTTGCCATGAGGTTGTGGAGAACAAAGCCAGGATCCACCAGACTATCTATCCAGTGGTAAGAATCGTAGACCGAATGGTAGTGATAAACAGGGCCGGTGCGGTTGCTCGTGAAACCCATATCCACCGACGGAATGCCCAGATGGTCCAAGAACACTGTATAATCGGAGCCCGAACCAAGAGGCTTGATGGTATCATTGGTGTTCTCTTTGAAGTGATCGTACAGTGTCTTGTCTGTGCCTGGGTACTCCAGAAGATCGGCTGAAGATCTGAGCACTTCGTAAAGCAGAGGCGAGGCTCCAAGCTGCAGGATGTTACCGACAGCTGCAACGTCCATGTTGAAGTAAGCGACTGTCTTTTTAGAAAGATCGCGCGCGTTGTATTCGCCAAATTCGGTGGATCCAAGCAGGCCGTACTCCTCGCCGTCCCAAGATGCAAGCATGATGGTTCTTTGCGGTTTCCAGCCGGTCTTTTGCAGATTGCCTAAGGCTCTGGCAATTTCAAGCAGCACAGCAGAACCCGTGTGAGGATCTCCGGCACCGGGGGTCCAGGAGTCACGGTGGTTGCCAATGATGATCACCTCGTCTTTCTTGTGTCCTTCGATCTTGCCGTAGACATTGTAGAGATTGGTGAAGTTGAAGTCCTGCTCGTTTGCCAGGTGCAGCTTGTAGCTTGGATTTGGACCAATCGAAGCGTAGTCGTAGCCGGGAACAAGTCCTGTAGGCCAGGACTCGACCTTAGGCCCGTGCCCAGAGAGTTTCTCCAAAATAGGAATAACGTCTCTGTAGGAAACGGGGATAGCCGGGATTTTTGGGGTTGTTAAGTGAGGACTCGACCGTGTCTTGTTTTCCCCCGGTTTGATGGCATAGCCAGGCGTCGTTGGGTCTCCGGGAAACACAGAAAGAAACTGCGAAGAGCCGCGCTGGATGGCACTTGGGTTTCTTGCTATTCCTTCCGGATAGGCCTTGTAGCCATTCGCCTCGGTCACCTCTCCGTCATCTCCAGGATCCGTAAACAGTAGGGCGGCCTTGAAACCAAAATCCTGCGCAAACTTGACCTTCAGGCCCCTGAATATTTTGCCATATCTAATCACCGCTATCTTATCTGTTGCGTTCACTCCTAGTTCGGCCAACGTGTCGAAATCCTCCTTAGTGCCGTAATTGCAGTAAATATACTCGCCCACAACGTCGCCGGAGGCCGCGTAGCCCAAAAATGCGGGCACACTTTTCAGGGAGGTCGGGTCGTCTTCCAAAATGTCTTCGCGAAGAGCAGCCTTAAACACGACAGAACCGTTGTCCGCACTCAAAAGATCCAGCGACTGGGACACGGGATAGCTTATGTAGGTCGTGTAGAGGTCAGTTTCCGCCTCCAGACCAAACTCGAGGAATTTGTCTCTTGTCCAATTGGCTAGCTTGATGTTTGCCTCCGTGCCTGGGAATTGAGTTTCATTCGAGTACTCCTTCAGCCATGTGCCAGCATAATTCTCTTCCAGCGAACCAAGATAGCCCACAAAAGTCTTGTGGACGGGATCTGGTTGAGCCGAACGGTGAACCTGGTCCAGGGCGAACCGACAGAACAGTCCTAAGATAAGCATCTGCAGGACGATCGTAATCGGGTTGCGGAGCCATTGGTGAGCTCTGCCTGGTTTGTGAGGGCCCTTTTGGGTCTGAAGACCTGCCTCAGGATCCAGAAATAGCTTTTTCTCCTTCACTTCTTTCCTCTCCGTCATGGTGTACAAGGAAGAGATAATTAACAAGAAGTGATAAATGCAGCTGACCAAAACTGTAGCTAGCGACGCGACGAATCAATATCGTTCGACGTCAAAAAAAAAAAAAAAAAATAAAAGAAACACACAATTCTGTATTTTTATTTACAGACAATTCTGTTCCACCCGGTTTGGCATATCTATAAACTCAGCCTTTGCAGGCAAGCCAGCTGTGAATAATCTGCATAATATTGGATTAATTCACACAATTTCCAATAGCATGAGTTCGATCTCCTCGTCCCCCGGAACAAAGATCGGGTACAATCCCATAAAGCTGATATTACGACTCTATGCTGAGTTTTTGGTTGCCAAGAAGCAGAACAACTTGCTGATCGAACTCAACCACGACTTCAAGCCCACGCTGAAGCACTTTAGAAACCTTTCCAGAGCCGCCGTCATTAATCTCAGCATCATCGGCTCTGTGTTTTTGTTTGTGCTCTATGTGCTTCCAATCTCCTTCCTGCTCAAGCTTTTGCTGGCCTTTGGGCTCGGCCTCCTAATAACTGTTCCAATACTGTCGCAGTTCTTCCTGTTTGGTCTCCCGATCCTTGCGTGGGTGTTTCTGTTCTTCTCGGCAGGGAAAATCCCAACCAGCTGGAAACCTCCGATTAGCGTGAAAATCCTGCCGTCGATGGAGACTATTCTGTACGGCGACGACTTGTCGGACGTGCTAGCGTCGTACACGTCTAAGCCTCTGGATTTTGTCGCTTGGTTCCCGTACGGAATAGTGCATTTTGCGGGCCCCTTTATTGTCGCTGCTCTGGTATGGCTCTTTGGCCCGCCAACCGCCCTGCGCTCGTTCGGATGGTCGTTTGGGTACATGAACCTTGTGGGCGTGGCCATCCAGCAGATTTTCCCGGCCGCTCCTCCGTGGTACAAGATCCTGTACGGGCTGCAGCCGGCCAACTACGCCATGAAGGGCAGTCCCGGAGGCCTGGGCCGTATGGATGGCTATTTTGGGGTGGATCTGTACACGACGAATTTCAGCAACGCTCCGGTCATTTTTGGAGCGTTCCCGTCTTTGCACTCCGGCATTTCCACGATGAACGCGCTGTGGCTATCATACCTGTTTCCCAAGTACTCTCCGTGCTTTGCGTGTTACGTGTGCTGGCTGTGGTGGTCCACGATGTACCTGACCCACCACTACTTCTTTGATCTCACTGCCGGCTCTGTTCTGGCGGTGACGTTCTTTTTCGTGGCCAAATACCAGTGGCTGCCGTTGAGAAAAGCCGACTGCTTTTGCCGTTTTAATTACTACCGACTCGAGTACGAGGACCCGCTGCAGAACGACCCGCTCAACTACGAGGCGCGGCTCAGCATGGAAGACGCGGTGGAGCTGGACGACGCCACGTCCAGCGGCGAGTCGACCCCCGTGGACGACGACGCGACGGTCGAGTCGAGTCTTTTTACAGCCTAATGCATAATGATAATAGATACTCAACTATTTAGATCGATCAAGAGGTTCTGGCTTGCGTCCGGGTGCTCGTTTCCGGTCTGCTCCTGTCTTGTGTCAGGTGGAACGTCGCTATTTTCGTCGTTACTGTCGTGAGTGTCGTAAAAATCGTCATGGTAGCTCGAATGCGTGTAGTTCTGTGACGCCAGACTGATTCTGCCCGACGACCGCGACTTGCGGTGGCCCGGCGACCCCGGCAGATACCGTGCAACGTTGCTGGAGAGCGCCGATATCCGCGACTTGGCAAACGGGTCCTGGTCCTCCTCGAGCCGCAGCGCGTCCGAGCGACCCACGTCGAACTGATCCTCATCGTAGAAAAGTGTGCCCGAGTTCTGCCGCGTCTGCTTGCGAGGCTGGAACTTTTCGCGCTCGGCGCCCAATTTCGACTCGTCCGTGGCTAGCTCAACCACGTGCCGCGCCATCTCCTTGATCTGCTTCTCGTGGTTCAGATCCAGCCCGTCGTAGCTGAGCGTCACCCGGTAGTGCTCCAATTGCACCACAGGGTCGAGAGCTATGCGAATATCGTCGACAATGTCGAAAACCTTGACACCGTCGTCCTCCTGGTAGCAGTACAGCAAAAGATGCTCCAGCAGCTGCAGACACTTGGAAACAATGACAAACTCGTACCCGCGCGTCACAAGTGTCTTCTTGAGCGAGTCGAAGATGCCCTGCGACCCCCGGCCCAGCCCAGAGTACTCCTGGATCCGGCGAACTATAAAATCAATGGCTTTCTTGGAGATGCTCTGGCCAGACTCGGCCGTCTGGGAGACCGCAATGTGGTCGGAAACATACTCGGGGTTGGCGTAGTTGAGAATCCACGAGCAAAGCTGTTTTTTCTGCTTGGACGTCGGGCCCCACGGATCCGTGTTGGTGGCCTCCCGGATCAGTATCTCGAGGTTGGAGTAGCCGGAAAAAGCTGCGGTTAGAATGCTGAAAGAACTGCCAAACGTACCGTTCTGGAGCTTTCTGGTCTTCTGTCGGATGTCGTATAAAGAGTACGAGGACATGCGGCGGCCAAAGTATAGGTGACAAAGTATTGCTGTTTGGAACGAAAAGACGCACTAAAGCCCGCACTCAGGCAGACACGCCGATCGACGCGTCGAATACTACGAAGAGACAAAGGATCATCATTTAATCACTCATTACTTACAGCTCACCGCAGTCGGTGATCTCGATCTTGGCACGGGTGGCGCCAGATCCAGAGCCGAGCTTCTCGATGGCCTTGACAACGTCGTATCCCTCGACAACCTCGCCGAAAACAACGTGCTTGCCGTCCAACCACGAGCATGGCACAGTCGTGATGAAGAACTGGGAGCCGTTGGTGTTTGGACCAGCGTTGGCCATCGACAGCAGGCCCGGCTTCGAGTGCTTGTGGTTGAAGTTCTCGTCTGGGAACTTGGAGCCGTAGATGCTCTTGCCACCGGTTCCGTTGAAGTTGGTGAAGTCTCCACCCTGCAGCATGAAGTCTGGAATGACTCTGTGGAAGATGGAGCCCTTGTAGCCAAAGCCCTTCTCTCCAGTGCACAAGGCCCTGAAGTTTTCGGCGGTCTTTGGAACGTCATCGTACAAGGAGAACACGATTTTTCCTAGTGGTTTGCCTAGGCGGTTAGAAAGTCCAATGGCGGCGGAAGAGCCGAGCGGGAGCTCAATTCCTCTCGTACATACCGTCAGCAGCAACGTCGAAGAAAGTCTTGACCATTTTAGTGAATAGATAGAGGAAGAAAGCAATGCAATTTGCCTCGCTAAAATTTTACACCGTGGCATGGCCATCGAGGTGAAACGGCCGGGTAACGGTCTTCTCCCTCCCGGGCTGGAATTTTCCAGTACGTATATACAGGGTCTATTGGATGTAGAGGAGGAACTGGTGGACGGTCTTGGCGAACCTGTCGAAGCTCGCCGGGTCCATTTCGTGCTCTGTTTCGGGCGCCAGCAGCGACGCCTCGAACCGCTCGTTTTTTCCGTTCGAAACCACGTCGTATATCAGGTGGCAGCCGTCGAAGTCCAGCTCGATTGACCTGCGTCTGTTGATGGCCGTGACGAGGTAATCGGCCGGCTCCTGGTTCTTGGCGAGCCGGATCGGGATCTTGCGCGACACCAGGGTGTTTACGAGCCGGTTGAGAGCGCTGGTGTCGGACATATCCAGCAGGTTCGAGGAGAGCGAGTTGATCACGTTTTGCAGCGGTTTCTGGGACGGCAGGCCCGGGTCGTAGGGGTTGGAGCCGTCCAGGAGAACCGAGTTGCACGTGGACTGGAACATGACGTCGTTGTGGAGCTCGGGAAGCGCCAATGCGCAACTTACCTCGTTCTCGTTCACGTAAATGCTGCAGGACGACAGGTTGACTCTATTTTTTGAGATCTGGAACCATATCTCGACGTTGGGCAGCGTGGTGAAGTTGCTGAAATTTCCGTACGCGTCGGGCACCAGCTTGACCTGTAGCGAGTGCTCGAAGTTGTTTATGATGCCTCCGGCGACACCGAAAAAGCGTGCGTTTTTGTCGTACAAGTTGAGCATGCCAATTTTTTTATTGATCTGGGGCAGGTTGGCGTGGAAGAAGCCAGCGCTAGCGGCACTTTCGTCAAACAGAAGCTTGCCGAACGTCGCGTTGAACGTTCTGGGAAGCCATGTTTCGCCTTTTTGCACCTCCGGAGTCAGCGTGGAGTAGATTTCCCGGCTCTTGGCCAACCACGGAGCAGACGAGTCGGGCACCGAGATCTCGGCCGGAGAAAATGGCTTTGTCTCGTGTTTCTGGTCCAGGAAGTTGTACTGGAACTTGTCCGCGGCCTCGGCCACCTCAGACCGCAGCTGGTCGACCTCCTTCGCCAGCGACTCGGGGTCAGAATAGTCCTCAAAAGAGGACTCGCGGAGCCGTTTCTGCGGCACCTCGTACCGGTACAGCGGGCCAGCAGCCCACCATGGCAGCGAAGAGTCCTGGTACAGTTTTTTGTACTCCGTGGAAGCGCCGGAAACGTCGATATGTTTGTGAGAGGTGGCAGAAAAGTCTGTGGCTGCCAGTAGCAGCGACTTGGCCAGCTGCAAATTGGCCGGATTGAACGTGCTGAGCTGGAACAGCTTGTCTTGTCTGTTGATCTCCTCGAAGTACACGTTGCTGAGTTTCTGAAGCTCCGCAATGGGCATGTGCCGGTGCAGTTTGTGGGTGTAGAACGAGGCCAGTTCGTTGAGATGGGCCACGGACGTGCTCACGTGATTCAACAGGTAGTTCCATGAGGCCTGGACAAAGTTCACAAGCTCCTCGTTGCCGCGCACCGTGAAACGCGAGAGACCGCGGTTGAGCTCGAGCCGAGCGCCGAGCCTAGTCCACGACTGCATGAGGTAGCCGGCGTGCGAAAGCAGCAAAAACGCCTCTTTCTTGCTCTGCAGCGTGATGTCCGCCTGTTTGAGCACCTCGACGGGCGAGTCCTCGGAAATAGCCACATCCCAGCATTTTTGGATGATGAACTGGGCGAGTTTCTTTTTGGTGGAATAGGCAGCTGGAGGAGAAACGTGCTTGTAGCCAATGTATTCTAAAAGTTGTGCTTTTTGGTAGCCCTTGACCAGTTTTGTTTGCAGCTCAGCGTACGCCTTTAGCGAAATGGCGCTATTCCGTGGCTGCAAATTGTCCAGGTCCTTGAATAGCTGGTTGTCTGTGGACGGGATCTTAAACACCATAAGATTTTTCAGCCCCTTCTCGAACTCGATCATGTCAAGCCGGTTTTTTGCCCGGCCGCTCTCCAGCGTCTCCTTGATGTTGGTGAGCTTGGATTTTTTCTGGGCCGTGGGCTTGAGTACGATATGTTCCTCCTCGGGGACCTTTTCCCATGGCAGCGGCTCGTCGGACGCATACGGCGGGGTGTCGTCGCCGTTCGCCGTATCGGCCTCGTCTACTCGCTCAGACAGGTATCTGACAGAGAGCAGGCGCGGCCGGCAGAGCACTGTTCTCGGGATACAGTGTCTCAACATGAAAAATAATGAAAAAATAATAAAAAATCAAAAAAATAAAATTATCTTCAGATCAGACATTTTGGATCGTGGAAGCCATGGAAAATGGCATTCCTGATATTTTCCTGGGAGGTTCCAGCGACGACGATTCGCAGAGCTCTATCGAGGACGAGACACAGGACATTGAGCTGAGCTCGAGCGAGCCCGAGTCTGACGCGTCGATCTCGTCGATCGACGAGAACTCAGACTCGTCAGACCTGTCTAGCACAGATTTCCATGACGCAAGCGAAATCATCCAGGAGCCTGCCAAGCTCTCGTACTACCGACTACAAAACAAGCCGAGGCTGTTCCAGGGCAACATCAACTACTTACGGTTTTTCCAGGCCGAGAAGTCCCGGTTTCTCTCGTGCACAAGTCTGCTCGGACGGTCGAACCTGGTGGGAACTTACGTGTCGAGCGCGGGTTTCAGATACCGGCGCAAGAACGAGGTCAACGAGGCGGGAACATACTGGTCGGCAGATGACAAAGACGCGTTTTTCGAGCTTCTGGCGCGCTATTCCATCCACAGAGCCGATGTCATTCAGGAAAAGCTACCATCGAAATCAATCGCCGATATTCTGGACTATTACAAGCTGCTAAAACGCGAATTACAGCAGTACAAGCGACACAAGCGACGGCTGCTCAAACTGGTGTCGTACGACGAGATTCCCGCAAGCTACGAGATGAGCAGCGAGTTCATCGAGATGGAGGAGTCGCAGGCGTTTCTGATCAGGTCGGTGGCCAACATGCGGGACTCGGACGCAAACTTCCGCTTCAAAAAGACGCATCCGGGCCTGAACGAGCAGGAGCTGCTGGACTACGAGCGCATGACCGACCTGGCAAACTCTGTGTATGCCAATAACCAGCTCCTGGACGCTGCTTCCGGGCTCAAACGCAAGCTGTCCAAGCCGATGGTCTTGGATGAGGAAACGAAGTACATTTTGCGCCATGTCGCGCAGAACATGGCCTATGAAGTGGTGCTAACAGTTCTGGAGGACAAAATAGAGGCTTACGACGAGTTCGAGATCACGCAGAGCGACGTGTATCGGGCTCTGGCCCAGATGAAGGTACGCAGACCAATCAAATTAAAAGACTACTGGTCGAACATTGGCTGGAGGCTGGGGCTGGATTTTGGGCGCCAGATGCCCAGCGGGCGCCAGAGACTAAGCAGGCTGGTTCCGTACGAGATAAACGGCCTGGAGGAGCCCCAGAAGAAGGAAGATACCGCTGTTTTCGACAGCGAAGGAGACGAAATTGAGCAGGTGATGGACGGCGCGCTGCCGTTCGAGAGCGCCGTTTTGAACGCGACTCCCGTGAGCGAGCTTTCGCAGAAACCGTCCGTGGCCGAGCCCGACGAAGTTGTGAGCGAGCAGCTGCTGGAGCTCGAGACAGCGCTGCTGGAGAGAAAAGACCACGAGGAGTCGGTCAAACAGGAGAACTGGCTGCTACACTATTTGAGCTGTCGCGAGGACGAAATCATGCTGAACGACGCCGATCTCATCCGCGAGTATGTGGAAAACAAGTACCAGGACGAGGAGCCTGCCGCGCTACCAGAAATCCCCGACCACGCGCACATCACCAACGAAATGCTGTTTCTACACTCGTTCGACTATGCGAATTACGAATCGGATTAGATATCGCTACTACTCCTCCCCTTCCTGTTCTAGACCCCTTTCGAATATCTCCTTTCCAGTGAGCTTTCCCTGATGCATCTGCTTGAACCGCTCCTTGAGTCTGGTGTCTATTCCCATCTCGGCACGGAATTTCAGTCTCCACTGCGCATAGTTCTCTTTCGTCACCTTGGTTCCAGAAAACTTCTTCTGTTCCTCGTACTCGCGGGCACGGCGGTCTTCCTCGTGTTTCTTCTCCAGCGCGGCCACTTTCTCTTGAAATAGGGTCTCGGCGTGTTCCTTGAGCAAGGACGTAAGCGTGAAAATGCTGGGCATGCCGACATTTTCCTCGGCGTTCTGGTTCACGGCTTCCAACAGATCCAGCAAATCGTCTTTGTCGAACTCTACAGTCTCGGGTATGTTAAGTGTGCTTTCGGGCGCCTCGTCGTGCTCCTGTTCTATGCTCAGTTGCGGAACCACCTCCGGATACGTCTCTGGGTACTTGACGTTGAGGATCAGGGTGTGTTTGCGGTCTGTGCTAGTGTCCAGGAGCAACGACACGCGAAACTCCGTGTCTGATACCCTCTCTAGCTCATCGGGATATATGCTCTGCAGTATTTCGATTTCCTGCTTTTGTTCCTCTAGATAATCCATTTTGGAGAAAAATTTAGTTCATGTCAATTTTTTTCGAAAAAAATAAATATTAATGTCCTTACAGCAGGTTATTGTGGAGTCTGCCCAGCTTCTGGAGAACCAGCAGCCCGAAAAAGCCGTGGAGCTGCTGAGGGCCAAAACGGGCGAGTTCCAAGACTCACCGCTCTTTTTGCAGTCGTTTGGAGAGGCCCACCTGGAAAACGGAGACGTGGAAAGCGCATACGACGTTCTGAGCAAGGCCTGTAAACTGGACCCGGAGGCCAAGAGCGGTGTGGAGAAGTTCCTGTATCTGGGTCAGATAGTAGGAGCGAATGACGGTGTGGACCTGTTGGAGACGGGTGTGAAGAGGCTATTGGCCCAGCTGGAAATGGTCCAGTCGGAAACCGCACAGGAACTAGACGAAAGCACGCAGCTGCTATTTGCAGCTTACTCAGAGCCCGACAAGGTGCAGGAGTATCTTCTCAAGAAACTGAATCAAGCGCTGTTCGCCATAATTGAGATCTGGATGACAGATCTGTGCATGGAGCCCGCCGCAGAGGAAGAGTGCGAAAAGTGCATTCAGCTGGCGCTCAGCCTGGACAACACCAACGGAGAAACGTGGTCGTTGCTGGCAAGCATCCGCATTTCGCAGCAGAAGACTCAGGAGGCGCGCGAGGCCGTGAGGAAAGCCTGGGAGCTTTTTGAGCACAAAAAGTCCGCTCTTGAGGAGTCTTCCGAGCCCGAGTCCCAGATGGAGTACATCGACCTGTGCCAGCCGCTGACAACGCTCTCTAAGTATGCAATTGAAACAGGCCTGTTCGAACTCGCGACAGCTATAGCGTCGTCTGTGCAGGATATCAACGAGCAGAGTGTCGAGAGCTACTATTTGGAAGGATTCGCATATCTTCTGGCGGCCAGAAGAAACCAGAACGGCATTTCCGAGGAGGACGGAGACAAGGTGTCGATCAACTATGAGCAGTATCCACTGAAAGAGCACGACGAGACGGTCAGAGACGCGCGGCTGGCTCTGACGGAGGCGTACAAGCTGCTGCAGGTGGACAGTGTTGCTGCCGAGACGGACAGAGACCTTGCTAACACGGTTATGGAACTAGTGAACGAGCTGGGCGGTCCACTGTTCGAAAAGGCCAGCAAGGAAGACGTGGACCTGGAGGAGCTGTTGGAGAACGAATAGTGATTAATGACTGTGTAGACGATTATTCTGTGCCGGCTTCCCGGTTATCTGTGTTTTGCTGTGTAATTTTCAGGTCTCCGAGCTCCTGGAGTATCCCTGGCAGGAACGGCTTGGCCTGTTCCTCCTCCGTTTTGTCTGGCTGCGGATCTTGGTCTGGCGGGCCCGTTTCCTCCAGCTCGTCGTCTAAAATGCTCACATATTCCGACGGGACAAGCCCTGTTTCTCCGGACTCCGGGTCGTGGGCCACGAGCCACCCCTCGCCGTACTCGTAGTTGATGATTATGACTTGATCTTGCTCCAGTTTCAGCTCGTTCTCGTTTTCTGGCTCAAACGGATACAACGCCACGGCCTGTATCACGCGCTCGCTGGTGTCTTCTATGTATCCGTCGGTGATGCCGTAGTGGAGCGGGTGGTCGACATCGTAGGCAAAATCTTTTATGGACACGGAGGACATAACGAACGGAGATGATTTTAGTGCTTATTTATTTGAATTATTATTTGTAATTATTTATTTTATGACCACTGCGCACCGGCCGACTTTTGACCACGCGCGCGGCCGCGACAACGTGCGGTCTTCGATCAAGCACAAGCGGGCGATGCCGGCGCACATGGCGATGAAGTACCGGCGCGAGAAACGGCCGACGGACGACGACTGGGACGGGGCGTCGGAGTACGAGGTGGACAAGAGCGAGGTGCAGCGACTGCGGAGCGAATTGGAGGACAGGAGCGGGGCCGAGAGCCGGGGAGCGGCCGAAGAGCGCCAGCCGGAGGCCGACGAGCTGGAACGCAGCAGACAGCTGCTACTGGAGACAAAGGATATAGACTCAGATAGCGACAGCGAGAGCGAAGGTGACAGCGAGGAGGATGACGAGGAGGACGACGATGAGGAGGACGAGGACGCCGAGCTGCTGCGGGAGCTGGAGAAAATCAAGCGCGAAAAAGAGGCCCGGCTAGCCAAACAGAAAGAGGAGGAGCTTGCTCGACGAGCCGCGAGCTCGAACCCGCTAGTGCAGTTCAGCGACAGCGTGCACAAGTCGTGGCGGTCGACGACGTTCAGACGAAAGGAAAAGGCCAGCAGACAGGAGAGCTACATTAACGATATGCTGCGCAGCGATTTCCACAAGCGGTTTATGGACAGGTACGTGAAATGACGTTCTATTACTTCTATGATGAAAGACGGAGTCTTCTGAACAGAGCCTTGACGACCTGCTTGAGGAACGGCCAGCCGTTGTCGCTTCTGACGGCGTCGCCGTTCTCCTCGAGTCTTCGCAGCAGATACTCCTTGGTTTCCTTGGGAGGGCCCCACGGAACGTATTTGATCACGTTCTTCACGTCGTACTTGTTCATCAGCTCGAACGTGACGTTGTCGGCCATGCCGAGCAGCTGGCCCAGGACCACGTTGGCCCGGACGTGCGCGCTGGCCCTCTGGAGCAGCTGTGTGGCCTTGATCTGCGACTCTCTGTTGTGCGACGCGACGACGAGATGCCCCACGGCCGGCTTTTCCGAGCTCAGGTTGGCGATCGAGGCTGCGATGCCTGCGTCGTAGTTCTGGTCGGTCTCCTGTTTTGTCGGGAAAATCACCGTTCTGTCCGGCTCTGAGTGGATATACGCTCCTCTCACGAGCTTCCAGCCCAGCAAATAGCCGTCCTTGCGGGCCAGGTCATTTTCTTCGGCAAGAATGCGGCTCGAGTCCCGCAGATACATCTGGACTGTGCCAACGACGTTGACCTTGCCCCTGTTGAACTCGCGGAAAAGGTCTCTCTGGAGTCGGTACACGCCGTGCTGGAGATCGTTGCGCTCGGCGTCGACAACGGCCGCCACGAACGGCGCCGTTCTGCCCGGATACTGTTTAGCCAGCCGCTCGTTTTCCTGCGCCACGACACGACAGATGTCGCGGCAGTTGCTCAGCAGCTGCTGGTAGCCGGCGTCGTCCTTGGCGTTGCTGTGGTTGCGCAGGATCTCGGCCGCGTCGTCGATCAGCCCCGTCGGCTTGAGCGCAACGTAGCCAGGCGGCACGGAGTTGATGTCCGTAGCCTGCGAGATCATCCGGGCCGTGTGCGGCACCAGCACCTGCGAAATCGACTGCTGCGTCTGCTCGACGATCTGGCTGACCGGCACCGACGTCTGCGCGCCGTCGCACGCCTCTATCGTCAGCGACAGCATCATGTTCTGGATGCCGCGCTGGGCCAGCCGGTCGCCTGTCTGGAGAACCTGTGCAAGGTTGTCTCCGCCGCAATAGTTGCGGTAGACGAGCAGTTTGACGAGCCAGAGCGGCGTGTACGGGAAAAGAGAGATGACAAGCTTGAGCGTGGACTTGGTGAGGGTGGCCAGGCCGATCACGCCGTAGCCCAGGAGCTCGGGCGTGGTGAGGCTGTCGAGATAGGTTTTGCCCGAGGACTGGAGACGGTGTGCCACGAGCGGCGTCCGCGGACGCAGGGCAAGGCCTGGCCGCAGCGGGCGGGAGACGAGCGCTTTCAGTCTGAGCATTGGCGAAAATTGAGCGCCATGCTGCGATATTTGCGATATTTATATATTCGCAGAACAGACGTCTGATAGTCCGGATAGGAATGTTTCAGCGAGGAAAAAAGATCTCGCTAACTGTTGCAGAAAAAAAGGATAAGGAAAACGGGCAGAAAAATAAACCGTTTAGGGAGCCCGACAGGCATATTACAATCCATATGCTTTTTACTCAGCTTACACAGAAATATTCAAGTACGCCACCCTAATTGTTCACAGCCGCAGTGTAGGCCAGCGACCACGTCTTGGACATACCGTTGTCCAGATAGTTGGTCGAGAAGTCGGACCCGCTGAAGAAGTTGTACGAGGAGGCCGGGTCGTACAGCGCGACGTTAAGCATCAAGATGCCCTTCCAGCCGTCCGTGACATTGCCGATCTTCGAGCCCAGCACATTCTCCCACTCCTCCTTGACAAACGTCGGGCCCCTGATGAGGGACGAGACAGGCGTGATTGGCAGCATGTGGATGCCGTGGATGTACTCGATGTTGGTTCCAAAGTACGTGGTGTGCGCGATCTTGTTCTCGAACCAAATTCCGCTGCAGTAGTTGCCGATGAACCGCGAGGGCATCACCTTGTTGTCCTGCGAGTACAGAAAGTAGATGTTCATGGCCCTTTTAGAGATGGCGAGCATCAGGTCGGCCCGGTTCGACATGTTGGCGTCGTTGATGACAGAGGCCCAGATCTTCATGGCGTACGCGAAATTGTAGTCCTCGCTCGAGCTCTCCTCGTCCTTGCCGTCCGCGTAGACGGTGATTCCGTGCGCGACGGAGTGGCCGAGATAAAAGTCAAAGTTCCTGAAGACCGGGAAGTGCGAGTCGTCGCTCGACGGATTGGCCACGTCTCTCACCAAAGTGTTGACCCAGTCCTTGACGCTGCTTGCCCACGAACCGCCCAGGTCTGCGTCCACCAGAGCACACAGCGCGGCGGCGTGGATGTGGTAGCCGTAGTGGAAGTGGTGGTCGTTGTAGAACGCGTTACCGTAGTCGATCGACGTGTTGCCGTCGGACATGCCGCCCGTCGAGCAGATGCCTCCCCAGTTGGTCTCGTAGCACAGCGGGTACTGCTGGCTGTTGCCGCTGAACCGCTCGATGGCCTTTTTCAGCGACGCCAGCAGCGTCGACGTCTTGGCGGAGTCCTTCAGCACGTAGTGGCACACATACAGCACGTACGCGTACTTGTCGAGGATCTTGCCCGAGGTGTACATCGAGTCGACGTTGGTGTACGAGTATACATCGGCGTTGTACTCGTCGGCCGCGGCGGCCTTGATGGCGGACAGCTCAGAGTCGGAGTAGGACGGCGACGAAAAGCCGGAGATGGCGCTCCAGGGGTCCTTGCCGATGCCGGTGGTGAGTGCCTCGGACATCTCGAACTTGTTGGTGAGGTACGCGGTCATGACGCCGTGGACGGTGTCGTCGAGCGTGGCCGAAGTCTTGGCGCCGGAGGTGGTCGAGGTGAACGAGTCGCTCTGGTGCGGCATGGCGTACATGATGGTGGTGCCGTTGTTGGAGGCGCCAGAGATGGCGTACTCGAAGGCGTAAGTCGCGGAGGAGCCCGACACAGACGCGCTCAGCGTCACCGACGTCGGGTAGCACGCCGCGGCCCTGTCGTAGGCGCTGTCGTCACCGCATGCGATCTGGACGACGCAGTTGTTGATCGAGTTGGAGCCTATGATGTGGTTGGTGTCCTTGAGCGCGAACTGGCACGACTGGTTGTCGCTGAACGTCACGTACATGACCCAGGTGGAGCCGTCGTTGAGCACCATCTTGTACTTGTCGGTTCCGGACCGCGGGGCAGTGTCGCCTGTGACGGACTTGATGCCGACGCCGGAGTGGATCTCCGGGATCAGGTCGTTGTACACGGCAGACACAAAGCCCATGCCCTGCACGAGGGTGGCCGTGAACGAGCCGGCGCTTTTCGACGCGACGGTCACGTCGATGGACATCTTCTTGAGGTTGGCGAGCTTGAGCGAGGCACCGGCGTCGAAGTCGCTGGAGCCCAGACACAGCGACATGTTGCCCGCCGGGGCGTAGAAGTACGACGCAGCGCCCTCCTCGTTGGTCTCGCCGTACACCCGCTGGCTGGCGGTCTGGTGGGACACGGCCAGCCCCTCGTAGTCGGACCTCGTGGAGTACCACAGGGAGTAAGGGTGGGTGTAAACATAGGAGGTTTGGTCACCGAGGGTCAGATTACCCCAAAAGTTGTTTGTCTGGACGGCACCGTTCTTTGTCACCCCGCTGGGCACAGACACCGTGGAGGCTTTCTGAGAAAACAGCGAGATGGGCTCGGAAGTGGAGATGGCAGAGAAGATGTCGCCAGAGGTTTCACCAGAAGCTGGGTATTAGCTGGGGGCGCTGCCAGACGGGGGGACTTACACGTGGCGAACATTTTGGAATAACAAGGTGCTCTGTGAGGTGGAAGCAAAGGCACGAAGCAATGGGTTGAAAGAAAACAAGAGAAAGTTTGGAGCGGGTGGGAGCGTTTAAATATGGCTATGGCGATGGGGCATGGAAGAGGGATCATTGCAGAAAAACTATGATGTCATGCTAGTAGTCCAGTTTAGGGGTGAACTCCGGTGTGAAGCGGTGCACCCGTTTGGCAGAGGGAACGTCTGGCTGCGGTGGTGGCGGCGGCGGCGGTAGATACCCCTGGCTGGTGGCCTGTGGCAGCTGCGTCGGCGCTTGCGCAGCTGTCGGCGCGTGCGACGCTCGTTTGAGCTTGCGTGGGGGAGAGTTGATGCGGAACGCCGCGCTCAGATTCTGCAGCATGCACAGCTCGTCCGCGCGCAGCTCGACCAGATCGAGCCTCCCCACGCTGCGGTGCCGTGTCTCCATCTCCTTCTCCTTGACGTCGCTCGCCAGCCGCCGTTCCAGCAGCAGCCGCTCATAGTTGCGCCGTGTCGCCGCGTCCTTTGACGTCGCCGCCTGGATCAGCGCCCTATTGCGAAGCGCAACCACCTTGGCCGCGTTGTGCTCGAACTCGGATGTCATTAACTGATATTTATTTTTTTTCACTTTCAATCAAATATATTTCAGCTCCGCATGAAGTTCGTCGCTCTCATCTCCGGCGGCAAGGACTCCTGCTACAACATTCTCCACTGCATGGCCAACGGCCACGAGCTCGTATGCCTGGCAAATCTCTACCCACCGCCCTCGGACTCGCACGAGCTCGACTCCTTTATGTACCAGACCGTGGGCTTCGATATCGTGCCGTACTACGCAGACTGCACGGGGAAACCACTGTACCGGCGGCTGATCAGCGGCACGTCGCACAACCAACGGCTGGAATACGAGCAAACAGAGAACGACGAGACTGAGGATCTGTACGAGCTGCTGAAGCTCGTGAAGGAGCACCACCCGGACGTGGAGGCTGTAAGCGTGGGGGCCATTCTGTCGTCGTACCAGCGCACCCGCGTGGAGGACGTCTGCAGCCGTCTTGGCCTCACTGCGCTGGCGTACCTGTGGCAGAGAGACCAGGAACAGCTGATGGGCGAGATGTGCGCGTCAGAAATGGAAGCCAGACTCATCAAAGTGGCTGCGATCGGCCTCAACGACAGACACCTGGGGCTAACGTTGCAGGAGATGTACCCCGTGCTGGTAGATCTGAATAGAAAGTATGGGGTGCACGTGTGCGGCGAAGGCGGCGAGTTTGAGACCCTGGTGTTTGACGCGCCGTTTTTCACCAAGGGAAGGCTTAGAATCGTGCACCAGGAAACCGTGCGACACACTAACGACGAGGTGTGGTACCTGAAGCTGAAAGTGGAGGTGGTGGAGAAACAATGTGGGGGCAGATGCAACGTGGTGCAGCCGCCTCTCTTGCACGAGCCGTTTAAGCAGATAAGGGAGCAGCTAAAACATGGCTCGCGGGGAGCATCGAAGGCCGTCGCGCAGCTCGTTGGCAGCTGGCACCAGAACTCATCCCACTCAGGTACCATTTTCCGCCTAAGTAACATTACCTCCACGCTACCAACGGCCGAGCAACAGATGGCCCACATTATGTCCCAACTAGAAGAATACCTGGACAATCACAACCTGGACCCCACAAACGTGATCTTCTCCTCGCTGCTCGTGAGCGACATGTCAAAATTTGGTCTGCTCAACTCCATATACCAGTCCACGTTCACACACCCACTCCCGCCAGCCCGTGTGTGCGTGGAAACCAACTTGCCCGAAAACTGCTTTGCCCAGCTTTCCGTGGAGATCATACAAAACACCCACTTTAAGAAGGGCCTACACGTCCAGGGCCGGTCCTACTGGGCACCATCAAACATAGGGCCGTACTCGCAGTCCATAACAGACACATGCACCTACATGGCCCACATCAGCGGCCAGATCCCGCTAATCCCTAGAGACATGAGCGTGTGCAAGGATGTTTTGACACAGGCGGTGCTTGCCTTGCAGCACTTTGAGCACGTCAAAGAAGCCGTCGGAAGCAAGACAGTGCTCTTTATGTGTTGCTTTGTGACGGACGCAAGCCTCGTGGACGTCGTAGGTAACACTTACCGCCTCTACACGAAGGCATCACGTGATCTAGACCACGTGCAACAGCTGGTGACTGCTGTTGTGAGCGCGCTGCCGCGCGGGGTGGACGTGGAGTGGACGGGCGTCAGCGTGAACGAGGCGGTGGGCGACTACGAGCACGCAGAGATAGCGTTTGACACAGAAATGGAGTACTCGGCGGACAAACACTACAGGATATACTGCGATGGCCGCGGGCTGCCTGCTGCACTGCCAAGTTCGTACGAGCTGGTTCCGGTGCGAGGTGTGTTTGACGTTACCGGGGGCCAGCGCAGATGTGCGGTGGTGCAGATGCCGTGAGCCCTATATGCGAATCACGTGGCAATATACACCCCGCACCAGAAGTCGCGGAAAAAATTTGGCGGAGTGAGGGTGGTTGGCCTGCGCGAAGAGATTACTCAGAGATATTTCTTTTCAGCCAAAGAGTTATTTCCAAGATGTCGACCAGAGCTCCAAAGTGGTACGAATCTGAGGACGTTCCTGTTCCAAAGCAGACCAGAAAGTCTGCCAGACCCCAGAAGCTGAGAGCCTCGCTTGTTCCGGGCACCGTTCTGATTCTTCTTGCCGGAAAATTCAGAGGCAAGAGAGTTGTCTACCTGAAGAACCTTGAGGACAACACCCTTCTTGTTTCCGGACCATTCAAGGTCAACGGCGTTCCTCTGAGAAGAGTCAACGCCAGATACGTCATTGCCACCTCCACCAAAGTGTCTCTTGACGGCCTTGACCTGTCCAAGTTCAACGTGAGCTACTTTGCTAGAGAGAAGTCGAGCTCCAAGAAGTCGGAGGGCGAGTTCTTTGGCGAGGGTGCCAAGAAGGAGATCAAGACCGAGAGAATCGAGGACCAGAAGGTTGTCGACAAGGCCCTGATCTCCGAAATTAAAAAGACCCCATACCTGAAACAATATCTGGCTTCCACCTTTTCTCTCAAGAGCGGTGACAAGCCTCACGCCATGAAGTTTTAGAGTCCATCACCGCCACCGCCCTGTCCACCAACTCCAAGTCCTTGCAGGGACCTTCCATATTGCAATAATAATGTGATAGTTATATTGGTTTTTCTTACGTAATTTTTTTTTCTCCCTCCATGGCTTTGTCTACCACGAACAAGGTCGATCCCAAGATCCCTGCCGTGCTGCCGTTCGAGAAGATGTACTCCATCCAGGTCGGCGACCGGCTGTTCCGTCTCAGCGGCGCGTCTATCTCGTTCGACTCGCCCTCCTATTTCACCTCTTTTTTTGGCCGCAAGGAGAACGAGAACAAGGTCCTCACCGTGGACCGTTCCGCTGCCGTGTTTGACAAGATATGCTCTCACTTGCAAGGGTACTGCATCCGCGCGGACAACGAGTACGAACTGATGCACTTGTACGCGGACGCGACCTACTTCAACCTCCAGAAACTGCTCAAGCAGCTCACAGAGGAGTTCTACCACTGCAACGTGGGCGGGCTCAGTTTCCGGTTCCCGCAGGAGCTGCTGGCCGGCGAGGGCAACAGCCCGAACTACTTCACGGTGGCGTACCAGACCACGTTCCAGAGCGCGTACTTTCGCGGCGAGCTGAAAGACATGATCCGGCCGCCGCCACAGAGCCCGATCGTGGTCAAGCGCAGCGGCAAGTTGTTCAACGACCTTCTCAATGCGCTGTCGACGGGCCGCGTCTGCGTCGAGAGCGAAGAGCACCGCCGCCAGCTGCTTGCCGAGTGTCGCTACTACAGGTTTCTTGCTCTGGAGCAAAAACTGATTCCGCACAAGATCCAGATGAATCCGTTCTTCCACCGCGAGGAGATCGTCGTTGCGCTTGCCGACGTCAAAAGAGACGGGCTCTCGATCTCGTCTGACAGCCCGGTCCTGTACAAACGGCCCTACGTGGACGCCAAGGCGCGCGTGCTGGTGCTCCAGATCGAGTCCGAGGAGGCCAGTCTACTGATCCACACAAAGCTCTCTTTTCTCAATCTATTATTTACCGGGACCACCGCGCGCCGCCTGTACACGCTGCTGAGCCCGCTGGACGGCGATATGTACGAGTCGACGGTGCTGGAGGACGGCAGCGTCCAGGAGAAGCTGCGGATGTTCGTGTCTCTGGACGAGTGCTCGTGCACGCTGAACGGCCACGAAACGAAGAACAACTGGTACATGGACTTCTTTGCCGGCGGCAGCGAGAACACGAAGCCGCTCAACGGCGAGGTTATCGACGTCAAGCTGCTGCGGTCGCAATGGGTCATCCACTGCAAAGACGAGGGCCGGCTCTGGTTCCACGGCGTGCTGGCCGACGGCGTGCTGGACGCGGCCCACTTCAACCGCCGCCGCGGCTTCCTGTGATCAGTGCTCGCTCCGCTTGCGCAGCTGGTTCACCGAGAACGACGCAAACAGATCGCCCTTCTCGTCCCACTCCACGTCGTTGCACCCGTACACCTCCCGCAGCTCCACAGCCGCCCAGCTGTCCAGCGCGTACTCGAGCAGGCAGTTTTCGGTGCCGCGCACGCTGAGCACGAGGCTCTGGGCCGAGGCTGTGCCGCAGATCACCGGGCTCGCCACGGCCACAGCGCGCTCCAAACTCAGTTTTCCGTCCTCTGCCACGGACACCACCAAGAACGCACTCATCTTGTCAAATAGCACCACCAGCCTGTTCTGCGACGGCAGCTCCAGCAGCTGCGACACCGTGAACTCCTTCAGGTCGCCGGCGTCGTTCTGGAACCGCGACGGCACCAGGTGCTCCTCCGTGAGATACGGCTCGACCGCAGCAGAGAGATCGAGCTTGTCGGCAAGCACGCCCTCCTGCCACCGCCACGAGCACAGGAACGGATCGCCGCCGCCGCTCACCAGCACCTTGTCGCGGCACCACCGCGGCGCGACGATCGACGCCACAAACTCTTCGTGCTCGAAGAGCCATTTCTCGATGATGTAACTCTGCGGGAACCGGCTCAGCCTGATGTGCTCGTCACGATCGGTCGTGACGACGAGCTCGTTCCCGGCCTCGTCCGAGACGTTCAGCACCCCCGTCAGCATCGACACGTGACCCAGCACCGGCACCATGTCTTTTTCATCCTTGACCTCCGACGATAGCATGTCAATACAGTAGACGTCTCCGAACTTGTCTCCGACGACGACCGTCGAGTCGTCGAGCGACGTCGACACGGCACACGGTCTCTTTGGCAGAGGCTGCCGTTTGATCTCTCTCAACGACCCTCCGCCGTTCAGCTCGAATACCACCACCGCCTTGTCTGTGTCTGTAGTGAGGATGAGATATTTCTCGCTTCTGCTGAGACGGATGTCTCTGATGTAGCAGAGCTTTGGCGGCGCTCCAGGCCCCGGCGTCGGCACCTTTGGCGGCTTGCAGTCACCGGCAGCGCTCTCCTGCTCGAACTTCCTGCTGCGTGCCTCGTACTCCTTGATCAGGGCGTAGTTGGGGTCGACACTGTCGACCCAGGAGTCGGCCAATTCCCAGTTTCCGCGGCGCTGGAAAACAAACAGTTTCTGGCCGGCGCCGGCGAACAGCAGATCGCCCTTTTCGTTGAGCAGCACCTTCTGGAACGGATGCTTCATGGAAAATGGATCGCTCTGATTTTTCAGAATTTTTTCCAGCGTCGATCGGCCCGCAAATTTTTTTGGCACCCCGATACGGTATCAGAGCTTCTACCAAAATGCCACTTACCCACCCGTTGATCAAGGACGGCTGGTTCAGAGAGGAGAACGAGGAGGCGTTTCCCGGCCAGGCCATGCGTCTCAGGGTCGCCGAGATTCTGCACGCGGAAAAGTCCAAGTTCCAGGACGTGCTGGTGTTCAGGTCCACAGACTTCGGCAACGTCCTCGTCCTGGACGGCATAATCCAGGTCACCGAGCGCGACGAGTTTGCGTACCAGGAGATGATCACGCACGTGCCGCTGTTTGCGCACCCCAACCCGAAGAAGGTGCTGGTTATCGGCGGCGGAGACGGCGGAGTTCTCAGAGAGGTGCTGAAGCACGATTGCGTCGAACGGGCCACCCTGGTCGAGATCGACGAGTCGGTCATCAACCTGTCGAAAAAGTACCTGCCTAACATGGCCAAGTCGCTGTCGCACGAGAAAGTGCAGGTGGTTCTGGCAGACGGTTTCGAGTATCTGAAAAATACAGCAGCCAGGGACGAAGCGGACAAATACGACGTCATTATCACGGACTCGTCGGACCCAGACGGCCCTGCGGAGGCGTTCTTCCAGAAACAGTACTTCGAGCTGCTCTACAACGCGCTCAACGCCAACGGAATGGTCATCTCGATGGCGTCCGAGAACATATGGCTCAACATCGACAAGCTCAAGAGTCTGCGGGACATCTGCAGCCAGGTGTTTGCGGTGACCGAATGCTGCTATTGCACTATCCCTACATACACCTCCGGACAGATCGCGCTCATGTGCTGCTCGAAAAACCCAGACCTCAGGGTGTCTGTGCCGCACAGGACCGTGTCACGTGACCGCGAAGCGCAGCTGTTCCGGTACTACAACGCGGCGATCCACAGCGCCAGCTTTGTGCTGCCGAGATGGGCCGCCGACAGGCTGGGCGGTGTCTAGACGCCAAATATATCGTCGATCGTCTTGCGCGTCTTTTTGCGCTTCTTCCTGTTTTCGTTCCTCGGCTCCTCGAGGCTTGCGTTGACAACCTCTGCAGGGGCGATCAGTTCCCCAACTTCTTCCTCCTGCACGGGCTGCGGCTCGGGATCTGGCTCCGGGACCGGCGCAGAGCGCATCTGCAGCAGGATCGCGCGCGTCTTGGCGACAAGACCCATCAGCGTGAAGCCAAGAGCCAGATACTGGCCCAGCTCGATCACGGCGTAGAATCTGTAGTAGCACGTAGGCAGAATGCGGTGCAGCAGATATTTTATCACAGCCTGGAGCTGCTGATTTTTTCGCTGCACCAGCTGCGCCGCCTGCGAGGCGCTCAGCGTGCGCTTGTGGAATTTGGGGAAATGCGATCTCGTGAACTTGAGCGACGACAGCTGTCTCCTGCCCGTGATCTCCTCGATATCGATGCAAAGCTGCAGCACCGTGCGCAGTCGCCGGTGCAGGATGCTGAAATGCTTCCACCACAGCGACGACCGGTGCTGCTTCGAGTCCCTGTGGTACACCAGGTGCGCGATCTGGTACTCGTTCAGCAGCGCCGCCTCCATCCAGGCTGAAATTTTTTCACCTCGTCGCTGCTTCTGCACGGAATGCTTACGTAACGAACACGACGCGGTGCACCATTGTGACATTTTCTCAGACCCAGCAGGCACCCCTTAGCGTGTGCGCGCGAGAATGCCACCGCACGTTCCAACGCATTCCCACACGCATGACTATATAAACCAGGCCCTGTGGGAACTTTCGTTTTCCAAACTCTCTCACTCTAGTCATTCATTATGCAATTGTCCAAGATCGTGCTCGCTTCCATCCTTGCTTCCCTGGCCACCGCGGCCGACGAGATCGTCAACCAGATCGGCGACGGCCAGGTCCAGGCCCAGACTGTGGAAACCACTGCTGAGACGGCACCAGCCACTTCTGCCCAGACCACTGCCCAGACCACGGCTCAGACCACTGCCCAGACCACGGCTCAGACCACGGCTCAGACCACGGCTCAGACCCCAGCTACCTCGTCCGCCGTCTCCACATCCACCGTGGAGCAGGACACCACCGTCACCAGCCTGGCCACAGATACCCTGACCACGTGTGCAGAGAGCTCTGCCGCCGCCCAGCCTACTCCAGGCACCGCTGCCTCCAGCTCCGAGGGCGTCCAGACCCTGTACGTCCAGACCGCCGAGACGGTCACCCTTCAGGGCAGCCAGACCGTTGTGACCACCTACGCTCCATACAGTTCTGTCCCAGCTGTCTGTCCCTGTGAAACGACCCCGGCTTCCACCCCTGCTACCGCCGCTACCACCTCCCCAGCTCCAGCTGGAAGCTCTTCGAAGGACTCGTGGAACACCGTCTACACCTCTTCTTCTTCCGAGGGCGTCACCTACGTGGACGAGACCACCACCCCAACGTCTACCGTGACAAACAACCACTACTCCACTACCAACGAGTACGTCACCACTACGTCTACCTACTCAGGCGCATCCTCCGCGGCTACCGTTGCTTCCTATTCTTCTCCAAGCTCGAACGGCACTTCCTCAATCGAGAACTTCGAGGCCGGCGCTGCCAAGCTGATGGTCAGCTCCGGAGCCGTTGGAATTGCTGCCCTGGCACTACTTTTCTAAATGTATGACATTGTAAGAATAAAGCGTATCTAAGGCTGAAATATTTTTTTCTCTCACCGCGCTGCCGGGTCCCTGTATTTTATCGGACGGCCGAATAATCGGTGGACCGATAAGTGAAGAAAAAAAATATAAATAGGCCATTTTATTTCTACTATTTTCCAACCCACAATGAAAGCTACTATCTTAAGTTCGCTACTGCTTGCTCTGGGCAGCTTCGCACTGCCTGTCCCTAAGAAGGGCTATCACGACGTTGAGACCGCCGCCCGTGTTGCCAGAACACTGGTCAACAGGGAATCTCTGGCAAATCTGGCCACCATCCAAAAAAAGGATGGGGTCCCTGTTTCGTTTATGGAATATTATGCCGATTGCCAGGATGATGGCGAGCCAATTTTCTTGCTTGTCAACATCTCCTCGAGCCAGAGAAATATCGACGACGGCTCCAAGGTCTCTGTCTCCGTCAGAGTCGGCGACCACCCAATCAATGATCACGTCAACCCACACTACATTGGAGGCAGAGTTCGTTCTCCTGCCGGCTCTCCACGGGTCAGTTTGAAAGGCTCGTTTGTTCCTGTCACCGGATCCCCAGAATTGGACACTTGTTTCGCTCTTAGACACCACGATGCTCCAGCTTGGTACCCTGGCTCCCCAATCCACTCCACTTTCTGGGCCAAGTTCCAGGTCGAGGAGGTCTACCTCATTGGTGGCTTTGGTGACGCCGCCTACATCGGCGAGGTCCCTGCCGAGCTGTACTTGAATGCTACCACTTTCGACGACGAGGAGCTTTCCCGGGAGCTCTCTTCGATTTTCGAGCTCCCAGAGCAGGAGAACAATTACCTCACGCGCGTCGTTAAGTCCTTTGCCCGCTTCTTCGGTCTTCAGGAGGAAGAGGACGGAGAGCAGGAGGAGTGCGATTTCGAGGACGATAACGACTGGAAGAAACACGGAAAGGAGCAGAAGAAATTCTGGAAACATTACGGCAAGGACCAGAAGAAGTACTGGAAGTCTCACGGCGACAAGCCTGAGCAGCCTGAGGACCCAGAATTGGAGGAATTGGCCGAAGTTGAAGACCCTGACTACTGGAAGCACTACGGCAAAGACCAAAAGAAGTATTGGAAACATTACGGAAAGGAGCAGAAGAAATACTGGAAGTCTCATGGTGATCAGCCAGAGGATGCCGAGGAGCCTGAATGCGAAGAAATGGCCGAGGATGAGGACCCTGACTACTGGAAGCAACATGGAAAGGACCAAAAGAAGTACTGGAAACATTACGGAAAGGACCAAAAGAAATACTGGAAACATTACGGAAAGGAGCAGAAGAAATACTGGAAGTCGCACGGCAAGGATGACGACGAGGAGCAGCAGGTGATATTTGTTAACTACTGAGACTGAAGGACGAGAGAACGCCTAACTTTTATTTGAATGTTGTAACGAGCTACAATTATTATTTTTTTAGTCCATATTTGTAAATTCTATGCGCCTTATTTTTTATTTTTTTTTTTTAATTCGCCTGGCCGGTGCAGAGTCGCGTTATCGCGTTGCTGGATTCAGTTACTTGATATGGAGGAGAAAAAGGTTTCCCGTATAAATACCAAAATCCGCCTTTTTTTTGTCCGAAAAATGGCTCCTCGCAGAAGGAATGTTACTCTCGCAACCGCTTCCGCAGTCGCGCTTATAGGGGCTGCGTCGCTTGTCGTTACTACATATCCTCACCTACTGGAGAAATTACCCTGGTGGAAAAAGAAGAGCGCAACCGAGAAGAAAGAATCCGAGCAAGACTCGTCTGCCGAAACGGCAGAAAATATTGGAGACTCGACCGTGGTTGTGCAAGAAAACCAGTTGAGCGAAACGGAGCTCAAAGAGGTCCTCAAAGAGGTAAGTAGCTAGCCGCGTCCAGCTAACTGATAAGAAAGCGATACCTATTCCTGAAGGTGCTACTCTTGATGACCTTATTGCCCTTGCTGATAAGGCTAAATCTGTATAAGGCGCTCAAGGGCATACAGGTCTAATTGTGGTTACATATGTTGTATATCTAGTGTTCACGAGACGGGTTAATATGCTTATTAAATTCGCTCCACGTTAATTTTTCGTTTGGCAGATAGCAGAACTTGACGCCAATCTCTTCCACGTCTTTGTTTCTGTATTCGTCGTCAAAAAGGCACATTTCTGACGGGGCGATCTTGTGACGGGCCGCAAGCTTCGATATATGGTTTTTCTTTGATCCCCATCCCCACTCGCTGTCGTCGATGTACTTCTCGAGGTTGAACAGCTTGATTAGCTTCTTTGCCGTTGGCGGGCTTGCTGTTCGCGAAGCGGTGAATATCTTGATGTTTTTGGACCGCAGATATTCCAAAATAGGCACCACGTCCTCATACAGGGTCACCTCGTAGCCGTACTTGTCCACCACCGTGTTTTTCTTGCTTTTATGGAGTTTCAGAGGAGACGAAATATGTGTGTCACACCAGCACGCCAGGTTAGTACAGACAGCTCGCACACTTACGCCAAAGCGTGTAATCCAGATCAAACACCACAGCTTTGTAGGACATCAAGCAAAATAAAATAATTGCAATAAATAAACTGAAAATATTTAGCCAATGGCGCATCTAGAGCGATATAGGTCCACGCTAAATGAGTCTCTCGACAAATCGCAAAACCTGCTAAGCACTTTGGTGGATCTAAAGAAAAAAGGAGCACTGGATGACGCGGACATCGAGCTGCTCAACACCTTTCACAGAGAGGCCGTTCTGGACAATGTTCAGCTAATCAACGCCAAGAACGAGGTGAAGAGCGCGTACAACAAGCTGGCCGACGAGAACCTGAAAAAGCTGCATTCAGGCCACTATCAGTTCAACAACATGAAGATCCAGCGGTACAAGGGCCAGAAGCTCAGGAACGAGAGTCTGGCTGCAGAGTTCAGCAGGCTCATCGCGCAAATCCCCGAGCTACAGCTTGACCAGGTCTTGGACAACGAGAACACAAAAGACCAGGAGTTTTTGAACGGGCTGCGCAAGAGCGGTCTTGACATCAGGCTGCAGTTCGCAAGGTCGGATTTCAGCGACCAGATAGACGAGACTGTTGTGAGCCGTGTGGAGGAGATCTTAAAAAACGAGGAAGTCAGGAAGTTCCGTCTGGTGCAACTGAATGACAAGCACTACGAGCGCGAGCGGGCTGTGTTGCAGAGCATGAGCATGAAGTGGCAGAACCGGTTAGCAGAGCTGACGAAGTTTGTGAGGGACGATACGGCCAGAATACTTCGAACAATCGACGACGTAAAGGAGGAGCTGCGCGAGGAGGACGAGGAGGAGCTTGAAGAAGAGGAAGTTGAAGACGAGGAGGAAGCTGAAGACGAGGAGGAAGACGAGGAGGAAGAGCGGGAAGAGCAAGAAGCCGGAGAGAAAGACGGCCAGGCAGCGGAGCCGGAGCAGACAGAGGGCGCGGAGGACGACGCGATGGACCTGGAGACAGAAGCCCAGACCGCCAGCGAGGAAAGAACGCCGGCCGCAGATGCCAGCTCCGACCTCGAGCTGGACGAGCAGATGTAGCAGAGTACTCCATAAAAACAATTTTACCCGGCTTGTTTGCTGCAACATTTTATTTACAGCTTGTCAGCATGGACGCCAATTACCTGCTAATTTCCCTTCCCAAGAGCACGTCGACAGACAAGCGCTCGCTCAAGGACTGGCTGCAGACATATATCAATGGCGGCAGCGTCGAGCTGTTTGAGTACCAGCTTCCAGGCTTCAAAGTGGGCACTCTCGACTCGCTCGTGCTCCAGAGCGAGGAGCTTGGTAGAATCGACCAGCAGCTGTACGGATCGATTGGCAAAGTGCAGGACATTATGGCAAGCATCTATGGCGAGGGCGACGCCAAGTTTGTGGCGAAACAGAAGATCGACGGCAAATCCGTGGACCAGTATTTGGAATCTTTCCGCTGGAACACCTCGAGATATAGACTGGATAAACCCATCGAGGAGCTCATCAACTTGATCTCGAGCGAGGCATTGAACGTGGACAATGACCTGAGGTCGTCCTACGCTAATTACAACCAGGCCAGGTCGAATCTCGTGGCCGCGCAGCGGAAACAGACCGGAGACCTGTCTGTCAAGTCGCTGCACGACATCGTGCGTGCGGAACATTTCGTGCTGGACTCCGAACATCTCCAGACGGTGCTTCTGGCTGTTCCGAAGAGCCTCAACGACGAGTTCCTCAACCAGTACGAGACGCTGGTGGAGTTTGTTGTTCCACGCTCTGCACAGCAGATAGCGCAGGACTCCGAGTACTACCTCTATTCCGTCACACTGTTCAAGAAATACGTGCCCGCCTTCTTGTCCAAGGCCCGAGACGCCAAATGGATCCCCAGAGACTTCGACTACTCCGAGGAGGTGATGGCAAAAATGAGAAACGAGTACCAGGAGGCGTCCAAGGAAGAACACACGCTCAAGAACGACTTGCTCAGGCTCTCCAGAAGCGCGTACTCGGAAATCGTCTCGTCGTGGGCACACATCAAAATCCTCAGAACCTTTGTCGAGAGCGTCCTCAGATACGGCCTGCCCCCGGACTTCTACTCGTTCCTGCTGAGACTGCCGGCCAAGGCCATCTCGAAATCCAAGCGCGAACTCGTCCAGAGATTTGGCTATCTCGGCGGCAACGCGTTTGCCAAGGACAAGAAGGGCAATCTCGTTGCCGACGCGGGGCTCCACGAGTACGCCTCGCTTGTTGACCAGGACTACGAGCCGTTCGTGTTGTACGAGATCAGCCTGGGCTAGAGATCGACGCGTCGACAGACGCGACTATTTTCTGTAGATGATGTCATCGGGTCAATCACGTACCCCCCTCTGCACATGAATATTTACAACGAAATTGTAATTTGACTATGTCGCGCAATTACAAGAAGCTCAGTAGCAGGCCTTCGCAGCAGAACCCGTTCGAGCCCGAGGAGACCAGCACCGCGCTGGAGACTTATCCGATATCGCTTGAGCCGATAAATGTACACGGGCAGTCGGAGTCCAAGGCACAGCAATGGCAACACCAGGAGGACGTGTTTGCGGACCCATCCGATGGACAGGACTCGGGCGACTCGCAGGCGACGGCCGGGCTCTACTCGCACGTGGATTTCGACGCGACCGTCCACAGCCGTCTGAAGGGCCGGCGACTGCTGTATTTCACGTCTCTGTTCAGCTCCATAGGAGTCTACTTGTTCGGGTTCGAGCAAGGCGTCATGTCGCTGATTATCACAGAAAAATCGTTTCTAAACTATTTTGACAACCCAAGCAGCATAGAAATTGGAACCTTGATAGCCCTGCTGGAGCTGAGCGCGCTCTTCTCTGCTCTGCTGGTGCCCAAGGTGTCGGACGCGAAGGGCCGCAAGTACACGATTTTGACGGGGGCTCTGCTGTTTTGCTTCGGCGGCTTGTTCCAGACGTTTGCTCCGTTCGAGAAGATCTGGGTCATGATGTTTGGCAGGGTCATCTCTGGCTCCGGAATCGGGTTTCTGAGCTCCATCATCAACCTGTATCAATCCGAGTGCTCTCCGAACGACCAGCGTGGTATGATCGCGTCGATGACGTTCAGTTGCAACGTCCTGGGCTTTGCGTCGTCCATCTGGCTGGACTTCATCTGCTCGTTTCTGTCGGGCACGTTTGCTTGGAAAGTGCCGCTCCTGGTGCAGGTTTTCTTGGGGGCCGTGCTGCTTATCGGGGGCTTCTACATAGTGGAGTCTCCTAGATGGCTTTTGGCCACGGACCGCGACAACGAGGGCTATGCGATCCTCAAGCTGTTCAACGACGACGACCCGGACCCCGAGAAGGCGAAAAAGGAGTTCCTGGCCATCAAGCACACCATCGAGAGCGAGAAAAAGCAGCTTGAGCGCGAGCAACGCAGCTGGCTCGGGACGATCGTGAAAAACCGTCGAGTCATCACCATCGGCGCGTCGTCTCTGTTTTTCGCGCAGTTCAATGGCATCAACCTGGTCAGTTACTACGCTCCGCTGATTTTCGAGAAAGCGGGCTTCGAAGGAAAGTCTGCCTTCGTCATCACCGGAATAAATGCCATTATTTATCTCCTATCTACACTTATCCCATGGTTCCTGGTTGACAACATTCGGATCGGAGGCCGTAGACGGCTCTTCATAGCAGGCGGACTGTTAATGGGCAGTTCGCTGTTCGTCTCTGGGATCATGAGCGCTCTGAATAACAAGTTCGGCTCCATCATGGTGGCCATTCTCATTGTGCTTTACAATGCTGCATTTGGATTCTCCTGGGGCCCATTGGCATGGCTCTATGCCAGTGAGATATACGCCGACTCGTATACTCGTTCTGTTGGCGCGTCCTTGGGCACCTCCATCAACTGGTTCAGCAAGTTTGTTGTTGGAGAGCTTAGTCCTGAACTTCTCGACCTCATCAGCTGGCGGCTGTACTTGATATACGGTGCCTTCTGTTTTATCAGCTGCGTGGTCGTGTACAAGTTCTATCCGGAAACCACAGGAGTCGAGCTCGAGGACATGGACAAATTGTTTGAGGAGTTCAAAAGAGAATGATATATTGTCTAACACATCTCATTTCTTCCCCATCTTGAACCATTTTGGCACTTTTCGTGTGTTGTGCGCAGTAGTCGGCGTTGGCGCGGGTGTTTCAGCTTTCGGTGCGGTACTGGCTTTACTGGCTTCGGTTTCCGTCGTCTCGGCTTCTTTCTTGCTGATTTTAACCTCCTCCAGCTCGTCCAACCCCTTGGCAGTCTCCAAGTATTCGTCTTTCACGTACTGCGAGCGTTTGAAGTCGTCCCGGTACACGAGAAGCGAACGGTGTGCAAATTGACAGTCTTTCACGAGCTCTTTTTCGAAATCGTCTGCGCTAGTGAGGATCGGATGCCCAGGATAGGCTGTATGCAGCTGAAATACTGGACGCGGCTTTTCTCTCTGGGCTTGCGTCATGTGAACTATTTTTGAAGAGAGCACATTATAAAGATCTCCTAGAGTATGATCAGGCTGCATAACAAGTTGCACTTGAGTGTAGTCCGGGAACTTGATCCTGATTATGCACTCTTCCACCGCCGGCTTTTCAGGAGCAAGCTGCTCGCGCTGTCTTTTGCTCATCATCTGTTTATTTGGATGTGCTCTTTTGGCAAGCAGCGATTGGTAGAGTCTCGCCTGCTCAATAGACATGTCGTAGACGGACTCATCAACGTGCTCGTCTTCGCTGTGTTCTGTTTTTGGGACGTACACTTGAATTGGGTTGGAGTCTGACACTAGCGACGGTTCTTCCTCGGAAAGTGCTGCCTGGTGTTCGGAGCTCTGACTCTCGCCTTTATCCTCAACTGAGGCAGTACGCGCGGTCAGATGTGGTTTGCATACGTCATGTTTTTCAGCCTTGAATCTCAGCCTCAGCGTGTGATTTCCGCCGACAAGACCTAACGACCTCAGGGAGTGCTTGAGCTCAGACGTTCCTGTCATCGTCTTACTCATGCTCTGGACAATTGGTTCGTAAGTGTACTTGCACTCTCCAATTGCCTCTCTGTGTAGCAGTTGTATATTCAGGCTTTTCTCAAAATCCTGCAAAACCTCCTCAATGCTCTTATCGCTGTCGCATTCCTTAACCAACTGGGAGGGCGGAGGCAGAACAAAAGTCGAATCGCCCTCTGGAGCCATTATTTGTAGTTTTATCACAACCGAGCCTCCTCCAGTAGATTTCGTGTCCCGTGGTGCATTCACAAGTTCCAGTTTGCAGCCCTGGGGCAGATTGGCCAGCCTCAAGGGCAAAGACAGATCCAGCAGCTGGCTGCCGTGCTTGAGAGCGAATTGGCTCGGCTCGAGCTTGAAGTGCGTGCAGCTTTCTATGAGAACGTCATTGAGAATTTTAGAAGGACCAGCTTTGCACTTGAATGTCCGAAAGTTGTATGACACAGCTAGCGAGGACATCAACTATTCTATGTGGCAACGAGAAATAAAATACTTTGATTTCTCCAGAATTTACACGCCACATGTGGCTGGTCGCTTGGTCGCGTTTCATAAACAAAAACATTTATTTACCTTTCCACTGTGTACCTACAGTTTTGCTAGTTGCTCGCTTCGATGTCCCACAAAGTTCCCAACGCCAGATCCCTGTCGCCGACAAAGTCGCCTAGCAAACTGCAGTATAGATTGCTGGCTCCCGAATTAGGTCCAGAGTATGTTAATAACACCAATATAAAGGTGATTGTGCGGTTCCGGCCCGAAAATGAGATGGAGAAGGCCAGCGGCGCCACGAATTGTGTCGAATACCACTCAGACAACCAGAGCATCTCTGTCACTGTGGCGTCTAATACCAGCAATTTCACGTTTGACCGTATTTTCAGCGAAGACACGGAGCAGGAAGAAATCTTCAATTATTCGGTCAGACAGACCACCGACGACCTCGCGCTGGGCTATAATGGAACAGTTCTCTGCTATGGCCAGACTGGATCTGGAAAATCGTACACAATGATGGGCGATTTGCACGACGAGAGAAAGAAAGGCCAGACTCCGCGGATATTCGAGCAGATATTCCAAGGCATCGAGAACTCACCGAAGACGCTCGAGTACACGGTTGGCGTCTCGTACTTGGAGATCTACAACGAGAACTTGCGGGACTTGCTCAATCCAAAGAACAATTCCAAGCTTGCAATCCATGAAAACAAGGTCGATGGTGTCTACGTGAGCAATTTGGAGACTCTGTATGTGTCAAACCTCAACGATGTGTACACTATTCTAGACCAGGGGAATAAGAATCGTAGCGTTGGTTCCACGAACATGAACGAGCAGAGCTCACGATCGCACGCTATATTTCAAATTCGATTAAGCTCCAAGAATTTGGAGGACGGCATAATCAAGACAGGTAACTTGTTTTTAGTTGATCTGGCGGGCTCAGAAAAAATAGACAAAACAGGCGCCTCTGGGCAGCTGTTAGAGGAGGCCAAGAAAATCAACTCGTCGCTCTCTGCGCTTGGCAATGTCATAAACTCTCTCACGGACGGCAAGTCCACGCATATCCCTTACAGAGATTCCAAGCTCACACGCATTTTGCAGGAGTCGCTCGGAGGAAACTCCCGAACCACGCTAATTATCAACTGTTCGCCTTCTTCGCTCAATGACCAAGAAACGCTTTCCACGCTCAGGTTCGGCTCCCGAGCCAAATATATCAAAAACAGCGTCCATATTAATAGCGAACTGAGCAACAACGAGCTGAAGAAACGATTCTTTGACCAAGCCAAAATCAACGAAGAAAACAATCGAAAAATACAAAAGCTGGAGACACGGAACCAGGAGCTGGAAGAGGAAAATGGACAGCTGAAGGAAGAGCTGGCTAAGTTCAAGGAGCTCATGAACATGAAGACCACTTCGGAGGAAGTGGCCAAACTGAACGATACGATCATGATGCTGAAGTCGTCTCAATTGGTCCTGACCAGAGAGCTGGAACAAAAAAACGCTCACATAGCGGAGCTTGAAAGCAAAGCAAATGTGGCAGTTGAGAGCACTTCAAAACTCGAGGCTTTGGAGAAGGCCATCGAGCATTTCTCCGACCATATTGAGCAGATCGAGAGACAGAACAGACAGTTGAGAAAGGATATCCAGGCGTTGCAACAGATGAGTAATCAGAAAACCGACAAGATCAAGGAGTTAGAGCAACAGCTGAAAGCGCAGGAGATGCTTGTGGAGCAGGATGCACAGATGTTTGAGCAGAAACTCAATCATCTGAAAGGACGCGTGTCGTCGCATAGATCACTGAAACAGCGGATGGTATCAGGTGAGAAGGAGAATTCCGAGTCAAGTATTTCATCGCGCACGCGGCCGTCTACCAAAAATCGGATAGGACTCAACCTGAGGATTGTGAAGCCAATGAGAGGTGGTCAACAGGGGACATGAAAGTGATATATTTATTACGTTACTCATAAAGCATGGCCTTGGGGCTTACTCAAAAACGTCTTGGCCTAGCTTGAGCCCGAGGATGTTTCTGACATCGCTTGTGAATCTGAGACTGTTCAACAAAGGCAACAGGTTCATTAGTTCGGAATCATCAGGATCGTTGATCCAACCCTCGATCATGATCCCGTTTTTCTTGTGAAAGCTGTAGCTGATTGGCGAATTGTCTATGATGATGACCCTGCTGAGGTCTGTTGTTGGTCTCCCCACGGAGGATCCTCTCGTTCTGCTTGCAGAGCGGTCTCTGACAGAGTTGACGTTCGCATTGGAAGTATCTGTTCCTGGTGGATACGGCGAGGAAGATGGTGTGGATGCTTTTTCTCTTTGGTGGCCCGTCAGAACCCCGAGATCCTTAACATAACCCTTTCCTTCGGTGAAGATACAGCTGTTTCGGTAAAATCGTTGGCTGAACAGCTTTCTCTGCGAAATGTCTCCTTTGTCCTTGAGCATCACCTCTTGTTCTAGATAGTTGATCACCGGATCGGCGTACTCCTTGATGGAGGCGGTGAAGCAAACGAGGTTGAACCAGTTGCGGACGATCGACAAAAACTCGTCCACATAAGGTCGTTTATATATGTGATATAGCGTAGCCAACTGACTATTGATTCGAATCTCAATGGTGGTTCCTTTATTTTTATTAAGAATCGACGAGTTGTGTCTAGAGAGAGAGTGTATGAGGGTTTCGTCCAGATCAAGAACGAGCGTCTTCTGTGGCAAGTTTGGAGGATGGTTGATGTTGAAGTTGAATAGTAGTTTGGGAAAGATGAACTTCTTTTTCCGAGGCGTCATGAGGTTGTTATGGCGTGTGATCTTCCTGCGTTCTGTGCTATGTAGATGCTGAGGTGGGTGTCGAATTGCGCTGGTAGAGGCTACCGGGCCCGTTGGCGATTTGATCGGGTCCTCGCTCTTATCCAGCTCGAACTCTATGTCTTCCTCCATTATGGTGGTGATCTGAGTTGCAGGGTCTTCACGGGAGCGCTGCGGTTGTAGGGTGTGCACCTGATCTGCGCTGGTGTCAGGGGGCTGTGCAATGGGCGTCGTTTGTTGGATTGCTTCTTTCTTGCCAAACACATCTATCAGTGCCCTCACAGGGTATGTGATGATGTAAAGCACGAGAGCGACCGGGTTGATGATGATATGCTTTGGGATAAAAAACAGAATGCCTGAAAGAGTGCTGAAAGACGACGGGTCTTCGCTTTCCTCCTCCTCATCGAACACCGGCTGCTGTTCCCTCTGGAATTGCAGCGGAGGCTCGAGCTGTCTCGTGACAATGTCCGAGTCGTCAATGTCTCCTGGAGACTTCTGGTCCGGCGGGAAGGCGGGATTGAACGCCTTATCCACGGTGTTCGCCAGAAATTGGATAGAGTTCATATATGAGAATAATCCAACAAAAAATAAATGTACGACAGAAAAATGTTATATTGTGAATAAATAAAGCGGAGCCTTATTTTTTTTGGCATTTATTCTTTGCGGTAGCTGCGTCCTCTGGGCGGCCGTCCGTTGCCGCGGCCGCGTCCGCGTCCTCGCGAGCCGTTGGTGACGTTGCTGGCCGAGGAAGAGCTTTTGATCTTCTCCGGATCCTCTTCCTCCTCCAGCAGCCTGTACCGGAAATTGTAACCCTTGGAATGGCACTCCATCTGCACCTGGCCCTCGTCCACGTTCAGCGTGAGGAAGCCATAACTAAGATCGCAGAGGTTGAAATGCCAGGTGTTCTGGAAAGATATGTAATACAGATCGTTGAGCTGACGAATGATGGTGTTCAGCTCTCGTTGTCTCGATTGCAACCCAAACGAGTCCATCTCGTCAGTGTTGGTCAGCGACTGCGAAAGTTGTAGGGGCAGGATATCTTCAACACCCTTGGTCGAAATCGGGATTTTATCGAACACTTCCAGAGCTAGTTCTGTGCAGGCGATCATAAGCGGGTCGTTGAGCTTGAAGAGCAGTTTTTCGTAGCGTTGTTGGACGTTCTTCCAGATCACGGCGATCTTCGACCGTGCCTCGTTGAACTTGAGCTTAAAGCTCTCAAAGCTGGGGTTGATCGAAAGCTCGTTGTACGACGAGGTATATTTGAAATGCAACGAGTTGGAAATCGAGTAGTCCATCTTGAAGAAAATTAAGAGATGCTCCAGTAACGGCTCTCTGGCGGGCGACTGGTGAGTCACAAAAATTTTGATCGCTTTGTTGTAAAACTCAGTGTGCTGTTCGCTGAATTCTGTCAGTGTGTAGATGAGCTTGCCCAGCTGCAGAAGCGTGATCCAGATATTGCCCGGGTCACCGCTAATAGGAAGAACATAGTCCGAGTTTTCGATGTCTTCCAGATTAGTCGCTTCGCCCACAATCTCGGCCAGCTCGAGCGACGAGCCCTGATGCACAAGCTTGTGGTACGACAGGGAGCCGCCGATGCCGGCCAAAAGAATGTGTTGTCCCTGGGGAGTCGTGATTCCAAACACGTTTCCGTCGTCGATCACATGCAGGTTAGGGATCTTGTAAACACCGTAGCGGAACTTGTTGACCACAAGCGAGTCCTCGCACATCCCGCATATGGTGTACACGGGCACTTCGAGCTTCAATTCGCCGCGCAAAAAGCGCCCCAGCTCGCTTATTTCCTGGTTCTCCAGCAGCGTCTTGAGGTTGGTGGTCTCGCTCGAAAGGTGCTCGACAGAGTCGCCTGTCACCTTCGACAGCTTGGAGATCTCCACAATGAGGTCCTCAGACAGCAACGGCGAGAACTCGACGATGTGCCGCAGATAAGACTCATGGATTCTGTGCACACTGCCTTCGTCGAGAAACCCAAAGTTTCCTGTGTGTATGATCACGTCCGCATGGTACTGTCGCGCCAATTGGTTGAGCAGCGATAGCTCGCCGCGGATGTCCGCTACACAGATGATTTTCACGCCGTTCTTGCCAAATTCTCGAACGTTCATATTTGAGAGAAATTGGATAATCTAAAAAAGTATGGGGATGGAAATACACTAATGAAT